TCATGCTAAGTGAAGTTAGTCAGACCGAAAAAGTGAGGAACCCTATGACTTCACTCATATATGGGATGTAAATGAGAAAACAACAAACAAACAAACTCACAGACACAGACAGGTGTATGGTGGTTACCAAGGGGAAGGGAGGAAGAAAGAGGTTACCAGAGAGGAAGGGGAATGGGTAAAGGGGGTCAAATATATGGTGATGAAAGGAGAACAGATTTTGGGTGATGAACATCATACAATGCAATATACAGAGGATGTATTATAGAATTGTACACTTAAAACTTATATAATGTTATTAATCAATGTCACTCCAATAAATTTAACAAAAAGAATAGCCTTGTGGCCCAGCTGGTGTGCCTCAGTGGTTGAGCATTGACTCATGCACCAAAAGATCGCTGGTTCGATTTCCGGTCAGGGCACATGCCCAAGTTGTGGGCCCGATCCCCAGTGGGGGGCATGCAGGAGGCAGCCAATCAATGTTCTCTCTCATTGATGTTTCTCTCTCCCTCTCCCTTACTATCTCTCTAAAATCAATAAGGAAAAAACAATTTTTTTTTTAAAAGAATAGCCTCATGGTCGAGGGAAAATCTAATGCAGTGGCTACAAACTGAAATGCCTACAGGGTCCAGGTGGAGACCTTAAATCAACCGTCGGGCCGGGGGTAGGGCAGCAGGGAGTGGTGTGGACAGAGGCAAAGGGGCCACCGCTGCTCAACTCCAGTCAGTTGTTGCTTTTCCCAATGTGGCCCCAGTGTGGTGGAGTTTTTATTTTTCTGTTTTTCAGAGAAACTGGAAATCTGAATTTTCACTTGAAATCTCCAGATTTTTAACAAATTTAAATATGTAAAGAATACTGGTTGATAAACACAATGTATCAGTAAGCCACCTCAGGCTTGTGAGGCCCACTAATTTGTAATTTCTAGTCTAACGTCTCTGATGCGTGGGCTTTAAATAAGAAAAAGGAGACTGGATGCTCAGTGATCCCAGTGCTGAAAAGCGGTCACATAATTGAAAAAGAATAATAATTAATGTTTACAGAGCTCTGTATAGTTATAAGAAACTCTGACCTACTTGATCTCAAAGGATCTCCTTATCACCCAATAAATGAAAAGGTAGACTTGGTTATTATGCCTATTTTAAAGATGATAAAACTGAGGCTTAGAAATGAAGTCACTAGTCCAGTTATCAATCAAGATGTGGAAAACTGTAGAACTGGGACCCACCTGGTTCTTCTGCATCCAAGCTCCATGCTCTTGCTGCCTCCCGCTCTACACACACCTGTGAGCAGTACAGAGTTCTCTCAAGAAAGAAATGATCTTTGGATCAGCTTATCTTGCTCCCATGATTAAAAGTTACTAAAATATCCTCCTCCGTGCACTCTCTTTTCTCTTTTGCGTCACTCCCCCTGTTGGGCTGAGATCTCACTTCCTTGGGCCCTTGTGTTGAGTCAGGATCATCTCTGGTTTGATATACTGCCCTCCTTGAGCCCCTTTCTAGACAAGACCATGCCCCAGGCAGAGCTGTCCCCTTCCCATCACCTACAACATCCTAATCTTTCAACAGCCTTGTGTTACTCTTGTAACCACTTTTACAGATAAGGAACCAAGGCTCTCTCCAACTCTCAGTTTCACTCTCTCCCTTATGTTTTCCTTTTCATTAGCTCAGAGATGCTAAGGGTGACACTGAAGCCCAGTGATAACTTCACAGGTTGTGGCTTTGGATTAGGAACTAAAAATGACCAAATTTGTACTCAACCATTTTGAACGTTACACTGTTCGTTCTTATACTGTTCCCTCACCTAGATAACAGCATCCATGTTCAAGCTTTTCCCTTGCCTGGATAACTTCTATTCATCTTCCAGGCCTCAGCTTAGATGTCACATCTACCCAGAGCCTTCTATGGATTCACTTCCAAGTCTAGGCTGGGTAAACTTCTCAAGTGCTCGTATAGTCCCCTGAACTTGAAACTGCAGTGTATTAGGCATTAAGGAAACAAATATTAAAAAGCAAACTTCCAGGTATCCCTGATCAAGCTTAATAAGGAAGAAATCAAGGAACTATATGTGTGTTTTCTGGCTGGAATGGGTGGAGCAGGCAGAACCATAGTGGAAGAAGGAAACAAGATGGTGTTGGGTATTCAAGGACTTAGAACAGAGGGCAAAAGCTGGGGACAAGGAGATGTCCTAAACAGTGGTGCTTTTCATGGCTGCGTTGGCTATTCCACAGAATCTCAGAAACTCAGCTTTGGGAGAGAACTTTAAAATCATGTGGCACAACCCACATCCAGTACAGGAGTTATGTTACTCTTGAGTTTGTCAGGGTTAGACAAAGGACTAACACACATTTATAAAAACTCAAGTTCAAGGGATGCACTGGTGATACAAAGTTGAAGATGCACATGATTTCTGCCCTTAAAGAACTTGTCAGGTGGCCAGATAGTAGAGAATAAATGGGCATTTATCTATCCATTCAGCAAACATTTATTCCATGCTCTATATGCCAACACAGTACCTTGAAAGACTAGTGTTATTATCACCTCCATTTAATAGATCAGAAAGTTGGGTCTTAGCAAGATTAAGTACTTTGTGAAAGGTGCAGTTATGGTACCTGGCACCATTGTAAGCACTTTGCATCTGTTAGTTTATATGCCAAGCACAACAGCCTCCTATGAGGTAGGTACTTTTGTTAGCTTCATTTCACATATGAGGAAATGATGATCAGAGAGGTAAGTCACTTCCCCAAGATCACACCACTCATAAATGGTAGAGCAAGGGTTCAAACCCAGGCAATCTGGTTCCAGCATCCATGCTTTTAACCACCATGTTATATTGATAAATTGTTCAACCAGTATTGTCAATGTATGAGAGTCATTTAATGAGCAATAACGTAATACGTAACTTGTGTCAATTCTTTTAGTGTCCTTGATTTTTCTCTCCATTCCTTATTGTCCAGTTAACTCCACGCCACCAAGAATAAATAACAGAGAAGGAAAAGAACACAATTATCTGGGAGTGATTTTGGCAGTAGGTTGGGACCATTGCTTAGAGTGGGCGCTCTTACCTTCAGGTAACTTCAAACTTCTAACTTCTCAAATAATCTGTACATTCTAGTATGAATAAGCTTATTTGCATTTTTCTGAGAAGCTCTACAGCTTTCTAAGACTTCCTTGAGAAATGTGTGACATAAAAAGAGAAGAACCAACTAAAGGAAGAAAAAAAAAAGCCAATTAGCCTACTGGAATCTAGCCAATCATTGGCTAATTCTATATTTATTATTAAAAAATAAAATCCATAAATGCTATGGGGCCATTAAAAATATTTACAACCCTGGGTTGATATAGAAAATGCTGATGCTGAAATGTTAAGTGTAATGTCTACTTTACTTCACCTAATTCCTCCTCAATCCACGCATATTTTGTTTCCTTGCCTCCACACTGGACTGTATCTGTCAAGGTCACCTTCACCTTGTTGGATCCAGCAGCTAGTTCTCTATCCTCAGCTTTCAGTACAGTCAGCCACTGGCTCTGTTCCCATGTCGAGAGTAGTCCGTTTCTGTCTCACTGGCTCTTTTCCAGGCACCTTCTGGCCACTGCTAATAAGTTGGACCCAAATTAAACTTGGGTCTTCTCCTCTTCTTCATTCTCCTTTTCATCACTCTCTCCCTGGGTGACCTCATCCAATTCCATGGCTTTAAGTATTTTGCATTCTCAGTAAAGTGCAGATAAGGTATTTAATTCACACCTCCAGCCCCGACCTCTACAGTGAGTTCTAAGTAGGTATGTATGCAATTGTCTACATAACATCTCTCCTTGGCTATCTAAGATGTTAGCACCTCAGACTAAATATTTCCAAAAAGAATTATTATTATTGGCAGTGTTGTTCAGTTCACAGAACAGTGTACTGCCCATAGTAGACTCTCAAGAAACATCTGCTGAATGAATATGTGAAAAAAATATATATACAGTACACACAGAGACACACACATGTTTGCACAATTATGTTTAACAACATGACATTAGAGTGGTGGGAAAAACACCAGATGCTAATGGTAGTGCATGAAATTATAAGATTCTTTTTTTTTAAAACTCCTTATCTATTTTTCAGATTTATTTAGAGCATAGTAGTTAAGAAATCAGACTTTGGAACTGAGTGACCTCTGCCAGACCGCCACTTACCTTGCTTTCTTCACATGCCAAAAGGGGCTTAAAAATACGTATCTCATTTATAATCATGCAGCATTCACAGTGTGCTTGAGGACTAGACCGAAGAAATAAAATGGAATCACTATACTCAGGCTACTAAACTGTTAAAATCAAGGAGTTTGAGATATAAGGAAAGGCTGTGTCGATGCCTGCATCTACAGCAAACCCCGGGATAACACTCTGATTTCCCTACCCCCCTGAAGGACTCAGGAGAGAATGGTCCTAGCTCCAGACCACCTGAGGTCATTATCCAGACCAGGGATCCGCTACAGGATTACCATCTCATCAACCCAGAGGCTAAGCATGCACAACTGATTCTTCTCAGGAATGTACTTTGTACTGTAAGAACCCTCAGCGTTTTGTTCTTTTTCAGACCACTCTGGGTATTGCCTAGTTGTATTTTCTGTTTGCAAACCCTGGGAACCTTGAATAAACCTTTATCACATACTTCTACACAAAGATTCCCGATTCATTTGTTCAGTGCACACGCCTTACTGTGAAATTATGAATGTAAAGACCTTCGCAGGGTGCAGGATACGTAGTAAGTGCTGGTTAAGTGTTAGCTGAAAATGATGAGAAACGTTTTCTTTCATAATAAAAACACACACATTCCTTTTGCAACTTCACTAAAAAGATGTAAAAAGAGCTCCACCCACAAACCCCGCGGCAGGCGCCTGCGCCTCCCACGGCTCTCGGACCGCTCGGCCCAGGATGCGCCTGCTCCGTCCCCTTCTTCCGCGCACGTGACCGTCTCAGGCTCCTCCCCTGCCCAACATGGCGGCCTCCAGGCGCGCAAGCTGCACGTGAGAGTTTGGAATCCGAGAGCGCAAGTGTCCGCCGGTTTCCCCTGGTTACCTTCGGGCGCACCCCTTCCACCCTTCCGCAGGCCCTCGTGGGCCGCTGCCGTACGCCGTCATGAAGACAAAGCCCGTTTCCCACAAGACCGAGAACACGCATCGGGTGAGCGAGGGAGCTTGGGGCCCGGGAGCCAGGAGTCCCTGGCGTCTCAGCCGAGGAACTGGCTCTCAGCGGGACTCCCGGGGCTGCAGTGTTGTGGGCCAAGCGTGAGTCACTTGCCCGGTGGCGCCGGCAAAAGAGAGGGAGTCTCTAGGGTAGTAAACATGGGGTGCGGAAGGAAGTCTGGCATCAGACTTCGCCCGTACTTTGTGGAGTCTGGAGTTCCATTCACCCCGACACACAGATTCCTTACGGAGCTGTTCTCCCCTCTTGTTCTACCTTTAAAGGCCAAGTAAGAGGGCGGGCCGGTGGGAGGATGTGAGTGATTTCCAGCCGGTGGCTACTACACCGTTTTCTTTTTGTCCCTTGAGAGTTTCTAGTTTCTTCTTAGGTTTGTATATGTTTAAAAACACTATTATTGCAACGACTTAGCCAAATACCTCTACTTTTAGAGGGATGTGAAGCCTAGCAGTAGCTCTAGCAAGGCCACATCACCAGCTTTCACTTAGGTCCATCCCAGGCTAGCATGAAGAGTTTATTTGAAGTGGCAGAACTGAAAGAACTTATACTAACACATTTATAGAAGTATTGTTTTATCTTCGTATAGTAGTGCAGTGCATCTGTTTAAGGCTGTGTCTTTCGGTTTGTTTTTACACTTATCTTTTAATTCATCAGTGAAACCTACTTGTAGCTCCAATACTCAATTTATACATGATTGATTGAAAAGACAAGTCTGAAATTGCAAGCGAAGCATACCGTTATATGTAAATTATAGGACATGAGGAGGCTTATGGAAGCTTTAATTTTTTGTATTTTCAAGAGGAATTTTTGTCCACATGTGATTATTATACAGCATTCAATTTGATACTCTAGATGTGATAAGTACTAAATGATGATGTTTCTTAAATATGGTCCTCCCTTTCCCTGCAGTTTCTTACATTTGCTGAACGATTGGGGAATGTGAATATTGATATTATTCACCGGATCGATAGAACTGCGAGCTACGATGAGGTAAGAGAATGTTATACGAAACAGTCTTCACGTATTTATAGTTCTTCACTCCTCCTAGAAGTGGATTGTTTTTCAAACCATTCCTTTATGAACACGAAATGCATTAGACCCGTCTAATACAACAGCCACATATGACAAATGAGATTTAAATTAAATTAAAAATTCAAGTGCTCAGTAGTCATATGTGGCTAGTTGCTACCTTATTGGACATATGGAAATATGAAACATTTCCATCATTGCAGAAAGTTCTATTGGGTGATGCTGTGATAGACAGCTGACTTGACACCCAGGTGGCTTCTGTGGTTCCAGCCTCTCTCTCTCCCGCGTCCTTTCTGAGGACTGTTGCAGATCCATATTCTGAAGCTACAATTTTAAAGAGATTTTTAGCAAGTCACTTTCCTGGGGTTTAATTTCCCCTTTTATGAAAAGAAAAGGAGCCTGGCTGGTGTGGCTCAGTGGTTGAGCAAACCCATGCACCGAGAGGTCACTGGTTTGATTCCTGGTCAGGGCACATGCCCAGGTTGTGGGCCAAATCCCCAGTGGGGGGCATGCAGGAGGTGGCCATTTGATGTTCTCTCTCATTGATGTTTCTGTCTCTCTCCCCCTCTCCCTTCCTCTCTCTCTAAAATCAATAAAGAAAAAAATAAATACATAAAAAATATGTTTAAAAGAAAGAAAGGGGCTAGGACTACATTTTTTTTTCCCTAACTCTGTCACTGCTTGAAAAAAAATCTTGCTTTTTGTTGCTTCAAGTGATTACCTCTCTGCTAGCCTCTTACAGTCCTGTGTAACATGTTTTCAGCTTAGGAATTCAATCTCAGCTCTTAACTATTCATCACCTGGCTCTAGTAGGACTCTGCTCACTCTTTCTTTGAATGCCTTATCTCCAATGTGTGAATTCAGTGTGTTAAATGATGTTATCTAGGTAAGCACATAATACTTTGTGAACTCAGTCAAGGGAGCCTAACCTAAATCCTTTGTGGGTGTAGGGTGGGGTATCAGAAATGATAACATAGCCCTGGCCAGTTTGGCTCAGCGATTAGAGAGTTGGCCCTTGGACCAAAGAGTCGCGGGTTCAATTCCGGTCCAGGGCACGTACCTCAGTTGCTCTTCGTCCCTGACCCTGGTTGGGGTTGTGCAGGAGGCAACCAGTCCATGTGTCCCTCTCACGTCAATGTTTCTCTCTCTCTTCCTCCCTCCCACTTTATCTGAAGATAAATAGAAAAATATCTTCAGGTGAGGATTAAAAAAAACAAAAAAAAATAATATAGTTGATGTGATACCTGAATATAGTCTTGTTGTTTGTATAGGTTTTAGCATGGCAATAGGACAGGAAAGGCTGTTTAGGCTGAGGGAGAAGCACATATAAAGGAATAGAAGCTAGAGAATGCTTATCACATTCAGGAAACTACAAAGCAGTTCACTCTGGTTGTTGTATTTAGAGTCTGTGGGTGCATGTGTATGTGTGTGTTGTTGGTGACTGGAATGGGAGAACGGAGTACCTGGTGAGAGAAAACAGAAAGAATAGTCAAGGATCATAAAGCATTTCATATGTCAAGCTAAGTTTGGATTTTATCCTGAAGCAATGGGAATTCAGGGATTTTAAGGCAGGGGAGTGAAAGACTTGGTGAGGTTTAAGCTTTATATTTCTCTGGCTTTAGTGTGGAGGAAAAATCAGGACTGGAGTCTGGGTAACTAGCTGTGAGGATTTGGTAGTTACCTAAATAAGAAATGACTGTGGTAGTTGCAATCAAATGAAGAGAAGGGAAGGATTCCAGAGATAATCAATAAGTAGAATCGATAAGACTTGTGACCTGCTGGATATGCAGGGAGGAATGGAATGGGATCACGTTTTTTGGTTTCAACAACTGGGTGGTTGGGGATATTATTTACCAAGATAGATTTATAGGAAGAGGAGCATGAGATTGGTTTTGTTTTGGGCTTGTTAAGATTGATATACCTGTGGCTGTCCAACCGATAGTGTCCAAAAAACATTTGGATGTATGGATCTGGAGACTTCAGAGGTAGAATTACAGATTTAACATTCACCATATGGTTTATAGTTCAAGCCACAGGAGAAGTTGAAAGTACTAAAGGATTGAGTGGTAGGTTAGCAGAAAAGAGAGCCTGGAATGGGATCCTGGGCTGAATGATCCAGCATGGCCTCAATCAAATGTCTGGCTATCGACTGAGACCTGTTGGTCTAGGTTGTCCTTGTAGCCTCTTCTCTAATAAGCTAGACTAGGCTTCTTTTTGTGATGGCAGAATCTTTCCAGGAAAGCGAAAGCAGAAACTACAAAGCCTCTCAAAGACTAGCTTTAGCAGTTGCAGGGTCATTTATTGCATGTTATTGGTCAAAACAAGTCATAAGGCTAGGCCCGATTTGAGGGATGAGGAAGTGAACTATGTTTCTTGGGGTAGATACTGTGAGTCACATTGCAAAAGGACAAGGGGATAGTCTATCAAAGTAGTTGACATATACCAGTCATAGTGCTAGGCTAGGAATGCCTTCAGCATTTAGGTTTTAAACTGTTAGATGTATTTTCCTTCTCCCTTAAGAGACACTGAACAAAATTTAATTGGATTCTCTTTCTTTCTGTCCATTCTCCTTAACTATTGATTTTATTTTATTTTTATTTTTTAAAGATTGCCAAGTGTAAGGATTTACCTTTTTTTGAGACTGTAGAAGATCTGACATGCTGTCCGTGTCTGCGCTTACGTATTTCTCTCTTTCTCTGTTTCTTTCTCTCTCTCTCTCTCTTTATATATTCTCATATATAACAATATGTTCTCCCTCTCTCTACATATGTATATCCATATATATGTTTATATATATGTATATATACATAAACATACCTATATATATATATGTATGGTAATAATTTGTTGGTTTACCTTTCAAAGTACAAAGTAATATATACTCTGTTCACAAGCTAAATAATGTAGTGATGAACTTAGACAAATATATTATCACCGCCCTCCATCCCTGTTGCCAAGGAAACTGATATTGGCAGTTTGGTATATGTGTATTCTTCCATGCTTTTCTCTCATACAAATATGTGTGAACATTTATTGAGGTCTGTTTTTTTAAAAAGAAAAATTGGATCTTACTATACAGTTGACTGGGCAACTTTTATCACTTTGGGGGGTATATTATTAACTTCCTCCTTATTCAATATAGTATAGATCTTTTTAATTTAATTGCCACATAATATATACCTTAATATGTATTGATTGTAAGTTATTCCAATCATTTTTCTGTGTTGGATATTTAGGCTGTTTTATGTTTTCCCCTCCCTCACTCTAATACAGCTAAATAAACATCTATATATACTTGTATATTTACAAGTTTTATAAGAAATATCTCCAAAAGGGGAATTACTGGGTCAAAAGGCGTACCTGTTTTTAATTTTAGTAGAAATGCCAGATTACTTTCCCATATGGGTTATAGCAGTCCATATTTCCAAAAATAACTGTGAAGGGTGCCTTCTGGGCCTAAAAGTGTAAAAACATAGAAAACAGGTTTTTTCCTTAGTGTGACTATTATATGGGTTTTAGAGAATTATTTGCTGCAACCAAATCAACAACTTTGTTAAGCATTTCTCCTTATACACCTGAATAATAAGTATGTTAGTTAATGCCCTTTTAGAAATAAAAGTTTCTTTAACTCTTGACTATCAGCATTGTCTTAAGATATTAATATACCACTATTATTATTTACTTTGATTATAGTTTGTCTTTGAATTATCTGATTAATGGACTGCTTTACTCTTGACAGGAGGTTGAAACCTACTTTTTTGAAGGTCTGCTGAAATGGAGAGAATTGAACCTTACGGAACACTTTGGTATTTTCTATTTTGTTTCTATGTTGTTCACCTGTCATTTGCACTCTATATGTTCAAAATAACTAAATAGTGGTATGATGGAGAAGCAGAACTTTTTTTTTTTTTATTATCCAGGGAAATTTTACAAAGAAGTTGTTGACAAATGTCAATCATTCAATCAGCTGGTCTATCATCAAAATGAGATAGTTCAGAGTTTGAAGACTCACCTGCAAATCAAGAACAGTTTTGCCTATCAGCCTCTTTTGGAGTAAGTAATATGTTGAGAGAAAGCCCAGGAACATTTGTCTGAATTTTATGAAAGGTTATGTTTTATAGCTACATATGCCTTAGATCTGATGTTTGTAAATTAAAAATAAGAACTTACCTTTTCTGTAGTCTCAATACTAGTGCATTGCCATAAAGCAGAATCTCAGGTATATACTTTTTTGCTTTTGTTTTATACTTTTAAGAGAACCCCACTTTTCTCTGATACAGTAGGAATGATTGACCGTGGTTTGTAAACTGTGAAAAACTTTATACCTCTCTTGAGACTTGATCTGGAAGGTTTAATTGATCCTGTCATAGGCCATCAGCTGTCATTTATGAAATAGTCTTGCAGTATTTGTTTTTTGGTCTGTATGTCTCACAAACGTTACTTTTTCTTGTTTTTGATCCAGTTTGGTTGTACAGTTGGCACGAGATCTGCAGACAGACTTCTATCCACATTTTCCGGATTTTTTTCTGACTATCACCCCAATCCTGGAGACTCAGGACACCGAGTTGTTAGAATGGGCTTTCACCTCGCTGTCATATCTTTACAAGTACCTGTGGAGGCTCATGGTGAAGGACATGTCCAATATATACAGGTGACCCTTTTCTCTCCACTATGGGGGTTTATCTTTTTTCTTTTTTTTTTAAATTACATTTTCTTGACAATTGAGTGCTGTTGGGTAAGTTGATAAAGTAATGCAGCAGTCATCACAATCCAGTTTAAGAACATTTCCATCATCTCCAAAAGATTTCTCTTGCCTGTTTGCAGTCAGTCTTGCTCCCCACTTGCATTAGTTCTGAGAGCAAAAACAATGTCAGTGTTCAAGAGTGCCCCTGAAAACAGCTGTGTGCTTGAGGCCCCTAAAGAGAAAATCCTCAATAATGAGATTTTTAGCATTTAAGTTTGTAAGTTTTTGTTCATACTGACAACCAGGAGAGAATTTCTGACTCTCACATGTATTTAACTAAAACATGCCTAACACCTGCCATTGTGCACCTGCTGACTCTAATATGTTCTTTAATTGCTTGCTCCCTGGCTTCTGACTCCAAACTATTTTTCCAGCTCAGTCTCCAGTTATTTTCTTATATAAAGTTGGTTCTCCAGCCAGAGTGGTTCACAGTCCAGTTCGCCAGTATGCCTTAACCTGACCTTCTCTTACATGCAGCTATTGAAATCATATCCTCCTCCCCATTAAAGCCTGGCTTGGATTCCATAACCTGCACTAATGTTCCCGGCTACCTTGGCCAAGAATGAAAGCTTTGTCCTCAACCCCTCTGGCATTCCATACCACTTACATTATACAACTTCTGTTAATTGTTTGTTCGTAATGTAATGGTATCCTCTACAAACCTGTAAACTCTTCAAGATCATCATCTCAAATATCTACATTTCCTCAGCTTCTATCCTAGTTATTAAGCCAAAAGAGACACTCAGGATTTGTGAGCAAATGTGAAGAGGGAAAGATAATGAATTTTATAGTAGCTTTTTGTTTAAAATAAGGGAACGATTGTTTGTAATCTATTTCAGCTTGGGATTTGATGGAATTTTTCACTTGGTGTCCTGATTATTTCTACATACTTTAATTGCCATATGGATACATAGATGACTCTTCTCCCCTGCCATATAGATGTGGGTATGAGATAAGGCTGTAGATTTTGTTTTTATATCACCCCTGTTGGCCCTACCCTCCTTTGAACAAAGAATGAGAAAAATATTTTTCCAGCCTGTACTAGTTCTCAATGAAGTTTTGGTCAAGTATATTAGAAACTAAGATTACTTTATTAAAAACCATTGAGATCTTGGGGGGATATATAGTTTATTTGGTTTTATGAGTTCTGTTAATTTTATATCTCCTTAGTCAGGTTCTCTAGTTTTAAATGTATCTGCTTTTTTTTTTTTATCCTTGTCCGAGGACATTTTTGCATTTATCTTCAGATAGAGCAGGAGGGAGAGAGGGAGGAAGAGAGAGAGAAACATCAACGCGAGAGAGACACATTGAGTAGTCGCCACCACACGACCCCAACTAGGGCTGGGGACAGACTACAAACGAGGTACGTGCCCTTAGTGGGAACTGAACCCAGAACTCTCTGGTCCGTGGACCGACACTCTAACCACTGAGCCAAACCGTCCAGGGCTAAATGTACTTGCTTTTGGTATAACATCTTTAGCAGCCTGGATATTTTCATTTGAGTATTACTGAAATCAAAGTCAGTACATTCCATTCAAGCCAACTCTTTTCATTCATTCATGTGTTCAGGAAATAGGTACTCCATGTCAGGCCCCATTTGGTTGTCCAGTTTCTAATAGTAACACCATCCTTCTTCCCATCATGGAGACTTGGTGCCTTAGAGGCATCTTCGACCAGTGTCTTTAAAGACTCCAGGTCCTCTTAATTCTGTTATTCATGCCTGCAATCAGTTCAGTGAATTGAACACTGACTGTGTGTCAGGCACTTGAGATAAAGTCACAAAGAAAACATAAAAAAATCCCTCCTCTTTCACAGTTTACATTTAAACAGGTAGAGAACATCTTGGGCATGTGCCTAGCTTGAGTGGGGATTGACAAGGAAGCCTGGGTAGTTGAGTGGCATGTTAAGGGAAAGTAATTAGATGATGTCAGGGTCATGGTAGTTAGGGGGCCAGATCATAGAAGGCCTTGTGGACACTGTTAGTCTTTGGTTGCATTGCAAGGACTCCTGAAATATTTCAGGTCCATCCTTTGCCATTCCTCTATTACCAACCTCTTTCATGCCCTTGTTCTCCCAAGCTTATATGGCTTGAGCAGCTTTCTAGTTGGACTGCTAGTCTCTTCTTTCTTCCTTTATTTTATCCTGTAATTGCTGCCAAATTAGTCTTTCTGAAAATAATCATTTTTTTAGCCAATATTAGCACCTGTTATGAGCAAGGAACTGTTAGGTAATAGGGGTATGGCAAAGATAGGAAGATATACTCCATGCTCTCCTGTCATTAGGGACACCAATTTAAACAGTAATTATACCAGTACTTAATTATAGCTACATGACTCTCTGACCTTGAGCAGGGTGATTAGGCTTTTGGCCTCAGTTTCATTATCTGTAGAATAAAATAATAATACTCCCTACCCTATAGAGTTGTGTTGATCACATAAGGTAACAGAGAGGGGCCCAGCTCCTCTGCTTGGTGTTCAGAGCCACCTGTTTACTGGCAGCTTTATCTGCAGCTGCCTGCCGCCGCCTCCTCTTGACCATGATCATTTCTGCCCCCTCCACCTTTGATCTCGCTCTTACCTCTAGGATATGCACTTTGGTTGTCGCCTGAATTCTTACTGTTGTTCAGGGCTCACTAAAGTTTCAACTTGTCATGGAGTCTTTCCTATAAGTCCAGTGCCACCAATCCTATGCTTCTTAATGTCTGTGACCTTCAGTCTTCTGTTCCAACATGTGGGTGTCTTGGTAAATCAAAGGAGATTTTTAACTCCTTGTTTTATAGCTGTTACATATTGTAGCATGTCATACATCTTTATTAAAGGTATAAATTATTTCTCATTTATAGGATGTATAGTACACTCCTGGCTCATAAAAAACTGCATATAAGAAATTTTGCTGCTGAAAGCTTTACTTTTTTGATGAGAAAGGTTAGTCTGATATTTTATATGTTTATTGCTCATTAATCCTCAAGAACCTGATGAACAAAAGTTAGTATCTTTTATAATGTAGTTATTATGGAATAATTATATATATGTGTATGTATACACACACCTGTACGTATCTTAAGTTGATCGCACCATCGTTGTAGTCTCACCAATGTGAAATAATTTTGTTAATTCTTTTATTGTTATTTAGGTTTTTGGAACTTTTCTGTGTGTGTGTGTGTGTGTGTGTGTGTGTGTGTGTAAAAGTACCCCCTATTCAAGCCAGTAAAGACATGAACAGTGAAATTAACAGGAATTTTTATAATGATTTCCTGGAAGGAATTGATTGCATGGTGTCCTTTGTGTTGGTTTTCATAGTAAATTTTAGAGGGTTTTGTAATAAAACAAGAACCTTGGTATTAAACTCATACAATATATGATTTTCTACTAAAGACAGAATGTTTCCTTACGTAGTTTTCCTTGATACATCCCTTAAACCAAGGAATTGCTTACTCTTGTGTGATATTACAAGTGTTAGTATACTATTATAGTAGTTTGAGATCATTACAAGTATCTATTCCTTTTAGAATTTTGTCCTAATTATACTTAAATATGAGTCTGTAGAATAGCCAGTAAAATTTTTTCATCTAGATATGTTTATATTTTAAATACAATTTTTTGTTTACATTTTATGTTTTAGGTTTCTGATAGAAACGCACTTTTTAATTTAATGTTCCTTGATCTCGATGAACATCCAGAAAAAGTCGAAGGAGTTGGACAGTTGCTCTTTGAAATGTGCAAAGGAGTGAGAAATATGTTTCACTCCTGTACGGGGAAGGTAAGTGACCGGGAGGAATACTTCCAGTCTGTGTGAAAGGGATTAACAAGCAAACCGAAAAGGTTTACTGAAATGGTGGACAGAATACTGCTGAGAATAAATAGCACTGAATGGGGAGCATTAAGGCTTTAGCAGCAGTGTTTACCTAATGTACGCTCTGGATCACAAGGCATTTTTACTTATAAGACTGTTGCTCTCTTCATTCTGAATCCTAGAAGGTAACATCAGTTGATTATTGAGCAAAAGTGGGTGTGGAGGGACAGCTGGGTGATAAAATTCCTATCCTGTTTGGAAATTCCTTTTAAGACAGTTAACCATCAAAGCTGGCATATCCGCCCTGGCTGGTTTTGTTCTGTGGTTAGAGCGTTGGCCTGCAAACCAAAGAGTCCCAGGTTCGATTCTGGCCAAGGACATATACCTCGTTTGTGGTTAATCCCCGGCCCCATTTGGGGTCTTGCAGGTGGCAACCGATCAACGTGTCTCTTACATCAATATTTCTCTCTCTTCCTCCTACTCTGTCTGAAAATAAATATAAAAATATCCTCGGGTAAGGATTTAAAAAATAAAAAGCTGCCATATCCTTGATTATTCCTAGATTTGATTTTAAGGTACTTAATACAATCAGAGTGGGAAATTAGAGTTTACATGTTTATTTTAATCACTCTTTAATTCCTACAGGCAGTGAAGCTAATTTTACAAAAGCTAGGACCAGTTACTGAAACAGAAACCCAGCTACCATGGATTTTAGTTGGAGAAACACTAAAAAACATGGTAAAATCCACTGCGTTCTACATCTACAAAGAACATTTTGGTATATTTTTTGAACGTTTGCAAGTGAGTTCTAATTTTTGACGATTTGTATGTAATAAGAGTCCAAGAGTTGATTGTTTTGTCTTGGCTAGCAGACCACTCCTGGAAATTGCATTTTATAATTGCCCTTGTACTTTACACATTTATTAAGATTTTCCTTCCCTCAACCCCCTGTACCATTTTTATTTGATTTGATAGTTTGAGATGCAATAGAGCATAGTGGTTAAGAGAGCAAGTTTTGTAGCCAGACTGCCCATGTTTGAGTCTTGGAGTCTTGGCTTTGCCACTTATTATTAGTACAACTTGAGAAAGTTATTTAAGTCTCTATTCTCCTGTCTTTTTAAAATGGGATACTAGTATTTCCTCCTCAATGGTTGCCATGTGGCTTGTGACAAAATACTTATAAAGAACTTAACAACCGCCTGGCTGGTATGGCTCGGGTTGAGCGTCGACCCTTGCACCAAGAGGTCACCGGTTCAATTCCCAGTCAGGGCACATGCCCAGATTGTGGGCCCGATCCCCAGTGGGGGCTGCAGGAGGCAGCCAGTTGATGTTTTCTCTCATTGATGTTTCTATCTCTCCCTCTCCCTTCCACTCTTTCTAAAAAATAAAAATAAAAAAAGAATAAAAAAGTAAAAAAGAGAACTTAACAACCGTGCACTCAGAAATGTTAGCCATTGTTATCATTAGTAACTCCCAGTAAATGGGTCTTTGTCTTTCAAAGCAAAAGTATGTGAAAATTTTGAACTGCTTCACACAATGTTTTTATTATTTAGTTAACAGATGAGTGGGATATTTTATAATTATTATCTCTGTTAAATACTCTCTCTTTTAAATAAATTCTTTGTATGCAGGAATCACTCCAGGACCTACATATGAAAGTAACCCAAACTAACTGTGGTGAAAGTTCTGAACAGATTAAAAGGTTGTTAGAAACTTATCTGATACTTGTGAAACATGGAGGTGGATCGAAGATAACCAAGCCTGTTGATGTTTGTAAGGTGAGTTCCCAACCTAACTTGCTTCAAGGTTGTTCATTAAAAGCTGATTGCTAATACACATTGTCTTGTCTTTTATTTACAGGTATTGTCTCGAACGTTACAAATAGCCCATCTCTCCACATCTTGTCGGGCGACCCTCTTGGATGTAATTTCGGCTTTGATCCTAGGCGAAAATGTTGCCTTACCAGAAACCCTCATCAAAGAAACCATAGAAAAAGTAATTTGTTTCAGCAAATACTAATTGATTAGTTAATAATATGTTTAGCATTGTGTAAGCCCTGGGGAGTATAAACGAATCCTGGCAAAGGCTCTGCCTTCAGCGAATTTAGTCTCATCAATAATCTTTGAATTGCATGCTATAATAAGGAAAACACAGTGTGATAAAAACTAAATCTGTTTGTTAAATATTCAAGTATACATAGCCTTCATCATGCTGGGTATGGACTACACTTCACAGTGGGCAGTAGGGTGCCTACGATTCTTGATAGGGCAGTGGGCCTGAGAGTGAGGAGTTCCAGTTTGTGGAACTAACCTGTTGTCCTACGGAAACATAATGGTTACTTTTGTCTGGGGTTGAGGAACAGAGATTGCTTTTCTAAGAACTTGTGTTTGGGATGGTCCTTGAAGGTTAAATAACAGTTTGCTAGTCAGAGAAGGGATAAAAACTCTTCTAGGAGAGCAGTCAGCAAAGCTGTATTTAAAAATGTATGCCATCGTGGCACGTGGACCCACGAGAAAGTGTGATGCACGTCAGATCAGCAAGGCTCTGCTTGGCTTTGGAAAGTTAGGTTGGATGTTGTCCTGCAAGTATTAGAGGGCCCTGGAAAGATTTTAAGCAGGGAAATGATTTGCTGAATTTACATTTGAGTGAGTTTAGAAAATGGATTGGAGGGATGTGGGATTGAAAATAGGTCAGTTAGGTTCTTCCTATAGCTTTGTGTAGTGCAGCAGTAGAAATATGTAGAGGAAGGTGTAAATTTGTGCTGCTGGCTCCTACATAATTCTCTGCTGCTGGAGAGAATTGAACAGCCCTGGCAGAGCCCTGTATGCTCACGAGAAACACAGTGCCCTTCACATCTGTGTAAGTTCTTCCTATGGAGAACGCTTAGCATGCGGACAGAATTATTCTAGCTGCTTCCCCAAGGAGGCCTCCGTGCTGCCAGGCCGGTGTCTCCCACTGGGGTGTGTCCCTCTGCAGGTTCACTAGTCAAGTTCTTTCCCCTCCAGTGACTGTGTTAACTTGTAGCAAGCATCTCACTACTTTCAGCTAGCAACTTAGAGGGCCTTGAGGTTTTGGATGTTTTGTTTTTTCAGGAATGGGGAAAGTAGTCGGTGTACTTACATTAATATTTTTGACTTTTGGTCCACAGATTTTTGAAAGCCAATTTGAAAGACCATTAATTATGGATTTTTCTGAAGTCATGTTTGCTATGAAGCAATTTGAGCAGGTGAGCAAGATACTAAGTTTCGATTTGTTTGGATTTTCATTCATCATGGTAAAATAATCAGATTTTAAATCCTGTGATTTTTGTTTGCTTTTTTTTTTCTCCTTAGAGGAACAGAATAGGTTCTGGATGTTTTTATTCCTACATATTTTTAAAGCAATTATATTCCACTTTCAGGTCACAGGAAATTGTATTCCATATGCTAGGGCATTTTAAATGATGTTGGGTAACCAGCTTGTTTTTATTTTTTTCATTTACAGTTGCCATTCAATATTATGTTAGTTTCAGGAACCAGCTTGTTTTTATTTATATATTTACTTATTTTTAAATATATTTTTATTGATTTTTTTTTAGAGAGAGATAGAAACATCCATGTAAGAAAGAAACATCGATGTGCTGCCTCCTGCATGCCCCCTACTGGGGATCGAGCCGGAAACCCTGGCATATGCCTTGACTGGGAATCGAACCAAGACCTCAGTCCATGGGGTGATGCTCAATCCACTGAGCCACACTGGCCTGGCAACCAGCTTGTTTTTAAATAATCCTTTTGGGAGTTATAGAAATGTGGTAAAATTGAGGGAAAAAAAACAGTTTCAGGAACTTTTATGTGAATTTGAAGTATAGAAAATAGTTTCTAAACACTGCATTGGAGGAATGTTACAAATTCATTTCATTGCTACAAAATAGATACTTGATGGAATGAGGTAGAAATCTTTCTCATCAAATCCTGAGTTTATTTTATCCCTTTCCCCTCATTCCCTTCAAACATTTGCCAATCCTTGTAACTAGAAACCTATCTCAGTATCTGTTCTCTGTTTTTCCCTTTAGTCTTTAATAATATATGTTATCATTTGTCTCAAAAAAACCCCAACAAAACCCTTTTCTGAACACATCTAGGTCTGTTCCTTCCTGCCCAGTGAGGGCCCTTTATCTGGCTTTGTTTATTTTTAACAACTGCATGTTTTCCTTCTTCCTTATTCCCTCTCATCTTTTTAAGAGAATGTTATATTTATCAGAGTACACTATGGTGTTTAAAGTCAAAAGGGCTAAAAGGGAGTCACTTGATTTCCACTTCCATCTTACTCACCAGGAAAAAACCATTTAGTGTTTTGGGCTGTTTTTTTTTTCTGGTATTTACATTTTTAAATCATCTGAATTTACTGCTTTTTCTCTGTACATTAGTTTTAGCTTCATCTGTAGACTTCCTCTATGGCAGATGGGTTATGGTTCTCTTACACCTCTCATCTTAATAGTTACATCACAAACTTTGGCTGAATTCATATTCACCATATACTTAATCCTTACTGCAAAATGAATATTTTATAATGATATTCCTTTCTTGTATACCTTCTCATATTTCCTGAAACTGCTCCATTCTTTAGAAACCAGAAATGGTTTTCTTTGAATAGCTGGTCAATGAGTCTGTTGTGGAATGCCTGTCACATAGCAAACGGCCAGATAATTTATCAGCTCAGTCCCCCCCCTTTCTGGAGACATTCCTCCTGGAGCAGTTCTAGGAGGGTTGCTTTCTCAGCCCGCTGCACACTTGTCAGATTAGAACATCCTTTACTTTTCTCTTATGTCTTGTGTTAGAGTTTACTGTCTTATTTTGATGAGCATTCTTCAGAGGTTAATGGTAGTAAAATTTTGAGATTTAGTACATCTGAAAATGTCTTTATTCTCTCCTCCCACTATGTTACTAGTAGGCTGCGTATATAATTCTAGATTGTCATTTTCCCTGAGTTTTTCAGGCATTGCTCCGTTGTCCTCTGTCTCCCATTGTTCTAGTGGAGAGGTCTGATGCTTTCATGATTTCTCATTCCTGATTATGATCTATTTGCTTTCTCTGTGGAAGTGTTAGAATCTTCTTTTACTTAGGTGTTCTGAATTTTATATTGGTTACTAAGTGTGATTTTTTTTTTCTTATTTTTAGCTCTTTCTACCCAACTTTCTCTTATATATTGAGGATTGCTTCTTGATCGATGATGCTGCAGTCCGAGATGAAGCCCTGGCCATTTTGGCCAAGCTCATTCTGAACAAGGCTGCACCTCCCACTGCTGGCTCGATGGCTATTGAGAAGTACCCTCTGGTTTTCTCGCAGCAGACAGTGGGGTAAGTTCTGCGTCTTTATTCCGTGTTGTTGGTAAAAAATAATGCATTAACAATACTGTAAAAGTGATCTATATGTAGTAACTGGAAAGATGTCCACGACATACTGTTATATGGAAAAAGCAAGTTGTAGAATAGTATGTGAAATACTCCATTTGCAAAGTTAAAACGTAAAGTGTACCTAAGCGTGGGAAAACACATGGAAGATACACAGACGGTTAATTTGGTGAATGTCAGGAGGATGGTAAGTGAAAGAAAGATGTGACTGTTAATCTTTTGTTTTAAAATACATTCATGTGCAGTTGCAAGAAATAGTTACAGGGAGATTCCGTATACCCTTCACCCAGTTTTTTCCAGCGGTAGCCTCTTACGTAAGTTCACTGCAATATCACAACTAAGAAATTAACATTGGTACAATGCACAATTCCATTTATATAGTATTTGGGACCTACAGCTAGGCAGAGTTCTTAGACTTGACATCAAAGACTTGACCTTGCACTGACCTTATTCAGTGACTAGTGTTAACATGCACTTATCTTTGCGTGTGTATGTGAATGGATATAAAGTGCTATGCAGTCTTATCACATGTATATCTGTAACCACCACCAGAGTCAATATACTGAGCTCTTCCATCACTACAATGATCTTTTGTGCTACCCTTTTTTTTATTTTATGCTCACCCGAGGACATTTTTGCATTTATCTTCAGACAGAGGGGGAGGGAGAGAGGGAGGAAGAGAGAGAGAAACATCGACGTGAAAGGGACACATCAAGTGGTTGCCACCCACACGACCCCAACTGGGGCCGGGGACAAACTGCAACTGAGGTATGTGCCCTTAGCAGGAACCGAACCCGGGACTCTCTGGTCTGCAGACCGACACTCTAACCGTTGAGCCAGACTGGCCAGGGCTGTGCTCCCCATTCCATCCCTGCTCCCTGGGAACCACTAATCTGGTCTCCATTTTTATAATTTTGTCATTTTTAAGAATATTATATCAATCGAATTTTACAGTGCACCTTTTGAGATTGGCTTTTTTTTTACTCAACACAATTCCCTTGAAACCCACACACGTTCTGTGTATCAGTAATCCATTCCTTTTTATTTCAGATGTCTTTTCATGTGCTATTGCTGGGTAGTAGTGTTTAATCATTTACCTCTTGAAAGACATCTAGCTTTTGGCTATTATGAATAAAGCTGTTATGAACATTTCTGTACATACTTTTTTGTTGTTGTTAATCCTCACATGAGGATATTTTTCCATTAACTTTTAAGGGGGAGAGAGAGAGAGAGAGATGTTTATGTGAGAGAGACATAGTGATTGGTTGACTGGGGCCAGGGATCGAACCTGCAGCCCAGTGTATCTTTGACTGGGAATTGAACCCACAACTGTTTGGTGCTCGGGCTGACGCTATAGCCAGTGCATAACACCGGTCAGGGGCCTGTACCTACTTTTGTTTCTTTGAGATAAATGCCCAAAAGTGAGCTTGGGTTATGTGGTAAAGCGCATGGTTAGTTTTCTAAGAACCTGCCATGTGTTGTCCAGAGAGGCTGTTCCCCTTCAGGTTCCCAGCTGCAGTGTGACTGACCCAGCCGCCTGCATCCTCATCTGCACTGCATGGCATCACCATTTTTTATTTTCACTGGTCTGATGGTGTATAGTGACATCTCATTGTAGTTTTAATTTGAACATCTTTTCACGTGCTTATTTGTCATCCACATATTCTCCTTAATGAAATATCTGTTCCTTTACTTGACCCATTTTCTAACTCTTGTTTTTTTCTTTACTATTGAGTTTTGAGAGTGCTTTATGTTTTCTAGGACAAGTCCTTTGTCCGGTACGTGATTTGCAAATATTTTCTCTCAGTATATGGTTTGTATTTCTTCACTTAAAGATTTTTCAGAGCATTGTTTTACATTTTGATGAGGTCCTGTTTATCAGCTTTTCCTTTTATGGATAATGCTTTGATGTCAAGTCTAAGAACTCCTTGCCCAGCTGTAGTTCCCAAAGTTTTCTCCTATTTTCTACAAGTTTTATAATGTTTTACGTTTAGATCTATGATCCATTTTGAGTTCATTTTCATATAAGGTATAAGGTTTTAGTCAAGTTTCAGTTTTTGCCCATGGCTGTCCACTGATCTGACAACATTTGTTGAAAAGGCTTTTCTTCCTCATTGGGCTGCTTTTGCACCTTTGTCCAAATCAGTTGGGCGTAAATGTGTGGGTCTCTATCTGGGTTTTCTGTTCTGTCTCATTGATCTATGTGTCTGTCCTGGTCTAATACCACATTGTCTTGTTACTACAGCTCTAAAGTAAGACTTAAAATCTTGAAAAAATATTCTTAATTCTTTTTCAAAATTGTTTCAGCTATTTCTGATCCTTTGCCTTTCTCTATAAGTTGTAGAAGAAATTTGTCTATGTCTACAAAAAAAGAAAAAACCCTGCTGGAATTTCATTTGGAATTGCATGAAATCTGTAGATCGGTTTGGGGAGAGTGGATATCTCCATAAGGATACACAAAACTGTTCACTTTGTTTACATCCGAGGCTGGCAAAAGGAAGAACGAGGTGACTGTTAACAGTTAGTTAACAGTTAGATTATATACCTTTGCATTGTTTGAATTGTTCATTCTATTAAAAACAATGCATTCTCTTTGGAACTTGAAAACAAAGTTTATGTAAGTATGTGAGAGGATTCGCCTTATCATTTTTCAAATAGTTAGAGTGGGTGTGCTTCTAGCAATTATACATAGGAATAAAAAAATTGCCTTCTTGCCAAGCCGGCATGGCTCAGTGGATTGAGTGCCGTCCCATGGACTAAAAGTCCCAGTTCAGTTCCCAGTCAGGGCACGTGCTTGGGTTTCAGGCTCCATCCCCGGTAGGGGGCTACGCAGGAGGCAGCCCATTGATCTTTCTGTCTCACATCGATGTTGCTATCTCTCTCCCTTCCTCTAGCTCTAAAAAAATCAATAAAAACATTTTTTTTAATCGTCTTCTTTTGTATTAGTTAGGCCTGTTGCTGCATTCCTTGAGTTTGTGCTGAGTACTCAGCTCTGAAGCGTCACAGTGTCCCTCGAGGTGGATGTCATTGTCCCCACAGTCACGCAGCAGTTAGTTTTTGAGTCTGATCAGCGTGAGATTCTGAAGGAACCCATCTTCTTCATACGTTGCTCATCTACCAGCCTTAAAAGTAGCTTCTCTTTCAAAACATACCAACGGGATCCTGTTGGTTTTTTACTTTCCCAGCTTTGATTCCTGAGCAGTGGGTAATGAATAACCCTGTAGAATTATTCCCTTGGAACTTTTCTCTCGATTTCGCAACACCCAGCCAGTCTCCCAACAGCAAATTCCTTGCCAGTAGCCAGAACTGTGGGTTCTGAGCAACAGGAGTGAGCCGCTTTGTTGACCTCCACAAGGTGAAGCCAAGGGCAAAACTGAGTCTGCAGGTCAGACCTCACACTGCCGGCTCAGCCTTCTCAAACCCTCCTTCGAAGGTGACTTGAGAAGTATAAAAACATTAACGTGGGCTTGGTGACGTCAGGCAAGTGCCACGGCTTCTGTGTTTGTTCCCCTGAGCAGACCGCCTTCCGCCGCCTCCACTGAAGTTGGTGTATGCCAAAGGCCGGTCACCTTGTGAATGTCCCCAGCCCCCTCCACTCGTCTCGCAGAGTTGGTGTGAGCAGACAAGGGGACAGATGTGAGAGGACTCTCCAGAAGATAGATTTATCCTGTCGTTTGACAGGTGTTTATTGTATCAGGCACTGTTCTGGGGCATAACAATGGAAAAGGAAAAGGTTTCTTCTTTTGAGGAGATGACATTCTCATTGTGGGGGGAAGTATGTGAGTCAGGGAAACAATCAATCATTTTAGATTGTGATAAAAAGGAAAATAAAACAGGGTGTTTAGCGGGAGAGTGAATGGAGAAGCAGCACTCTTCTCCGGAGAAGCGGCCTCTGGGCCCGCTGGAGCCGCCTCTGGGCCCGCTGACGCGACCTCTGGGCCCGCTGGAGCGGCCTCTGGGCCCAGTGAAGCGGCCTCTGGGCCCGCTGGAGCGGCCTCTGGGCCCGCTGGAGCGGCCTCTGGGCCCGCTGTAACGATGGGAAGAGCCAGCCTGGCTGAGAAAGACTAGGTCAGAGCTTTGGGGCAGAGGGCCGTAAGGCTCTGCGACAGGAATCGGCCGGGGTGTGTGAGGAGCACTGAGCTGGGGGGGTGGAGCGAGGAAGTGAGAGAAGTGGACCAGGGTCAGATCACTCAGGACCTTACAGAACCGGGTCAGGGGGCTGCTCTTTGGCAGGTGTGACAAAGCAAGTGGATGACATGGCAACTAAAAACGCACTTCATAAAAGCCTCTTGATGTCTTATTTGCACGGTTTTTCGGATTGTTCAGTTGTGTATATATATATATATCAAGATGCAGTGACTTTTAGAAATTGCCAGTGAAGTTAACTACCAGAATTTCCAAACATTCAATATCCTGATAAGTATGAAACAAGAGGGAGTGCAACTCTGGGATTAATTTTAATGATAAGGAATAAAAACATGATATTCTACTTCTGTTGTGAAACAAGCTAAGCGAACTGGACATGGCAGAAATATTCTAAAAACATTTTACATGTTTCTATGGTCTTTCCTTTGATTAGAGTTCTGTCTTAAAGAGAACTGAGGTATATTTCGTTGGCAAAAAAAAAAAAGAGGCTGACAAGAATCGTTATATCAGAAAACGTCATTGAGTGACTCTCAGATTAAAGCGACAAAGTTACTTCTAAACCATAATCATTTTAGTGACATTTGTCAGATTCACTGTAATAACTTTGCAACATATTCTACATTAGTGAAGTACAGTGGTCCCCCCTTATCTGCGGAGGATTCGTGCCAGACCCTCCAGTGGGTGCCTGAAAGCTTGGACAGTACTGAACCCTATATATACTATGTTTTTATCTTTACATACATACATGCGATAAAGTTTAATTCACAAACTAGGCATAGTGAGAGATTAACAGCATTAACCAATAATAAAATAGAACAATTATAACAATATACTGAAATAAAAGTTATGTGCATGTGGTATTTCAAGATACCTTATTGTATTGTACCCACGTTTTCACTTAAAGGAAGCACTTTCCAGCTTCTCCTGGGCATATCCGAATTGCCAGCACCACTATCCCGTTGTTTTGGGGCCGTTATTTAATTGCTAAGAACAGATACTACACTTGATCTTAGCCACAAGGCCGAGAAGCGATCGGGGCCATTAGTAAGTAGAGTAAGGGTCACTGAACACAAGCCTGGTATCTTGGCAGTTCATCTGATAACCAGGATAGCTTCTACAGGAGGAACGGCAGGCAGCCTCTGCAGTTTGGAGAAGCTGAACAAAGGGATGATCCACGCCCTGGGTGGTGCAGAGCGGGACATGTGAGGTTTCATCACACTCGAGAACAGCATGCAGTTTTAAATGCATGAATTGTTTATTTCTGGAATTTTCTAGTAAAACCACAGGTAAGGGAGGGATGGGGGCTGCTGCAGTAAAATTTTGTCGGCAAGGAAAGGGGATGGCGGAAGTCCGTTTCTTCCAATAAACTTGCTTCTCCAGTTCTTTAAAATATGTCCATCAGCACAAAACTCGGAAACAATACTTAAAACTAGAAAAAACTTACTTTAAGTTATGAAGCAAATTAAAATAAATACAAAAAAGTAGAACCAATGGGGTTGAAAAAGCCTCGCACTGAAAATCAGTAAATGATACACATTGGTTTGGCGGTTTATATTCAATCATCACCGCTGGCTTCCTCCTCCCCGATGCTCCATGCATGGAAAGAAGCACAGTTGTAGCTCAGATTTCTTAAAGCAAGAGTGACTACGTTCTGTTCTATTTTAAACACTTTAAACAAGTGTTTATCTTTTCTTCTTTCAGATCCTATGTAAGGCAGAAGAAGACCAGATCCAGGGGAGGAAAGGGACAGAGCCCAGTTTTGGGCCATCTTTTATCTGTAATTCAGCTACCCCCAAATAACGATGCCACTTTCCTTTCCCATTCTTGGGCCGCCCTTGTCGTGTTACCGCATATCAGGTGAGAAAGCACACCATGCTTTATTCTGAAAGAGATAGTTAGTATGCCGATTAAAACCTTTATTAGCCATTCCCTGCTGTCCCCTGGAAAAGCCGGTTTGAACATTTCCCTTTTTCTCTCCATTTCTTGGATAGACCTCTTGAGAAAGAGAAGGTGATACCGCTGGTCACGTGCTTCATAGAGTCACTCTTCAGGACTGTTGACAGAGGGAGCTTTGGAAAAGGTCAGTAGCAATTCCCAGTTGTTCTCTGGTCTTTCTTTTCTGACACACCCAAAGTCATTGTAAACCCTCAAGAATTTTAGAGAATAGTACCACATTGTGTTCTGACATAACCTCCTGTGTAATGACATGCAGGAAAAATAGCAAGAGGAAGATGTTGCGCTCATACTTCATAACCTGGTGACTGACTGGGTCAGGGCAGCTTGAACATAAGCTGAACTGAAGGTCAAAGAAATAAGCTTCCTCATTGAGCCCCAGCTTATGTCTTGCTCCCTGTCTCCTGCACCCAGGCTGCCCCTGGTATATGCCTTCTGCTCCAGGCATTTCCTTTTCCAGTCCTCTGGCTGCCCTTGGACGTGTGCTCCTTCTCCCTGGAGTTCTTTCTAGGTCGTGGCCATTTAGTGCGCGCTCACTGGTCTTTCAGAACTCGGCTCGAGCACACCACCTCTGGGAAGGCCTTCATGAGCCTCCTCGGTGGAATCGGGCCACCCTGCCCCAAACACCGCTTCCTGTTGTGTACTTGTACGCCTCCCCTCCCTCGCCTATGAACAGCAATTGTAAAATAGGTATTTTGTTCTATTCTAACACAGTATAATTTTCTCTGACAGTAGCCATTTATTCATTTAACTGTTAGCATGCTAGGTTCTGTTAGAGACTAAGCAGACATATTAGAAGGTAAGGTAGTTGCACCACATCCCAAGTGCTCAGCCACACGTGACTGCCATATTGGACTGTGGCTACTTCTTGGCCCAAGTAGAAACATTCCTACCGTTGCAGGAAGTTCTGTTGGGCAGACTGTTCTAAAGTCTAGAGCAGGGCTTGGCAAAATGTTTATGTGAAGGACTAATTAGTAAATACTTTAGGTTTTGTGGGCCACATTCACGTTTGTGGTGTATTCTTTTTGTTTGTGTTTTGTTTTAAACAACCCTTAAAAAATGTAAAAACACATTCTTCCCTGGCCAGGTGGCTTGGTTGGTTGGAGCATCATCCCATACACCAAAAAAGTTGTGGGTTCGACCACATGTTAGATAAATGAGATGAATGTCTGGTAGTTACTGTGTTAAGAGATACAAGTACTGTGGTTTCCTCTGTTTTTCTACCTTTAGGAAACTTGTTTGTTCTTTGTCAAGCTGTAAATACTCTGCTGAGTTTGGAAGAATCTTCCGAACTTCTTCATTTGGTTCCCGTGGAACGTGTGAAGAATTTAGTATTGTGAGTAAACATACTCTCCATTTACCTTAATCATGAATCAGCTTTTACGTTTGTGAAATCTTGGACATTTTATACCTGCGCTGCATTGACATAGCAGGTTTATAATTGATTTAAATGTTCCAGTGAAAATAAATACAGTTCTTGACAGTCTTTAAATACAGATTGATCTTGGTAAAGGGTAGTTTTACAGTGTGGGAACTAGTGTTGTAGAGTTAGTAAAGAGTATTTCATGCTGATTACTCCCAACCATAACATTGCACAGTGTTGACCTTTTGTAACTTGCACAGTGGTTCCAACATACACATTCCTGCTACTTTCATGTTCTCTCTCAGCTTGACATGATCAGCATCTCAGAAAACTTTCCTGTGATCCTTTTGCTATATACCAGAACAATCCAGTTTTCCTAGGGTTACTTGAGCCAGCTCCTGGTTTGGGTAGGAGAAGGGGGCCATTAGCCATTCACCGCTCAGCGTAGCACCTTTCAAAAGGACGGGCATTCTGAAAACCTGGTGGAATAGTTTGCTTCTGTTTCTGGGGCCTAGGACATTTTACTCCATGCTTTTTAAAAACAGATTTAGTCACGTTCTTTCCATAACTATTCATTCGCTTTTCTCATGTACCAGGCTCTCGTCTAGGCCCTGGGAGAGCCACATTTTGTGAATGAGTCACAAAATGCCCTGCCTTCAAGAAGAGAATAAATGAAGTAAATAAGTAAAAGGAAATGCATGTCAGCTGGTGGTGAGGAAATTAAATCAGAGTCGGGACAGGGAGAGTGGAAGTTGGGGACAGCAGCATTTAAAAAAAAAAAAATTTCTTGCCCTGGCCAGTTTGGCTCAGCGGTTAGAGCGTCAGCCTGCGGTCCGGAGACACCCGGGTTCGGTTCCTGCTAAGGGCACGTACTTCGGTTGCAGTTTGTCCCCGGCCCTGGTTGGTCGTGCGGGTGGCAGCCACTCGATGTGTCCCTTCAAGTCGATGTTTCTCACTCTCTCTCCCTTCCTCTCTCTCCCTCCCACTCTATCTGTACAAAAAATGGAAAAAATATCCTCGGGTGAGGATAAAAAAAAAAAAATTCTTTTACTGATTTGAGAGAGAGAGGAAGGGAAAGGGAGAGAGGAGATAGAAACATTGATGAGAGAGAACATCGAATGGCCACCTCCTGCATGCCCTACACTGAGGATTGGTCCCACAACGTGGGCATGTGCCCTGATGGGGAATCAAACTGAGACCTCTTGGTGCATGGGTTGATGCTCAATCGCTGAGTCATACCGGCTGGGCCAAAGTTTTGGGTAGGGGTGTGGGCATTGTTTATTTTTTGTTTTGTTTTTTAATCCTCACCCGTAGGATATTTTTCCATTTTTGTTCAGATAGATAGAGGGGGGGGGGGGCATCGATGTGAGAGAGACACATCATCTGGCTGCCTTCTGCATGGCCTGACCAGGGCCAGGGATGAACCACAACCGAGGCACATGCCCTTGACCAGAATTGAACCCGTGACTCATTGGTCCGTGGGCTGATGCTCTAACCACTGTGCAAGACTGGCCAGGGCTGGAACAGCAGCAGTTTTGGATAGGGCAGGCCTCACCACGACGGAGCCATCTGAGCAGAAGCCCGGAAGCGGCGAGGGAGCAAGCCTTACGAGGCTGCCAGGGCTCTGGGGCACTCCCTTCGGACCCAGGGAGACATGAGTGCCATGCTGGCGGTTTGGGGAGGGTGTTGGCTGGAGCAGCAAGGAACTGTTGTGGCTGAGCAGAGCAAGGAGTGGATAGTAGGACAAGAGGACATAGAGGTGGGGGTGACAGGCAGTATATGACATTTGGCCATTGTAGGGCCTTGGCTTTTGCTCCAAGTGAAAGAGGACTTGGGGCAGGGGAGTGATTTGGGCCTAAAGGGGTCACCCTGGCAACTGATACCCACTGAGAAGAGACTGAAAGGGGATAAGAAAAGCCAGTTAGGATCTCTGTACATGTGTCGTTCACCACCCCACTGTCAGCTTGCACCCTCCTCACCCCCCATTGCCCTCCCCTCCACCTCTACAACCCAGGCTCAGTCTCGCCTCTTCCGTGATTTACTGTTCTCCACCACCTCATCCCTCTCCTACTGATTACTTGCTGGTTTATTTACTTATTGGCAACTTTCCCCTATTAGAAGAGAAGCTTCAGGAACATAGAGACTGTCTTTTGTTTAGTGCTGTATCCCTTGTCTAGAAAAGTTCCTGGCACGTAGTAGACAGTAAGTGTTTGCTAAAGGAGAATGGCACGTAGAGGTGAAGCGGCTGGCCCAGGGCTGTGTGCTGACGGATAGTGGGGCTGCCCTGCCCCTGCCTGTGTGCTGGATCCCTCGTCTGTGCTGCTTCCTTCACTAGCTCAGTGTCGTCTATACAGATTGACAACTGTATAGATTGAAAAGACAGCACTGGATTTTAGTCAAAGCAGCATATTCTAATCCTGCCTCTGCCTCCAGCTAGCTGTGTCCTTGAGCACGTCACTCTCTGTCACTCGACCTCAGATTCATCTCTGAAACGATGCTAGATGTCCACATAAAACTCCTGCCTGATCCCTTCTACATTTCCTTCCTCAGTGATCATTTCCTGTGATTTCTGTTAGAATGGGAATGCTCTGGGGGACGTGGTACAGTTTGGGTCTAACACACATCTCGTTGCAGAATGTTTCCATTGGAGCCCTCCGTGCTGCTGCTGGCTGATCTCTATTATCAGAGGTTATCCTTATGTGGCTGCAAAGGGCCTCTTTCTGAAGAAGCTTTAATGGAATTGTTTCCCAAATTACAAGCAAACATTTCAACGGGTATATCCAAGGTAATGCTGTTTTGTGGTGTGTCCTCCGTCTCTCGTTTTTTTGTTTGTGTGTGTTGCCAGTGGTTGTCTCAGCTTCTTAATCAGAAAATGCTGCGGTGGGGTGATTCCTCTTTAAAGCAGTGGTTCCCGAACACTGACCTACAAACTGATCGCAGCTGGTCTAATTGGGGAGTTGAATAAAAATATAAATTCGGGGTCCCTAAACCCCACAATTCTGATACGGTAGGGATAAGGTTTTCTAAAGCCCTCTGGGTGATTCTGCTGCTCATTCAGGTGTATAGAAATACCTGACTGCGTTGTTTAAAGATTAAAATTACTAATGTCAATGGAATTGTAACTTAAGACTCTAAGCACTTATTCACGGAGATGCCTGTGATGTCACCGTTCAGAGAAACAACATGGTTTCATGTACAGCCTTCCTTTCCCGGTCTGGTCTGGTCACCAGGTGTTCCTGGTGCTGTTGAATAAGGTGTGGCTTGGTGTTGAGTCTGACGTCAGAGATAGAATGAGCTTGTGTTACTCTGATAAGTTGACAAGTGCTGTATTTTTCATAATTCTGTAAAACTTAGATTTCACTGACTATTAATCAGTTTCTTCTTACATTTAAACTTTGGACTTTGAAACATGCCTTTTATTTTCTCTAGATTCGGCTTTTGACAATAAGGATCCTAAACCACTTTGAGGTTCGACTTCCGGAACTAATGGAGGTATTTTAACTGTTCGATTTAATTTGATATATATTTTTATTTCCAAAATTTCAAATTCATAGAAAATCCAAGTACTATGTAAAGATCCACCATAAAAATTGATTTTTTTTTTTTTTTTGTAATTCTTATTCCTACCATGCCAACAAGGCCACCACTGAAACTGCACAGTTCATAGGTGAATATTATTTCAGACTTTTATAAACACACATAGAATGGAAACCAATGGTGCCGTGAAGGTTTTTTTGTATCAGTACCTCTCATCCTACCTCGTTTCTTCTGAAGTTGGAATAGCAGCCCCGGTTTAAAATGTCCTGTTGAACCAGCTCCCTGTGCATGGGTGCTTGGGTGAGCTGTTCACAGCTGTTCAGGACTTCGGTTTTACTGCAGTAAGCGTCCTTAAGGAGGTATTTCCATAATACAGGGATTACTTATGGAGGTAGAAATTGCTTCTTCTAGAAGTAGAATTGAATAGTAAAAATGCATATACATTTCCTTTACTTCAACCAGTGTTACCAATCAATTGAATCATTTTGAGGATTCCTTTCCTGTTTTGTCCTTGTCATTTCTAGACCAGCTACTAACCCTAAATTATCTATTGGAAAGTAAACAGTGCGAGGGAGAATGAATCATTTATCCCCCCCAAAAAAGTGCTGCTTCTTTAACTTAAAATATTAGTATGTCCCAGTTTTTATGTTGTAGACCTTGGGTCACATTTAATGCTTTTCTGGAAAATCACAACCCTGACGTGCCTCCCCGGTGCCCCCGCCAGGACGACGGGCTGTCGGAGCGGCAGTCAGCCTTCGCTGTGCTGCGCCAGGCCGAGCTGGTCCCGGCCACTGTGAACGATTACAGGGAGAAGCTCCTTCACCTGCGGAAGCTCAGGCACGACGTGGCGCAGACCGCAGTCCCCGACGGGCCCTGGCAGGAGGTAGAGACACTGTCCCCTTCTTAAAAAATTCTACTTATGCTTTTAGATCTGTTTTGCTGGCTTTTGGAAAAAGAAACATACCAAGTAGTCACCCAAAAAAATAATTTGTAAAACTAGATAAATCCTCAATTATCTTAGATACTTTGAGTTAGATGGCCCTATCAGTGGTTTCCACAGGAGAAAATTTCCTGTCCCCCTTCCCTGAAGATGGGTGTCGTGTGTGCAGGTGGGTAGGACGACTCGACGTCAGGTGTAAAGTCTGGTTTCTCCTCCAGATTATTTCATGGCCGCATGAAGTGAGGCCTCTGCCTTTTGTATCAGGGAATGTCTGTGCATGACCCTTGCGGGTGCATCACGGGTCCCTTTGGGAGGAAAGCGAAGTGGAGGCATTCCCCTTTCGATCAGAGCAGTTCTGTTCTTACCCTGCTGTAGATATTAGTGGCCTGTTCGTTCTGCTGCTGAAACAGTTACAAACAGCCTTACGTAATAGATCTGCCATTCTACGGATGCCTCCCCAGCACATAGAGACAGTGTGCTGGCAATGACTGTCACTGCAGAAGGCGCCTGAGGAAACGTTCCACCCTCCGAGTGGACTCTAATGCCGCAGCTGCCATTGCCAGCAGACTTCCTTAGGTTCTTCACCATCTGCACTGTACTGGTGACTTTTTCAAATTTTGTCTTAAAAGGTGATGCTGATAGCAGAGTTTATTAGGAGGGGATTCAATCATGGGTCAGATCTGTTCTTTTAAATATGTCTTTTTAACAATGAACATCTGGAATGAGTTTGAGAACTAGGTTTGCTTTAGTGATTCTTCTGTGTGACATAGCAAGTGACATTTTGGGGAGAGTTGGAAAATTATTGCTCACTGACTTTTGGATCGGTACCTACAACTTTTCCATAAAGCTCGAGCTTCTTTCCAAACCTCGGGATGTCTGGGTTGGGATGTTTGCATCTCGGTGCCGTTGTGTCGTAGTTCATCACCCACTCACTAGTCAGGGCTGTGATTGCAGGTGCCGCTTCGTTATTTACTAGGCATGCTGTATGTTAACTTCAGCGCGCTCTGGGATCCTGTGATTGAACTCATAAGGTAAGCATGGGTTAAATGGATGAAGCTCTTACATTTTAATTGCTGCAGATGACAGGGCCATTATTACACTCCTAGGTGTGATTTAAGTGAATAGGTGTGTACGGTATTTATGGCTCCCATAAATCTTTTGTGGAGTAGGGTGAAGAAAAAACAAGCATGAATTGTTCTCTCTGATGCCAGGTTTTCAACAGTTCAAATGTTATATGTATGTTTCTTTGTGCATTGAAATAACTTTGGAGTACTCTTTTTACTTTAAGTGACACATTGAATTTTTTAGTAACAAAGTATTGTATAGTTACATAATTTTATTTATGTATATTGAATCATTGAGCCAAACTCTAATATAAAAATAAGGACTTTCTCTGTGCCCTGGCCGGTTTGGCTCAGTGGTTGGAGCATTGGCCTGCGGACCAACGACTTATGGGTTGAATTCTGGTCAAGGGCACAGACCTCGGTTGCAGTTTGTCCCCGGCCCTGGTCGGGGTCGTGTGGGAGGCAACCAGTCAATGTGTCTTTCTCTCTCACTCTCCTACTCCATCTGAAGATAAATAGAAAAATATCCTTGGGTGAGGATTAAAATAAATAAATAAGTAAGTAAATAAAAATAAGGACTTTCTCTAAATAGAGGCCTGTCCTTCCCTCCTTAATGGGCCATATGTCATACCCCATGACTTCCACTGTGCCTTTAAAAATAGTCTTCTTATAGGTATCTATTTAGGTTTTTATTTACTTTTATTCATTGATTTTATTTTAATACACACCCAAGGATATTTTTCCATTGATTTTTCAGCTAGAATGGGAGGAAATAAGGAAGGGAGAGAGAGAAACATTAATGTAAGAGAGACACATCGATTGGTTGCCTCCTGCACAGCCCCAACCAGGGCCAGGGATGGAACCGCAACTGAGGTACATGCCCTTGACCGAGATTAAACCCAAGACTCTTTGATCCTTGGGCCAATGCTATAACCACTGAGCCAAACTGTCCAGGGCTCTACTTAAGTTTTTTAAAATACTGTTCAGTACTTTATGACTATAAAAATAATTTGTGGTCAGTGCAAGTATTTTGAAGAATATAGAAAAATACAAAAGTTGTTTATAATCCCACATTCAGAAATGATTTAGTTAACATTTTAGTTACATCCTTTCCTTTCACTTTTTTCCCTATGAAATATCTCAAAATAAGGATCATATCAACACCTTTCATTTTGTGACCTTTTTTTTTTTTAGCTCTCACGCACATGAAATGGAAAATAAGAAATTTTGGAATGTCTACTATGAACATCTAGAAAAAGCTGCTACACATGCTGGTACGTAAGGGACTGGGAAGAAAAGTCAGGGGGAAGAAAAGTGGTTACTTTCATTTATTTTTTGGTACGTGCCCCTAGCGGGAACCAAACCCGGGACCCTCTGGTCCGCAGGCCAATGCTCCAACCGCTGAGCCAAACTGGCCAGGGCTTACCTTTCATTTTTATTACTTAATTACACATGAAGTTGGGAAACAGAAATGAGAAACGTGTTATCTTATCGTTGGTAACCTTTGAAAGGGGTTACTGTTTCCTCATGTTACTAGAGAAAGGAATGCCCCTACTTGAGGAAACAAAAATGACAGATGTTAACATTTCTTTGATGGTTCTGGTTACTTTTTTCTTTCAGAGAAAGAACTGCAGAATGAGGTGCCAGATGAGGAGAAGTGCATTGGAGATGCAAGTTGGGAGCAGACCCAGGAAGGCAACGTTGGGGCGCTTTATCTGGAGCAGTTAACATTGAAAACCAGCTGTCAGGAAAGACTGGACCACACCAATTTCCGGTTTCTGCTGTGGCGAGCTCTGGCGAAATTCCCAGAAAGGGTAGAGGCCCGGTCCAGGGAGCTCTCCCCGCTTTTCTTGAGATTCATCAAGTAAGTGTTCTTTTCGTGGAGTATGTTTCTAGAGTGTCCTCAGTGCCTGGAAGAGAGGGTGCGAAGTGTTAAGCTCCCAGATTGGCTGAGTTGTTTTTACATCTGTCATGTTTGCAAATCACTGGCACATCTAAAAAGCACTGGCTCTGTCCTCTAACAGCTAAATTGGTTTGGCTCACCACTTAATTTTATATGAATTTGATTGGCCCACAAATGGTGTTAATAAAATACACCAGGTTACAAAAGGCTTTTGCGAGCCTGGTGGTAGTTTCTCAGTTGGTTGAGCATTGTCCTGTGCACCGAAAGGTTGCTGGTTGGATTTCTGGTCAGGGCACACGCAGAGGGTGACTGATGTTTCTCTCTCTCCCGTTCTCCCTCCCTCTCCTTTCCTCTCTCTAAGCATGCCCTCGAGTGAGGATTTAAACAAAAAAAAGGCTATGTGGAGTTAGCTCAGTGTACAAAGAGCTTGCTGTTTCTTACCCTGTTGGCTCATTGTGTTATTGTCTGCCTGCAGCTTAAAAGTATGTTTTCAGTCCCTCGATCCCAGCTACTGTTTTGAATCTCTTGAATATTTCCCATGATGCAGAGGAATGTACTCTCAAAAAATAACACGAGCTTTCTGGAGCATTTTTCTGTTTTGACTAGATAAGCTGTGTGAGAGTCAGATTGCTTTAAAACTAAAGATAAGGAATGTGGTGTATAGAACAGTTCTAATTAGTATACATGCATGTTTTCCAATACTGTTTCATTACATGGGACAAGGTTTTAGGACTAAGTTAGGCAGGCTGCGAAGCTCAACATGCCAGGCTTGCTCAGGGAGCAGCATGGAAGCCTGGGAGGCTGCAGCCGTGACCCGGAAGAAAGTCGAGACGAGGACAGAAAGTTAGCAGGAGACCGAGTTGTGTAAGACATTTAAGTGATAGTAAAGACTTTGGTTTGAATTGTCGGTGAAATGGGAAGACACTGGGAGGTTTAAACAGAAGGATGGCGTGACTTAAGTTTCCTTAAGGAGTTTCTGGCTGCTAGGTTGAGAGAAGACTAAGATGGCAGTGGTAGGAGTAGAGAGAGTAGAGAGTTAGGAGGAGATTGCAAAAACCTGGGGAAGAATAGATGATGGTGACTTGACCGATGTTAAGTAGTACGGATAATGAGAGGTCATTGAACTCTGGATACTTTGAAGGATTTCAGTTCAATAAGATATATTTTTGGAAAATTGCAACTAGATTATTCTGCAGGGTTTGCCAACATATCAGATGTGTGATGGTGGGGATGTGGGTATTGGGGAGGGTTGGGGAAGGTGCAGGAAAGAGGAAGGGAAAGATGTCGCTACGGGCTTGGCCTGCAACTGGAAGAACGTTACCATTTACTGAGATTGGGAGAGATGCAGAAGTTTGCAGATTTGTGGGGAAGATCAAGAGTTCATTTTTTAGATATGTTAAGTTTCAGATACCGAATAGACATCTAAGCAGAGATGGCAAGTAGGCCCTTGAATTTGGAATTTAAAGCTCAAGGGAAAGGTTTGGTCTAAAGGTAGTAAATCTGAGACTCATCGGTATAGAGAGGGAGCTGATGGGTTGCTGTTTAAGATCGAAGCAGCTTGTATGTGTGTGAGTATGCTGTGAAAGACCCCAAAGGGAGGGGGCACTCACAGTGCAGGGAGGGCATGGATTGCTCAAGCCATGTCTTTGAATGGTTAAGAGGGGTAGGATCCCTTGCATAAGGGAAAAGGTTACATGAATAATTCATTCTGGCAAAGGCTACAAGCGAAGATGCGGGCAGGTCAGTAGGTGGGATGGTGGAAGAGTAATGATTCTCTCTTCCACATAACTCTTTAGTCTTTTATTTGTAGAATGAGAACACTGATATTTAGGTTTTGAACACTGATATTTACCTCGTTTTGAAGATCACATAAAATAATGCTTATTAGTTATTTTCAAAATGTTTAAATTAAGATTAGTTAACACTGATTACCTATAATTAATACCTCTGTAGATGATCCAAACTAATGGAAACCCAAATGTCACTTTTAATTCTGGCCTTGAAATATATTATGGGCTTTTTGTTTTCATTTTTGGCTAGAAATTTACCTTTCTAAATTCCTGTCAAATAATTCGATATTAGAGCTAACTTGTGAATGACTCCCTTGTAAGCATTCTCTGAGAAGAATCATCAACAGTCAAGCAGGAACGAATGACTCACAATGACCGAAACACCCAGTGACAGGTGACAGTGACAGTGAATTAGTACTTGCTGTGTAGACACTGTTGTAAGTGCTCTGTGTGAATTATATTTAATAAATGAGCGAGTGAGCACGCTGTGCATGGAGATAAAGGTTAAAGATAAGTTATGATGTCATGTGGTTAATTGAATGTTGAGAGTATAATACAGATGTTATCAAATCTGTAATGATACAGTTTGTAACTGACAGAGCAACTTTGCTCATTTCATTTATTCATCCATTTTTTTAACTTATTAGGTGAGAACAGATAGCTGAATATGGTAGCATCTCAACCCTCCAGTTGTAGTTGAGGGTATTAACCTGGGATTTCCTCCAGGTGTGTTGATAAGGTAATATCCTAAAACATGCTATTTTATCAGTATATTTTTGAGTGAGGACTTTTATGTCCGAGCAGTTCCCTTCCATCTGTAGCTTGGTGCCATGCACAAAACAGACAAGAAGACGATAATTGTTGGATGAGTGTGTTAAAGCGACACAAAACAAATGAAGTGAAGGACAGCGACAGCCTTCTAGATGATACTAGTTACCTGCAGCATGGTCCAGAACTAAAGGGTGGGATTCATGAAGAACAAATGTGAATGCCAACTGCACATGCTTAGTTTAGAGGAGACAAACCTAAAGACTTACTGATTCTATTGTCCAGACATTGAGTTGAGTTTGTGTCGTGTTGTGACTGTCCCTAAAAGCGATGCAGTTGATAGTTCCATCTTCTTATCAGACCACATACCCAGAGGACTGAATTTTTTTGCAGCCGTATACGGAGTAAAATGTATCTGGTTCAAAAGTGACCAACGTAATCTTAATGCTATACTTTCAGTACAGCAAAAGTAGGTTTACAGTCGTGATACAAATAATACAATAATAACACAAGAATAAACTCCGTGTTTTGTGTGTTCACAACTGTAAACCCACTTTTGCCCACCCCTCTACTGTAATTCACCCCTACACCTGCCTGCCCTGGTTGTGTTTTCGGAGACAGGGAGGCTGATTTCAGCTCAGTCCAAAGTAGACATTTCAAATATTTCCAACAGCATAACAGTGGAACAGGCTGTCTTCTGCAGTTAGTGACTGGGTTGTTGAGTAGGGTTCTTCCGAGGGGCTGGCTACAGCAGAGTAACGTAGAAGAGACTTGACTAAGGTGCCTCCGCTGTCTCTTCCACATGCGAGTCTGTGGACTGTGGACATCGTTGTGACAAACAGAATTAGGACATTTCAGCTTCACCTGCCTTGTATCACTCTGTCCGCTGCAGCAATGAGTATTACCCAGCAGATCTGCAGGTTGCTCCGACCCAGGACCTGAGAAGAAAAGGCAAAGGAGTGCTGGCGGAGGAAACAGAAGAACCTGCCGCTGGAGACGACGAAGAATTGGATGAAGAGGCGGTGCCCCAAGATGAGCCCTCTCAGAAGAAGACGACAAGAAGAGCTGCGACCAAGTAAGTTCAGTGTCACTGCTAGATGCCACATCCGTGGTTCTCGGAGGGACGTGTGGAGATCTCTTAGGGCCTGGGGCAGACAAGGTGACCTGCTCAGATAATTATATGCATAAGTGCTGTATCTCCCTGGGTTGTTGTTTTTATTTTTACAGCTCAAAGAAAGCTATCAGTCTTTCAAGTTTTTGGGTTGTTTGTTTCTTATTTAGAGTTGGAATCATCTAATCATAGCTACTTTTATGCATGAAATTGCTGGGGCCCAGAGCTGCTAAATGCTCTTTGGCCCTGACTGGTGTTGCTTAGAGGTTAGAGCATCAACCCACCCACCAAAGTGTCATGGGTTCAATTCCCAGTCAGGGGCACCTACCTGGGTTGCAAGTTCAATCCCTGGCCTTGTCGGGGGGTGTGTGGGAGGCAGCCAGTCAATGTGGCTCTTTCACATCAATGTCCCCCCCCCACTCTCTCCTTTTCACTCTCTCTAAAAATAAATAACTGCTCTCTGACCCGTCGTTCACTTTTCATAGCACCAGGGCACCGTGTTTGTGTGCCAGGGAAACACGTAATGAAACATCTGTCCTCTTATAAATAAACGTGTCAGCACTTTTGCTTTGCCTTTTGACTTGACTCCTCCTGGTTACTTTTTTCCCGTGCTGTTATATTCTCTCTCTTATTCTTTGGGTAACTCATTTACCTAAATTGCTAGACTCTTGAGAAAAACAAGAAGTGGTCATGCTTGTAGAAGATACTCCAGCTACTTGAAGATCTTCTGCACTGGGGTAGCAGCAGTCCACTGGGTTTGGTGATGCTGTGTTCTTCTAGCACTTTCTGCATCTACTGAATTGTTCCCATGAGCCAGTTATTAGTTCATCCATTCAGCAACTGTATTGAGTGCCTTTTGCTAATTGCTGGGCTGCAGAGGTAGCTGGTCCGTAGTCTCTGCAATTCAGGAAGCACAGGCTGATGCCTGGTGAAATATTTTTATAGAGGAAATATTTTTAAAAGAGTTATGGGAGCACAGTAAAAAATGACTTCATTCAACCACACAGGGAAGACTTTTACAAAGTATAAGGCACCTTTGAAGCTGAAAGACAGAAGTTTGCCAGCAGCTAGGGCAGGGAAGGACTCGACAGCCAATGGAAATAGTGTGTAAAGTGCAGGGGAAGAAAGGTCATGGTCAAGCTTCGTGCAACTAGAGTTTCTTCTCTGCTGCTACCTTTTCACAGCTCTGGATAGTCGATTCCCACGCCCTTCCTAAGGCGCATTGCTGTTTTCATCTTTAGATCCTTCAGCATAAAAGCCCACAAAAGATTGGTCCTCCTCCTTGTTTGGTGAATAAACAAATAAGTTATTTATCCAGTGAGACCCCCTCCTTTCTCATCCTGAATCTTTCCTCCTCCTACTCTGTCCCTGCCTCATTTATGCCAAATGAAATTCTGTTCGTTTTTCAAGACAGTTCCCTTACTGAGGCTTTTCTTGTCTTTTAAACTGCAAGTTATCTTACCCTACTTTAAACTTTCATAACAGCCATTTATACCACCATCATGGAGCTTATCCTTGCCTTGAATAGTTAACTTTTTATACATCTTCCAGGAAAATCAGAAACTCTCGAAGGATGAGGTCCATGTCTTAATTAATTTTTCTGTGCTCTGTAGTCAGACCAAGGCTATTGCTAATATATGCAATGATTGAAAATATGAGTCAATCTGATAATCATGATCTTGGTGCCATCTCTGTATATTCATAGTCCAAGTTTATAATCCTTCATGGAGCACACTCCTCACTGGCAAGTATTTAATGAGAATGTCCAGATGAGCTCCTGTTGTCTTTGGCTCTTTAAGGATAACTGGTACATAAAAAATACCTAATAAGTGTTGGGGGAGGAGTGGATGTGTCAGTAGAAAAATTTTAAAGTTTATTTGTTAAACTGCAAGCCCTCAATGGTAAATAATCACAAGGACATTGCATTAGTCAGTGCTCATTAGAAATAGAACCAACAGAATGGAGATACATGTGTATATATACATGTATAAAGAAATTTGTTTTAAGGATTGGGCTCACGTGATTATGGGAGCCAGCAAGCCCAGAATTTTCAGGGCAGTATTGCAGGCTGGAAACTTGGGCAGGATTTGATGCTATAGTCGTGAGTCTGAAATCCATAGGGTAAGATTTCCATGTGGCTTGGCCAAGTTGACACATCAGACTGACCATCACAGACATTTAAGCTAAATATGAACGGCAGTGCTACCCTTACCCCTAGTTCTTGACCGTAGCAGAAGAGGCCACAAGACCCAGCTTGGGTTCTCTGTCAGCTAGTAGGACTTCCACAGCGGTGCTCTCTGTTGTCCGGACAGAGACGTGCCTCGTTGGCATTCCTCGGAGCAGAAGCCCGCAGCTCATGTTCTTTCATCTAGTCCTCACAGGAGAAACAGCCAGAGGTCTTGTCCTTGTCCAGGTGAGGCAGCTGAGCATCCGAGACATGCATTAACCAACCTTCCCCAAAACCACGGCTCAGAGTGACAGGACCTTGCATGCAGCTTGGTTGTTACCCCTCTCCACGTATCCCTGAAACAGGAAAATGAAATCCCTGCAGACTGTAACAGTTCCTTGTTCAGGGTTTTTTAAAAAGTTTTAATACATTTACAAAGTTTATGCAGAGAGAAAACAGTTTTCTCAAATATTCTTTTTTTTTTATTAATCCTCACTCGAGGATATTTTTCTATTTATATTCAGATAAAGCGGGAGGGAGGGAAAAAGAGGGAGAGAGAGAAACATCAGTGTGAGGGGGACACATCGACTGGTTGGCTCCCGCACGGCCAGGGCTGGGGACAAACTGCAACCGAGGTACATGCCCTTGACCGGGAATCAAGCCTGCACATTCCATAGGCCGACGCTGTAACCGCTGAGCCAAACCAGCTAGGGCCTCAAGTGTTCTTAAAACATCATAGCATCCGTGGATTAGAAAGTTTAGCAAGTGCAGTAGAAGCTCTCTTCTTGGTCTGTTTTATAGATGATGTCATTTACCCTGAGGCAACCCCAGCTTCAGATGAACTTTCAGCCACAGATCATCACCCTTTCTTCCTCCTTGGAGCAAGAGCCATGGTTAGCTAAACTTGGACCTCTGTTGCCTGACATCAGTGTTTATGTTGTATGACCATAAGGAAGAATAGAAGCTAGACAAGGAATCATTCCAAAATTCACCTGCACACAACTTTGAAATGTATTACTATTTGACTATTTTTCTTCTACGTTTGGCTTAATTTAAGCCTTTCTAAGCGTACCCTGAATGATTTTCTGTGGTGGGAAACCTGGATTTCATGGGAGGCTTGCCTGAGATTTGCAATTTCTGGACAGTAATTTTTTTAAATGCAAGTAATTAATACTTGTTTGTGAAATTATAGTTAAGGTTTGTGGAATAATTGTCAGCCACTAAAATTGGTGGGTCTTATCATCTTAAGAAAATAATCTCTGTTCTTTCATTTTATGGTACCCTCTCCCTTTTTTTTTTAAGGCAGTTAATCGCTCATTTGCAAGTTTTCTCTAAGTTTTCAAATCCACGGGCCTTATATCTGGAATCCAAATTATATGAACTCTATCTTCAGGTAAGAAAATAAAGTCTCACCTGTGCAATATTTTGTGAATTATTCTCTACCATTTTCTTTGCCAAATAACTTTTAGGTGTTCAATAATTGTTGACTAGAACCCATCTGCATTTTAGTATATGTATATTTTAAACTAATAGACATTGTCTTGAGAAACAGTTTTAGACAGTACTAATTTATTTGATTTTAAAGGCATTTTGGATGATCAAACATTGAGTATAGTGAAGCACAATTATATCATGGGAAGTAGCTTTTAGAAGGGCATGAGGATTGTACCAGGATCAGTTGGCTTTTTATCACTTCTTGGTAAGTTAGTCTGATGGAGTGCTAGAGTTTCAGGCTCTGTTACGTAGAGTGGAAGCAGGTAGTTGGCATAATAGTCTGGTACAGTCACAATATATGACCCTGAATTCCAGGAAAGGTTGAAGAAAAAATGTAATGTCAGAAGCAGAGTAAGAATTGGATGTCGTCCTCAGCCATCTGGGAAACAAACTTTATTTTTTCACTTAGGTGTTTTTTTAGATGAAACAATTCATTTTGGCATTTCAGCAGAATTTATCCGTGTCTGCCCATACTTTGGATACAACTTGTTTATAAAGCCAGAGCTCAAGTCTCAGTTGTCCACAGGAAGCAAAGTTCTGAGCTGCCTGCAGAGAGGCCTCAGAGCAGGTCTTTCCTGGTGGTGTACTGGCGACCGTTACTTTCACTGTATTGTAAAGAACGTTTGCTCAGCACAGGACCAGCTCGTTGGGCGTAAATCCCGGTCATGTAGGGAACTGGTCTTGGCCAAAAGACTGATAGCCCAAAGGTCTGGCGTGCAGGATGCAGATGTCGAATTTTGTTTTAGTCTTTGCTCATATTCTCTTTGTCCACCTTTAACCCAGGGAAATGTTAGGCTTTTGACAGGAATTAGTGTTAAACCACATCTAAAAATTTAGATTCTGAGAAACCTAATTTTACAGATTATCACAAATAAATTGCTATCCCGTGGTATGCATATATGTGACTTCCTTGATTTATTCTATGAAATGTCATTCTTAGTTGTTGCTGCACCAAGATCAAGCGGTACAGAGAATAACCCTGGACTGCATAATGACGTACAAACAGCCCCATATCCTCCCTTACAAGTAAGTTATTTGAAGCTAAAGAAGTGGTAGTTCTTTGGTTGATTTTTATCTTTCTACCTGAGAGCCTCTTCTAAAGCAATTTTGTTAAGGCCTTGGAAATTTCCCTCTTTTCTAAGGTAATCATTGTGCTATTTTAGATAAGAAATGAAAACTGGGAGTATATTTGCTTGTTAAGAGGGCTTCCTCATAGATCTAATAAGGTAGGAAAGAGAATATTAATTGAAAAGTGTGTATTGAGAAGATTATATCATTTTTCCTTGCTTATATGTCTTAAAATTTTGGTGATTACTTAGCAAATCATAATAATCACTCTAAAAGCGGAAGAAAGCTTTTGTATTATGCTCCTTGAAACAGCTGAATTATTGAGTAAATCTGACTCTCTCTGATTCCTTTTATCTTTTAGAATTTGAAAACCTGTTATTTTAGAAGGTATTTTTCTGAAGAATTTTCTTAATGGATGTCAACTACTTTATAGACTATGCTTTACTATCTATTCTAGCTACAATAGTACTCCACAATATAACACTTTTTAGAAAGATTATTAAGTGATGATTTGTGCTGTATTCTATTTTTAAAGGGAAAACTTGCAAAGACTGCTTGAAGACAGAAGTTTTAAGGAAGAGATAGTGCATTTTAGTATTTCAGAAGATAATACAGAAGTGAAAACAGCCCACCGAGCAGATCTGTTTCCTATTCTGATGAGGTATTTGTACTGTTTAAATTCAGATATTTTTAAATAGTTGATCACAAAAACAATTGTAAGTATTAGTAGTATGATTCTTTCAGTAGTTGTAATGGAATGTTTCATTTTGTATTCTTTTTTTGTTTGTTTTTTAACTTATCTTTCTTGTTGAATGTATTACAGATGTTCTTCCTTTTTTCCCCTATTGACCCCCTCCTCCTTGCTCCCACCCTCCTCCTGCCTTCCCCACACTACTGTTGTGTCCACTGGTTATGCATATAAGTTCTTTGGTTTATTTCTTCCCACCCCCCATCACCCTTCCCTTTGAGGTTTGTCAGTCTAGCAACCAATTTGTACCTCTTAATCCCTTCACCTTTTTCATGCATTCCCCCAACCCTCCTCCCACCTGGCAGTCAACAGAATATTCACTGTATCTATGAGTCTGTTTCTGTTCTGCTTGCTCATTTTGTTTGTAGATTCAATTGTTGATAGATATATATTCATTGCCATTTTATTGTTCATATTTTTTATCTTCTTTTTCTTCAAGAAGACCTATTGACATTTCATATAATACTGGTTTGGTGGTGATGAACTCCGTTAGCTTTTTCTTGTCTGGAAAACTCTTTATATGTCCATCAATTCTAAATGATAACTTTGCAGGATAGAGTAATCTTGGTTGTAGGTTCTTACTTTGTATACTTTGAATATTTCTTGCCACTCCCATCTGGCCTGCAAAGTTTCTTTTGAGAAATCAGATGACAGTCTTATGGGAACTCCCTTGTAGGTAATGAACTGCTTTTCTCTTGCTCCTTTAAAGATTCTCTCTTTGTCTTTAACCTTTGGCATTTTGATGATCTTGTGTCTTGGTGTGGGTCTCTTGGGGTTCATCTTGTTTGGGACTCTCTGTGCTTCCTGGACTTGTATGTATATCTGTTTCCTTCACCAAGTTAGGGAAGTTTTCTGTCATTATTGTTTCAAATAGGTTTTTAATTTCTTGTTCTCTCTCTTCTCCTTCTGACAGACATCCCCATGATGTGAATGTTGGCACGCTTGAAGTTGTCCCAGAGGCTCCTTACACTATCCTCATTTTCTGAATTCTTTTTCTTTTTGCTGTTCTGATTGGATATTTTTTGCTTCCTTATGTTCCAAATCGATGGTTTGCTTCTTGGCTTTACCTACTCTACTATTTAGTCCCTGTAAATTATTCTTTATTTCAGTTAGTGCCTCATTCATTTATGACTGTGCATCCTTCATTTCTGACTGGCCTTTTTTTATGCTCTTGAGGTCCTCACTAAGTTCATTGAGCTTCTCACTAAGTTCATTGAGCATCCTTTTAAGTAGTGTTTTGAACTCTGCATCTGTTAGGTTGCTCATCTCCATTTCATTTAGTTCTTTTCCTGGAGTTTTGTTCTGTTCTTTCATTTGGGATGTGTTTCTTTGTCTCCTCATATTGGCTGCCTCCCTGTGTTTGTTTCTATGTATTGGATAGAGTTGCTATGTCTCCTAGGCTTCCTAAGGTAGCCTATTGTAGTAGGTGTCCTGTAGAGTCCAGTGACACAGCCTCCCTGATCACCCCAGCTGGGCCCTCCAGGTACACCCCTTGTGTGGACTTTCTACCCTTCTGTTGTAATTGAGTCTTGATTGCTGTTGGCATGTTAGTGGGAGGGATTAACTCAGGTTGATCAGCTTCAAGGACTGGCTGTGCCCACTGACCTCTGACTACTTTGGAGGACCAGCTGTGCAGGGGCCCCCCACACAGAACAAGATTTACTTCATCAGGGCTCTTGTACCCACTGAGTCCACTCCTTGAGTGTGTCACTTGTGGAGGTGGTTGGGTGGTGGTGCTTCGCCATGGTCTGAAGCTGTCCACTGGGTATGCCGGCTCTGGGGTAAGGTCAGCCACTGCCTGTGTTCTACCCAGGGCCACCAGGCATAAGCTACAGAGCGATCTACAGATGGCTGCTTGTGCTGGGCTTGGAGGTGCCCAGGCCAAGCCAAGTTGTGAACCAAGGCTGGCTGCTTCTAGTGCAGGCCCTGTGGCCACTTAGTGAAAGGTATGGAGCTTGCTGAGACCAGATGCTGCTTGTTTGAGAGAATTTAGGAAAATCTGAAGCAGGATCCAAGACAGGCCAATCCTATGGTAAAGCCACTGGAAACAGCTTCGGTGGGTCTGAAAGTTGGGTGGGGAGGAGCCTCAGGGAATCACCAGGGCAGGGCAGACAGTATGAGCCAGGTTGCTGGAGCCCCAGATATGGTGGCCTTTGGCTGCCCCCGGGGAAGGGCTCACCAAAGGAGCAAGGGCCTCCGGCAGCACATCTGTCTGTCCAGGAGAAACTGCCCCTCCAGCTCTGGTCCAGATGCCAAACAACTCAGTTCTTCACTGTGTGTCTCTGGTACCTTTCAAGCTGCCTCCCCCATGCTGGAGCTAGTCTCGATGTGGTTTCTTTAATTTCGTTGTAGGACTTCCATTCAGCTTGATTTCAGGTGGTTTTGTGTGATGGTTCTTATATAGTTTAGTTGTAATTTTTATGTGGTTGTGGGAGGGACAAGTACGGCGTTTACCTACCCTGCCACCTTGACTGGAAGTCCTATATTTTCTTTTGATTTTTTTTTTAGATTGGGTCTTTTGAGGTAGTCACATTGATGTAGAGCAGCAGTTTTTAACCTGTGGGTTGTGACCCCTTTGGGGGTCGAACGACCCTTTCACAGGGGTCGACCCTTTCACAGGGGTCGCCTAAGACCATCGGAAAACACATATTTCCGATGGCGATTCATAACAGTAGCAAAATTACAGTTATGAAGTAACAATGGAAATAATTTTATGGTTGGGGGTCACCACAACATGAGGAACTGTATTAAAGGGTCACGGCATTAGGAAGGTTGAGAACCACTGCTATAGAGACTTCAGAATATTTTGTCCCTAAACATGAGAAAATATCTTGCCATGGTGTTATTTTAATAACAATGATAAAGTTAAATTCAATATTGCTCTGTTTTACTATTGAGAAATAATAAAAATAATTCATGTAAGGTATGTAAGTGTTTGTGACATATAAAAGCGGTTGACTTTTAACCATCTTCAGCACAAAACTTTCTTACTTGTTTTAATAGTTTTCATTGGATTTTCTTGGTCAAAAAAATAATAGTAAATAACAGTCATCAGTCAGATTGTTAGTTCCTATTTAAAAACCCTTTGAGATCCCGTGTTCTGTGACTAAAATAGAAAATCCTTACTGTGCAGAGGGCCTGGAAGGGCCTAGCCCAGGTGGTCTCTCTAAGCACATCCCTTCCATTTACCGCCTCCTTTGCTTGGAACAGGTGACAGTTAACTCCTCTTCACTCAGCCTCATCTCAAATGTCACATTATCAGAGATACCTTCCCTGACCACTTTATGTAAGATCGCACCTCCTTATCACTCTCTCGTCCTTTTCCTCTATTTTTCCACAGTACTCAGTCATCCTGTATAGCCTCTTTCTGTTTATCTCCCTTGCTAGAAGGTGAACTCTATGGCCTTTAGTAAATATTGGTCAGATTGATTTTTGTGTTCTCTTTTATGATGTAAAACCTCTTTTTTTCCTTAAATGTACATATTACCTACATAGCCTACAAGAATTCACTGTGGTGGTGGTGGTGGTTATCCTTGTCTTGCTCCTGGATTTAACAGTAATGCTTCTGGAACAAGCACTTTTACAGTGTGGTCTGCTCTGTCTTGACAGGGTCTGTCCTTGAGACACTGTCCAGAGGTCCACAAGGTCAAAACTTTTTTCATAATACTGCTAAGACATTACATCAGAGAGTTTTATCATGTTAAGATAATAGCTTTCATTACTGAGTTATTTAATATTTCGTCAGGAATAGATGCTGAATTTTATTAGAATGCTTATTAAGCATGTAATAACTTTTCCTATGAGCCACTGGCCTATATTAATCTACTAGATTTTACTAATGATTCTTTCTTGCATTTCTGGGATAATCCTTATTTGGCTTGTTTTAATGTAGCACTGGATAGTGTATTTAGAAACATGTTCATAGGAAGACTAGTATATGGTTTTATTTTTGTTTCTTAACCCTTCTCAATATCACAGTTATATTACTTTCATAAATGGAAAAGGACCATGTCCTGCTTTCTCTCTTCTATGAAACTTTATGTTATAGAATTCGGGTTTTTTTTTAATGTTTAAAAAATTCATCTGTAAGACTATATGAGTTCCGTGTTTACTCATGATTAGTGGCCTATTTAGGTTTTCTTCTTAAGTTATCTTTGTTTATGTATACATGATTTTCCCCCCATTCTTTTACCCATTTAACTGAAATTTTTCTAGTTTCCTTGTTTTACTTACAGTTGTATTCTCATTTTATTCACTTTCAATCTATATATACTTGTTTTTATTCTTTGATTAGACTTACCTTTGGCTTGCCTGTTTTATTGCAGTTTTTTTCTCCTTTATTATTTCCTCCTTCCTGCTTTCCTTAGCCTTGTTTTTTTGTTAATATTATTTACCTAAATGTCTACGTGAAGTATCTAATTTCTATTTTCATTCTTCTTTGTTTTATAGTGTATGCACTTAAATCTGTTCCGTTGCTATGCTACCCTTTTCAGGAAGACAACACCACTAGTATTGTGTTTTAAGATTGATGTGCAAACAAACTAATGTTCTTTTGACTCTAGGATTTTGTATGGTCGAATGAAGAATAAGACTGGGAGTAAAACTCAGGGGAAATCTGCTTCGGGCACCCGCATGTCCATTGTTCTGAGGTTCCTTGCTGGGACCCAACCTGAGGAGATCCAGATATTCTTAGACCTGCTGTTTGAACCTGTTAAGCACTTCAAGAATGGTAACCATCACCTACTCGGCCCCCTGAGTGTGTTGTTTGCTGTAGACTTCTGATGTCTCAGGCTGTTTCCCATGCTCTTCAGCATCTTTCTCATGGGGTTGCTCCTCCCACTCTCAGTGGTGGGCTTTTTAGCTGAGACGCAGCCCATCCCCAGCTTAATTGGATTAGGTGCGGCTCGCATTTGATGGCAGCTGATCAGCACCCATGTGTTAGGACCCCTTGATTAGAAAATGTGTATTTTTGGTGCTGTTGTGCATCTAGGACATTTGAGAATAGTACTTATCTATCTGCAATGAATGAACTTCTCATTAGAAGTTTGAACCATGCTACAAAATTAATCTTAATTGATATTATTCATTCCCTGAGGCATTCATCTACTAGGTAATGATTTGTTGAATACTTCCTGTAACCCAAAACTCTGTTGAAAATAGAAATCTGAGTATTTACAATCTCTGCTCTCGACCTCATAGTCTAAACAAAGTGGGTATAGAAGGTATTCAGTGAGCAGTGATGCTCTGTGGTATGCTCTCTGATATGCTGTATTAATAATTAATAATATAGTAATGGCTAACATTTATTGAGTGCTTACTTCATGTCAGACATTATGATGGGTCTCTTTACGAACAGTTCAGTTGAACCTTAAAGCAACCACATGAGGTGTCATTACTTTTTGTCCCCATTTTACATATGTAGAGACTGAAGCTTAGAGAGATATTTTGTCCATGGTCACTCAGCTAGAAAATGGTTGGTATTCTAGCCCAGGTCATTTTGACTATGAAACCTCTAATCCGGTTTCATAATTACTTTGCTTTAGGCCAGCATATTTATTTGTAGGGTAATGTGTGGCATTTGTTTTGTATTTTTTCTAGGAAAATAGATTCAGAGGTTAAAAAGGTTTTCACTCAGTATTATACTGGCCTGTGAGAAAGGTTGGCTGTAGTGAAACCATGTTTCAGTTTAGCTAATAGCCTCCATTGTAAGAGGGAGCTACAAGTGATACTCTCGCCCGTGGGCCACTTAGGGCTGAATCCATGAGCCATGACTCATACTGTTAGAAGTCAAACTCAAGCAATAAAAATTCCATTCTTTTAGGTAAATTATGAAATAAGTTTATAAAGGACTTTTATTTATTTCCCAGGAGCTACAAGAGAAATAAAACATTTGATTCTCAGCCTTCAAGGAGCTTATAGTACAAGACATTTTCTTTGAAACAGCGGAAGTCAGCATAGTGAAAGCTGAGAGGGAGAGAGAGCTTGGAGCGTTTCTAGATGGAAGGAAAGACTGTTAGTAGCTCAGGTTTTGAGAAATAGTGTAAGTAGGATGAGGATTGGGTTTAGAGACTTACACTGTAACAAGCTTCTTCACCTTTTTTTTTTTTGATAATCCTCACCCGAAAACATTTTTGCATTTATCTTCAGATAGAGTGGTGGGGGGAGGGGAGAGAAAGAGAAACATTGTTGTGAGAGAGACACATCGAGTGGTTGCCACCCACATGACCCCGGCCGGGACCAGGGACAAACCGCAGCCAAGGTATGTACCCTTAGTGGGAACTGAACCTGGGACTCTCCGGTTCGAGGGCCGACACTCTATGTAACCGCTGAGCCAAACCAGCCAGGGCTTCTTCCTCTTTTTTATCCTTCAGTTTCTCATCTGTAAAGTGATAATACAGAGTGGGGCAAAAGTATGCTTACAATTTGTGAGTATGCAAAACACAGGGTTTATTCCTGTACTGTTGTTTTGTTTATTGTATTATTTTCCATATGAACAACTGCAAACCCTCTTTTGCCCCTCTCTGTAGTAAAACCGACCATACCTAGCTCATTGACTATTGGGTAAGGATCAGGAGAAAAATCAATGAGGAAGGTATATTGTCATCTATAAATTATTATAACAATAGAACATATTACTGAGGGAAATTGAAAGAAAGCTGTCATAAATAACAAGCTAAAATGTTTGTCCATGCTCTGTCTGTTCCTCGGTTTCCCCAGGAGAAAGCCATTCTGCAGTCACCCAGGCAGTAGCAGACTTGGATTTGTCTAAAGTTCTCCCGTTAGGCCGCCAGCATGGGATCTTAAACAGCCTTGAAGTGGTGTTGAAGAACATCAGTCATCTGATCAGCCCGTACTTATCACAGATCTTGCAGATTCTGCTCTGCATGGCTGCGACTGTGTCACACGTTCTCGACCAGCGGGAGAAGGTAGGAGAGCCTCAGTGTGCGCCTTTATTTGGGAAGTTGGTTGGGACAGGAATACCTCACATCTTTCCAGGTTAACATTCTTATGCAAAGTTTCTTTAAAACAGTTTTCCATATAATGGGTATCTTCATTGTTATAAATATTTATGTATGGCCAGAAAATGCGAATTCTATCAAGTGAGTATTTTTAAAGGAGGTGAAATAGCAGAGAGTGAGTGAGTTCTACGTACATCTTAGAAATCAAAGTTGGGCAGAATTGAGCTGCTGTTTCTTAGGTTTTCATTTAAAGAGCCTAGATGAAGGACATCTCCCAGCATTCACTTGTTCAGAACGGCTGGAGAATGAATAGAACACTGTTAACATGATCCTTGCTGTTTAGTCAGTTACTCAGAGCTCTTTTAAAAACGAGTCCTTGGCTACAGTAAGGGCAGAGTTTTGGATGAAGATAAGCAGCACAGTGAGGCAAGACAAGCCAGCCAGCCAACTGCCAGGAAAGGGGCTTCACGAGGTGCTGCTCAAAAAGCATTTTCTGAATCGTATTCAGGACAGTAGTATATTCTGTTAGACTAGGTGTGTAGACATAGGTATACTCTTTGGAGTTCAGGGAAACTTAATGTCTTTATAGGCAAAGGCTTCGTGGAGAAGATGGGACTCAAAGCGAAGATGCAGAATCTGGTTTCTGCAGTTGATTCTTGGTTCATGATAAACAGACACAGCTTTAATTTGTCTGAAATGTGTTTCATTTGTCCTATGGAAATGCCCGGTGAACTGCCTCTCAGATGTGGTCATGATAACTGAAACCAACAGCCAAAGTTTATGCTGCTTTTGGGGGCTATATGCATAAATATAAATCTGCTTTAGTAAAGAAATAATATTCTCTAATTATAAAGATCCAGAGATTTAGAACACGACTTATATTTTGGTAGACACTCTTTTGTTTTCCTCATTCTTTCATTCATTTCTTCAACAAATATAAATTGACCCTACTCTGTGTGAGGCACTGTTGTAAGCGCTGGGGGTGCAGCTGTGAACAAAGCATTTGTCCCTGTCCTTACGCAGGAAATACTTACTTGACACGTGCTGTCTATCAGGCATTGTTATAGGCGGGAAGTGGGAAGGGTAAGGACCACTGTCGTGGAGAGAAAAGTGATATATGCATACATAAGTAATTAGAATGATGTCAGTTGGTGGTAAGTTCTGAGAGGAAAATAAAACGAGACCTATCTTCAGATCGCTGAAAGTCATTCTTTGTGTAGCTCTTGCCTGCCTAGTACCCTCTTCCCTGTTAATTCTAGCTTCCCTGGCCCACCATCTCTAGCTACGTGGCTCTTCTTCTTATCTTAGAAAGATGACTGGACTCTGCCTGGGTTCTTCCTTCTCACACTGATGCCTGAAACTCTCCAGACAGGATGATGGGGAATGTGTAGGTCTCACCTCCTCTATTTCTTCTTTGTCGGGGCTTACTGTCACCTACTGCCTGCAGTCTAGTGTCTGAAATACATTGTTCCTTATATTCTGTTCAGTTGTTAGTGTCTGAGAGGGGAGGCTGAATCTGGTCCTGTTGCTCCATCTGACCAGAATTGGAAAAACGACCAGCAAGAACAGGCAGAGAGACCTCCGAATAGCACGTTGCTGGAAACCCAGTAACTGGAGCAGAAGCCTCAGGGTACCTGGGGCGACAGGAAGAGTCCTCAACAGGGACTGCCTCAGTAGTGGGCCCAGATAACCCTGAGATAAAGGCTGCTTTGGCACCACCTAATAATGCTTAAAAAGGTGACACTTTCCCCAAGTAAATGGACTGCATCCAGAACAAAACTCAGAAACATTCAAATGATTTGAATGAAAATAAAATCCATGATGTCTGACATTCAGGCAAGTTTTTCCAGGCATCCCAAGGAGGAAGAAAATTTTATTCATGATGAGGACAAACAACAGTTAATAGAAGCAGACCCAGAAATGGCGTAGACGATAGAATTAGATAAGGACCTAAAACAGCTATTAGAAATACACTCCATATATTCACGAAAGTAGAGGAAAGCGTGAGCATGTTGAGGAGAGACATGAAAATGTGCAGACTTTAAAATAAAAGGAGAGAATGGCACAGGAAGTAACCCGACTGGGGGGTGAATGGGTAGTCAGGATCCTCATGTACCTACTGATCCATGGGAAGAACATTTGGCACAGAGGTAATGATCTATAGCAGAAGGACAAGGTGGCCAGGGCACAAGGGGCAGGGAGAAGTGTGTAATGAGCTCAAGAGGCAGGTAGGGCCTTGTGGGCTGTAATGAGGCCAGTTTGACTTCCAAGTGGTACTGGGAACCTCTGAGAGGTTTGAATGAAGTAGGGGGAATGATAAGATCAGTTTGATGTTTTGAAACTGTCTTTGATTGCTTTGTGGAAAAGAGGCTGTATAGGGGCCAACAGTGGAAGCTGAAGAGAGGTCAAGAGGAAGGTAGGGCCTTGTGGGCTGTAATGAGGCTGGTTTGACTTCCAAGTGGTACTGGGAAACCCCTGAGAGGTTTGAATGAAGTAGAGGGAATGATAAGATCAGTTTGATGTTTTAAAACTGTCTTTGATTGCTTTGTGGAAGAGAGACTGTATGGGGGCCAACAGTAGAAGCTGAAGAGAGGTCTTAGAGCCCTGGCCAGTGTGGCTCGATTGGTTGAAGTGTCAGCCCATGCACCCAAGAGTCATGGGTTCAATTCCTGGTCAGAATGCATACAGGGGCAACTGATCAGTGTTTCTCTCTCACATCGGTGTGTCCCTCTCTCTCTAAAACCAGTGAAAAAGCATATCCTCAGGTGAGGATTTACAAAAAAAAATGTCACTCAAAAATTTTGGAAAATTCTTTCTCTACATTAAGAGGGTTTAGGGGTAATAGGGAGCATTATCTGAGAATTTTCTTTTATGCCTTATAGCAAGTGACACTGTCTTTATCTCTACATGGATATATTAAATTTTAAATGGTTAAAGGTTTTATGAACCCTCTATAAGTCCACTGACTTTTTGGTTAACTTAGAAGTTAATCGGTAATACAGCCATAGCCTGTGTCAGCAATCAGTAACTCAAAAGCTCATTTGTGCAATTTCACAGTTAGTGAGGTGCTAAGCTTCTTGACAGGTAGGCATTTCTCTTATTTTTTAAAAAATTCTTGGACAAATCCTCAGAATTCTTTGAGGTTCTGTAATGAATTATTGCACAGTAATATTGCTTAAGTAAATTAAAGTTCTACAATTGTGTGTTTGAGCTAAGTTACACATTTACTTTTTTGTATCTGTCAGATCCTCCAAGATTTTGACTGGCATTCAGATGTATATTGTGAGGGTTGCTTTGGTTTGCTTTTATTTTTTCAGTACGTTTAAACAGTGGAATAACTTGGAAATGTACATAAACTCAGACATGTTGACTGTTCCTCTAGGAACTAAAGTCTACAATTGCTCACTTGTAGGGTTTTCCTCCAGTTTATTCAACAGTTACAGAGTAGACTGGGCAGCGGTGCTATAGTTATAGAAGTGGACAGAACACCGTTTCTACCCCATAGAGAAGGGGGCTTGATGGGGGGGTTGGGGAAAAGGTTGGGGGCTGTCTGATTTGTTTTCATGTTTGTTGAGATTAGTTTCTCATTTGTTACAGGAGATCATGATACCATGTTTTTCTTTTTCTTTTTTTCCCAAATATCAGTAATAGTTTTTATCATTCACCAAACATGATACAGCTGATAATGAAAATATTGCCAATAGAATTGAAGCACAGCAGAATGACTTATAATTGTGTCGCCTTCGTGATGGGAATGTGAAATACCATGATTCTTCAGACTTCCCAGCAAATCAGAGCATCCTTATTCTTATTCACTTGAATTGAAAATGTGCTCTTTCAGATTCAAATACTTCTGTCAATCAGAATATCAGGTTTTCATGACAAATAATTTCCCTGTGTTTTTTTGTTTTGTTTTTTTTGTAATTTCTTGGCCATAAGACTTGATATTCATTTATTAGAGCATCTGTGTTGTTTTCCGAAATTGCAGGGTAGTTTTTAGATTTTGATATAGGTAATTAAAGTCGTATGCAAAAATAAGTTGCCACTTACAGATCCAGAGTCCACAGTATATTCATCAAGTGGAAAAACATTTAGGCGTTGAATCTCTTCTCAAGTGTTTGCTTTTTATAGCATTCCGTGCTTGGGAGAAATCTCTCTCAGGCCTTTTTCTATCAACCTACTGAAAAATTTAAGACATCTTGAAATCATGTGGTAACTGACATCTTTTTGGATTGGGAGTCCTATCCATTCAGAACAGCCTGGTCTAAACCTCTTCATCCTTTAAGATCCAGTGGAACTTCTGCCTCTCCCATGAATTTATAAATCAGATTTATAATTCCTCCCCTCTTGGATATCTTTGGCATTTTTAGTCTATCACATAATTTAATAAATTTTCCTTCAGTAAGATTTTAAGCTGAGGTCAGGACTATGGCTGCCATGCCATTGGACCCAGCATTGGGGGCTCAGTAGAGTGTTCTACTCTGAGCCCGAACAAAAGACCTTCCTGTTTGTGATTTCTATAACTCCGTAGAGAAGGAGATGCCAGGAGAAGCAGCAGTGTCTGTTACAAAAGAAGTTGCTGGTAATTAGACATGCACCCACTCCAGCTTCAGTGCCCCTAAAGAGACATCTTGGTTTTTTTCTAAATCGTATTTTTCTTTTTCTTTTAATTACCTATTTTGAGATCTTCCCATGCCTTAATTCAGTTGCCTCATTCTCTTTTACTGCATAAAGTATTCCACTGTACAGTAAAAGCATAAATTCTTTAGTTCCCTAGACTGATTTTAGCAAGAATCATTAAAAATTCCTTGTTTTAACAAAGGGAGAATAATAATAATACAAATGTGAAAACAAAAGGGAATGTGACTTTCATTTGAAATGAAGATTTAATATTTTTTCCCTAATCTAAGGCATTGTGGTGGAAAAAAAAAATTGTTTTGTTTTGCTGAGAATGTTCTATTCGTAGGAAGAAATCAGGATTTTGCTTGAGACAGTTACTTGAGTAGAAAAGGGAAACGCTGTAGAACACAAAGCAGCTGTTCCAGCTGTGCTTTTCCCCTCAGGATACTGGGCTGTGATTTAGGTCTCTGCTCCCCCATCTTGTCCATTGGGAAAACCAGTGTGACTTGCTCAGTCGACATTTCCATGCGAATCAGAGCCATTGCCGACAGACTCAGTAACAAGATTTCCAGTTCGCCTCTTAGCTGTCTGAGCAAGAGTGCCTCCCGGAGAAGTCGAGGATTAAAGTGATGTACGTACATTTTTAATAGAAAATCTTTACTTTACAGATACAATTGAGGTTTATCAACCCACTGAAAAATTTAAGACGTCTTGCAATCAAAATGGTAACTGACATCTTTTTGGATTGGGAGTCCTATCCATTCAGAACAGAAGAAATTGATGCTGTATTTCATGGTGCAGTTTGGCCCCAGGTAAACCTTCATTTCTACATTCTGCCTGGATACCTTTGCTTATTCCTGGGTTATTACTGCACCCACATAGTCTACAGCCAGACATGAACGCCTTTCCTGGTCTTTTCTTTTACATCGAGTCTTTATTTCTGGAAGTTTTAGAACACTTGCTTTGCCTCTACTACCACCTAAAGCTCAAGAGCTAGTTCCTGAAATACTATGGCATTTATTGTTGAGGCTAATTTGAATATGATTGTGTCGCTTATGCAAATGTAAGGTATCACCTCACACGATGTATCTCTGGATTTTGACAAGCATGAGGGAAAATACACACATATTTTTGTTACACGTTTCCTTGTTTGATTTCTTTCGTTGTAGCTACTTGGTAATAGCTTAGGTTAGTTATTGCTAAGAAGACTGCAGGAGAGCCTTGCTTTTAGGAAAGATTTCTAGCTGTTCGAGTTCTGTCATCTCTGACCAGTGTCTAGCATTTCCATGCGCCACCTTCACCATTTTTCCTGTGTAGTTGTTATTTTGTATTACCTCAGTTTTTCCTCAGTCTCCTTTAACTGTTAATCTCTGTGCCTTGGCTCTTATATCCTCTGGGAAGGTTTCCGTGCCCGTTCTGCTTTTTAGTTATTTTTTTTCCTACAATTCTGTATGTTTTTACTTTTTGTTCTGTTTTTATTTTGTTCCTAGATCAGCAGGCTTGGATCTGAGAGTCAATATTCTCCTACTCCTCTGCTGAAATTAATTAGTATCTGGAGCAGAAATGCAAGGTATAGCCTCTCCCCCCACCCCCTTTAAAAAGAGCAGATACATTACTAATAATATGACATGTTCTTTTCATGCAATGAACTATAGAAGTAATTAAAGAGCCCTGGCGGGTTTGGCTCAGTGGTTAAAGCATTGTCCTGCGGTCCAGAGAGACCCGGGTTCAGTTCCCTGTAAGGGCATGTACCACGGTTGCAGTTTGTCCCCGGCCCTGGTAGGGTCGTGCAGAAGGCTGCCACTCCATGTGTCCCTTTCACATTGATGTTTCTCTCTCTCTCTCTCTCTCTCTCTCTCTCTCTCTCTCTCTCTCTCTCCCCCTCTCCCTCTCCCTCTCTCCCACTCTATCTGAACAAAAAATGGAAAAATGTCCTCGGCTGAGGATAAAAAAAAAAGTAATTAAAGAGAATAAGACAGCTGACTCTCAAAATACATAGTTTAAAGAAAAATATAGTTGCTGAACAATATGTATAGTGTAATTCAGGAAAATGCTTGTGCATATATACAGTTAGAAAGTGAAATGAAAAATGTTTAGAAGGATACATGAGAAACAGCTATTGTTACTATAGCATGTTGAGGTTTGGGTGGGCCAGAGTGAGCAAGGGGAACTTTTCATGATATGTCTGAGTGTTTGCATTATTTACAATTTAAAAAATGGAAACATAGGTAAAATAACATTTTGTAGTTTAATGCAAATTGAAATTCTAGAGTATTCTATCAAAACTTATACATTTTGCTATTTTTACAGTTTCATTAAAAGCTGAAAATTAGCCCTGCCTGGTTTCGCTCAGTGGTTGGAGTGTCGGCCTGTGGACCAGAGAGTCCCAGGTTGGGTTCCCGCTATGGGGCACGTACCAAGGAAGGAAGAAAATTAGAAGTATTGGAATTGATAGGGATCTTCTTCCCATGGTTAATAATTGTGTCAGCAGTTTGATTTGGCCTGGCAAAGGGAAAAAACAGAATGTGAAACACACCCAATAGTTATATCAGTACATAAATATTACCATTTTCTACGTGCTTGCTTAAAAATAAAAGCTGATTGGTAATTAGCATTTTATTTTATTTTTTCTCAGTTGCTGCTTAAAATCAGAAAAATTTCACAGGCTCTTTAGATTTTCTACATGTCTTCTACTCTTTGTAAAATTCCATCAAACTAGACATAAGCTCTCATGGTCAACATCCTTTTGAGGACATTATGAGCTGTTTACAGAACCTTTATTTAGATGGTTCAAAGAGGCTGTGTTACAGACCAAATGCATATTTACTGGGAAGTGTGGAAACTTGACCTATGCCATTACTTCTATGATGGCAACAGACTTAATTTTGCCCTAATCTATTTTGAAGAATGGAAGGTAGAATAAAAGAAAATTTTTTTTATTATTTTTTACTTTTTATTGATTGATCTCAGAGAGAGGAAAGGAGAGGGGGAGAGAAATAGAAACATTGATGAGAGAGAACACTGACTGGTCGCCTCCTGCATGCCCCCCACTGGGGATTTGGCCCACACCTGGGCATGTGCCCTGACTGGGAATTGAACTGGTGACCGAGTGCATGGGTCAATGCCCAACCACTGAGCCACACCAGCCAGGCGAAAATATTTTATTATTGATTCAACGATGCTAAAATCTTGACATCGGTTTTTACAAAATTGGGATCATACTGGATGATCTTTTGATTTTGACTTTGTTTTTTCGTGTGTCATTATGTCTTATTTCCCTGTGTCATTACATAGTCTTCAAAGACAAACTGAAGACCTTGACATTGTCCTCCTCAGGAAAGCCTGTTATATTTTTACTGGTAGGAAGGACTCTTTTAATTTATTTCCCAGTTTGGGGATGCACTTTCATATCTTGTTTTATTGCTAGATATTTATAAGCAGCACTTCATAGGCACACTTGAGAAATATTTTATATTGTATAATTTTTATGCAAATGAGCCATGAAGGACTTTCATGGTAGTGACTCGGTTTTATGTTAGTTGGGTCCTTCTCAAGGTGTAGAGCCTCATCGTTGGATGCCACCTTCTTGTCTTCTGCGTTTTCTCTTTCATTTTTGTTTGGAGTAAAAACAGGAGCACGTAGTAATAGAGGAGATAGGTGGCAGAATTTTCTTTTTCTTTCCTATTTAACACCTGATAGAAATCTTTAGAAGGGTTAACTTCTCTTGAATCCCCCATAGCAGTAGATATGAATATGTAGCTGTGTGTGGAAGAATTAATGAATGTTTCAGGACCACTTGATAGAAATGAATTTTTATCTTGAAATGTGGCTCCAGTTTATATAGTGTCAGTCAGACATTGCTTACAACTAAGGTTAAATTGTCTCAGGTTAAATTAGGTGCATTCCAGACAACAAAATCTTTCTTATTAACTAGAGTGATCATAAAATCTGTTGTCCAAACTCAAATATTCCTGAGGGTAAAAGAGATGCAACAAATTACGAAGCCATAAACTGGGACTGTCCCTGGCCGCTCTCTGAAGAGCAGCCCTGCTTCTGGCCACGGTGACCCCTGCATGGCTCAGTGTTTCCTTCCCTGCGCTCTTTCCTTGTCTGGAAGACCCTGTGACCACGTACTGTCCTTACTGCACTCGTCAGTCTTCACCGCTGACCACCAAAAGCTCCTTGAGGACAGAGACCATTTCGTATTTATTATTGTATCTTCCTCCACAGAGAGTTACCCTCTTAATCCAAGGCGAGCTGATATTCTATACGTGTTGACTAAGTGATTAAAGTTGCTGACTGAGCCATAGCTTCAAGTCTTAGCACCACTGTGTGTTCTTCGGCAAAGTCGGCCTTTCTGAGTTTTAGTTTTGCTGCCTATAAAATGGAAATAACAGTACCTACCTCATTAATAATATGTAAAGGGTCATCCTTGGTGCTTGTCCATACTGGGCCCAATATCTATTGGACAAAGAGATGTGAATATAATCCCTTCGAGATTTTCTATCAGTTTGTCAGTACGAAGTATATTCAGATGCCTGAGCTCTTTTCCCAGTACTGATAAATATTTTGAGTTTGACCTTCCTACTAGGATTACATCTCTGACTGTTAAAACAACTACTGATTTGCTCTCAAATGGAATGCCTTTGTGCCCTTTACCCAATTGGTGTGTTCCTGTGGGCCAGGATGCTCTCATCATTTGTGAGTGTTTCGATATTGGAGGTGGACTCATCCACGTACCCTCACAGATGACCCTAATCTCTGAACAGTGCATTTCCTGACACAGCAAGTGTTCGTTTTGGCCTGTACTCCTAACTCCCATGTTCTAGGACATTGCTTTTATTTGAGTCATAAGCATTCACATTCTAGGCTTGTCATTGAAAAATAGCCTGTCTTCAATGCGTTTGTTTTAGAAAAGGCTTAGACTTTGGAAATTGTGGTTCAGATCTCAGCTTTACCTGTTACTAGCTTCATGGCTTTGGGCAAGTCTGTGTCTTCATCTGTAATGTAGGGATAATGATACTACCTCACAGAGATGTCATGAGGATTAGATGATAAATGTGTAATAAGTGCCTAAATAATATAATGTTCGTGGGGTGCCTTAAATTATTATCCATCGAATTTTAGACTTGAAAATAATTTTCCTTTTGAGCATCTTATTAAGGTTCATGCACACACACGTGTATTTGTTAAACTCAATATGAAAATTCATATGGAAGATATTTTTAGAAATAAACATTGAGAAATAAGATGACTATTTCAATATCTTTCCTTACAGATACTTCCCTTTTCTGGCTAAACAGAAACCTGGGCACCCAGAATGTGATATCCTGGTCAATGTTTTTGCGCTTCTCTCAGCAAAGAACCTCTCTGAAGCCACAGCCAGTATCGTGATGGACATGGTCGATGACCTCCTCACTATTCCGGATTTTGAGCCCACAGAAACAGTTTCGAGCTTGCCCGTGACCGGATGTGTGTACGCAGAAAGTGCAGATGGTAGGTGTGCTGCGCAAAGCAAATGATTCTTACACCTTTGATGTAGTCTTTATTCCCTCAGAAAGGAAACAGTAGAAGTTGAGTCTCTTAATAACTTATGCTATTAAAAGCTTCTTTCCTCTTGCCTTGGCCAGTTTGATTCAGCGGTTAGAGCATCAGTGTATGGACCAAAGGGTTGCTGGTTCGATTCCCATTCAAGGGCACATACCTGGGTTGCAGGTTTGATCCCCAGTCAGTGTTGTGCAGGAGACAACCAGTCGATGTGTCTCTCTCACATCGATATTTCTCTCTCCCTCCCTTCCACTCTATCCAAAAATTAATGGAAAAATATCCTCAGGTAATGATTAAAAAAAAAAAAAGTTTCTTTCCTCTAGAAATTAATACCAATGTATATAAACTGAGTTTTCTTTGCAGTGGTAGATTTTCAGGTTACTTAAGCTTCAGAAAGCTCGACCATCTTTCTGGAAGTCACCAAAGGATTTCCACCGTCATGTCTCTGAAGTCTTCCTACCATATTATCTTAGTAGTTCTTTTACTGCTGCCAAAAATAGTTTAAATAAAGCCTCGGGGATCTCTTATGTAAATTTCTCATTTAGCTAACGATATAGCTATTTTGTCTAAGAAGAAAGTTATTTAATCTTTAGAGTTGAAATTTATTAAACTTTCATGGTCATTGAGAGCTTTCCTTGCCTGTCATTCCGAAGATGTTGTACAATTATCCTGTAAGAGAGTAGTTAATTAAAACCAAAACATTTGTCACTGTTTATTTCAGAGTCTATCACAGTGGGAGGACGATTAATTCTACCTCATGTACCTGCAATTCTCCAGTATCTCAGTAGAACCACAATAAGTACAGAAAAGGTGAAAAAGAAAAAGAACAGGGCCCAAGTCAGTAAGGAACTTGGCATTCTTTCAAAGTAAGTGATACCTTATCCTTAAAAGATAACATTACCATCCATGGTTTAAATTTTTTAAAATTATATCTAGTTTTTCCATTGTTTTAATTTTCAGTATTTCAGTATTTTTGAATGCCCTTTATTTTTACGTTAATGTAGAATTTTGTTTCTCTGCTGGAGTATTCATTAGAAACCTTCTATGGCATCTGCCTTCATTTACCCATAAAAGAGAACAGACTTCAAAATTCTGAAGAAGACTAATAGATTTGCTTGTTTCACCTTTGCATGTTTTATTCACTTAAAATTTTGAGTTACATGAGATCATATAGTTTTGATTTTTTTTTTAGTTTGATAAAAATAATTTAAAAGAACAATGTGTTTGTTTTTTAAGAGTCAAGAAGATTTCGCAAGGGTTTTTAAAGATTCTCTTTGGCAGTAGACCTAGTATATATAATTGTGATTTCTATAAAGAGCAAGGTTGGTAAACCTGAGTTCAAAAAATGACTCTATCTTAAGCTTTCATTGTTTTAGGACTTAGTTGTTGAAAGTTTATTTGTTTATTTTTGTAAATGGTATATTGGAATTTTCCAGGCACTTCTTTTAAATATTTTATGTATATTGTATTTCTAAAGTATGCAGAGCAGGGACCACAGTCAGTATGCTCGTTAAATTTCATCACAGGCTTTGTGGTAGTGGGAAGATGATGGCAGATTAGCATCAGAAAGACCAGTGTTTAAAGACCTGCTCTGCCACTTCCCAGCCAGATGACATCAGCTTCTCAGAGTCTCGGTTTTCTCTGGGAAAGGGAGCTAATAAATCCTACATTGTAGAGCTCTGGTGAGAGTTAAGTGGAACTACTTTATATAGTCTTAAAGTCTTGCACTTAAAAATGTTACTTCCTTGTAAAGTAAGAAATTACTAATTGACAGATTATAGCGTTGGAGTGCACTCTAATTCACCTACACAGTTAGTGTTACAGAAGAAGTAGAAGAGTAGCCATGAGCCTACAGCTGGAGAGAGGAGTGCGCACTGCTAAGTAACTGAGTTAAAATTCTTATACATACTTAAAAGTCTTTGATCACTGACGGTTCGACCCCTTAGAGAAATACTCTGAACTTGTATATTTTCCTTACCTACCAGTGTTTTTCCTTCTCTAGGATCAGCAAGTTCATGAAAGACAAAGAACAAAGCTCTCTACTTATTACACTTCTCCTTCCCTTCCTCCACCGTGGCAGTATTCCTCAGGTATAAATGCACAGGACATTGACTTTGTCTTTGAAGTGGCTCTTTATGCCCTGGCCGGTTTGGCTCAGCGGTTAGAGCATTGGCCCTCGGACCAAGGAGTCACGGGTTTGATTCTAGTCAAGGGCACGTACCTCGGTTGCAGGTCCATCCCCGGCCCTGGTCAGGTCTTGTGGGAGGCAACCAGTCGATGTGTCTGTCTGTCTCTCTCTCTCTCTTTCTCTCTCTCTCTCCTTCCCATCTTCCCTCCCGCTCTCTCTGAAGATAAATGGGAGCATATCCTCAGGTGAGGATTAAAAAAAAAAAAATGAAATGGCGCTTTATTAGGGTTATTTGCGAACAATAATTTTATTGATTAGATTTTTTTGATGTATTTGTCTTAAAGTGTTTGTGAAAAGATTTTATTCAGAAATATAAAATTGAAAACAGAAGAGAAAAATTGGGGCAGAATTAGGAGTAGGGGCGGGCAGGAATGTGGAGGCATTATCATCTACCGATACAGTAGCAGTGTTAGCCCTCGTTTTCCTTCATTCAGCTTCTCGTCCACTTCAGATCTTTTTTCTCTTGTCTGACTTTGATCAATAACAAATCTGGAACCAGAAAGTGCATTGTGTAATCTTAAATATGGATCACAGTGGCAAAACTGAACGAAACGTCAGACTATTTTAATATTCAGACATAGCAAGAGTTTCTGACATAATTTTCACACCCTAGTTCAGTCTTGATTAAAACAGTCTTCCTGTGGCTCGAACTCGTTTGTAAGGCCTCCGTCGTTACCCTGCCACCTGCTGTTACATAGTGGTTCCGCGTCGAAGACCACAGATCTGTGGACACCCAGAGGCGGGCATGCTTCTTCAGCAGGCTCATTTTTCTTGGCTCTTTTTTGACTGATAGCAGAAGAAGGTTTGTTTCAAGATCGGGATATTTTCTATTAGAATTAAAGGGAGAAACTGTTAGTGGACATTATTGTGGGTTTTGTGTTAAAATGCTAAGAACTTTTAAAAGACTATGGAATAACTCTTCCAGTGACCACTTTTACTTCTTATAATTATTTGTTTTCTATGCTATAATGTGTTAAAGTTGGCCAGTTTTATAAATTACTGAAATATAATTTCTCTTCATATTTCTTCTGAAGGATACAGAGGTGGATATTCTCGTGACAATACAGAACCTGTTAAAACATTGTCTGGAGCCCACAAGCTTCCTGAAGCCCCTGGCAAAACTCTTCTCCGTTATTAAGAACAAGCTGTCAAGACAATTGCTTTGTACAGTTTTCCAGGTCTGTAATGATTCATTTGACCCCAATCACCCCTGTGAGTGGGAGCAGGGGATTGACGGGAGTGGGTAGAAAAGTGAAGGTTTTATTCACTAATATACTGTTTCCATTCCTTTTAGACGCTTTCTGACTTTGAGAGTGGGTTAAAATATATTACTGATGTTGTCAAGGTAAGGAAAGACATCTCATTTCTCTTTTGCCTCAAAAGCGTTACCACTTTTATTTACTTACGATTTATATACCTCCACTTACATGGTTTCAATGGCATCTCTCACAGCTGAATGCCTTTGATCAAAGACATCTGGATGATATCAACTTTGACGCCCGCTTCTCAGCGTTCCAGACCATCACCTCTTATGTCAAAGGGATGCAAACTGTGGACGTTGACTACCTAATCCCAGTTATGCATAATTGTTTCTATAATCTGGAGGTAGGTTTTTAGAGCAAAACTTTGTGAATTATTTTTTATTGTTTTGATAATACAACTACATGATCTAATTTCTTCATTTGTGTTTTGAGGCGGACAAGGGTTTTTTTAGTGTAAAATTCCTTTTAGTTGTGGAATATTTTGTTTGACAGAGACTGTATTCTTATTCTCATGATTTGAAACACTGAGATTTTGAATAAAATAAAATAAGTCCAAAAGCAGTGCGTTAGAATAGGGAAATCCAAAGGAAATAAATTGGGGGTTACCAGGGGCTACAGGGGGAAGGAGGAATGGGGAGTGACTTCTTACTGCTACAGGGTTTCTTCTGGGGGTGATGAAAATGTTCTGAAGTTAGGTAGTGATTGCACCACCTTGTGACTATATTAAAACCCACTGAACTGTGCACTTTGAAAGGGTAAATTTATGGTACATCAGTTCTCAGTTTTTCAAAGTCATGTGACTTTATTGTTTGACAGTTTGATTTGGGAGAAATAAAAGGAGTTTGGACTATATTAAGTACCATGTTGCTGAACTGAATTAAGACCCCAAAATGGGGAAAATGAAGGCCTTATTTAATAGTTAACCATGTGATAGCATCAGTAATCTCTTTGTGTCATTTTATGATTATTCATCTGATTTTAAGGATTATGTAATATATGGAAAAGTAATCTCCCCATTTGGGGCTCATTCTTTATATATCATGTCAAATTTCAACACAAGGAATTCTATTTTGGTGGTGTGTGTGTGTGTGTTGGTGGGGTGTGGCGGGTTTCTCTTCAACACAAGGAGTTCTGAATGACTGCCTGGTTGGCTGAGTTGGAAATACTCTCTCTGTACCACTTTTTACATTTTCAAACCAGGAACTTTAGTGCAACTCGCCGGAATTATAACCAGCCAACTGTCATTTTCAGTGATCACCAAATACTGAATATTGAGAACGGCTTTACTAAACCTTTTATTCTGTTTGCTTTGAGAAGTAAAAATATTTTAAAAGTCTGTCATCATATTTTCTGGAACTGAGTGACACTTCTGAGTAAGCATGGTATTTCAGTCGTTTATTATGTTCCTCAGAACCCTGTTTGGTTCTTCCTTAGGAATGAAGTACTTGGGGGGCATTTCTTAGTAGGGATTTTTACATGGCGCACTGGCAACATTTTGTAAACTTTTTTGTTAGGAAACAGTATTCCATATTGTAGTTATTACACAGGATACTTTGGGTGTTTTTCTGTTTCCAGTTAGGAGACATGTCTTTAAGTGATAATGCCAGCATGTGCTTGATAAGCATCATCAGAAAGCTAGCTGCCTTGAAGGTCACGGAGAAGGAGTACAGAGAAATCATCTATCGTTCACTTCTGGAGAAACTAAGGAAAGGATTGAAGAGCCAGACAGAGGTATTGGGGTTTGCAGCTGTTACTTTATCTTTTAAGTACCACTCTCTGGTATTTTGTTATGTTTTTGTTTCCCTACTTCTGCTTAGAAAAGCAGTCAGGCTTGGTTTGTTTGTTTTTTTAATCCTCCCTCGAGGATATTTTTCCATTGATTAGATAGAGTATAGGGAGAGAAAGAGAGAGCGAGAGAAACATCAATGTGAGAGAGACACATCAATTGGTTGCATCCTGCATAGACCCCAACCAGGACTGGGGATCAAATCCACAACCCAGGTACATGCCCTTGACTGGGAATCAAACCTGTGACCCATGAGCTGACGCTCTAACCGCTGAGCCGAACTGGCCAGTAGATTTAATTAAAATACATATGTAAATACCAAAATTTAATGGCATTTTTGTGTTTCTTTGTATTATCTAGGAAGCAAATTCTTTTTAAAATAATTTTTATTTCTCAACTTGATATTTACAGAGTATCCAACAGGATTATACCACACTGCTTTCCTGTTTAATTCAAACCTTTCCCAATCAACCAGAATTTAAAGACTTGGTGCAGCTTACTGATTGCCATGATCCGGAAATGGACTTCTTTGAGAATATGAAGCACATTCAGGTGGAAGACATGTCTATGCTTTCCTCCCCACCCACCTCCACCCCTGCCCAGAAAATAAGCATTCCAGTCAGTTCTGTCTCTTTTAAAAAGATTTGTTTTAATTTTCCAAAAAGTTGTGAACTACTTGTCCCTTGATCTTCTTGGTATCAGTCAAATTTGAGTAGGAGATGATCATTTCCTGGAGTCTAATTTCCTTGGTGGTATCACAAACCACAATAACAATGTTACCTTTCTCTGCATTTATTTTTTTTTATTTGTTTTTATTTTTTTTTTTGTTATCCTCACCCAAGGATATTTTTCCACTTTTTTGTACAGATAGAGTGGGAGGGAGAGAGAGGAAGGGAGAGAGAGAGAGAAACATCGACGTGAAGGGACACATTGAGTGGCTGCCACCCGCACGACCAACCAGGGCCGGGGACAAACCGCAACCGAAGCACGTGCCCCTAGCGGGAACCGAACCCGGGTCTCTCCAGACCGCAGGTCGACGCTCTAACCGCTGAGCCAAACTGGCCAGGGCTCTCTGCATTTTTAAAGAACTTTAAATGCCTTGGAGCCATTGTTAAACGCTATGGATTATGTCTCTGGAAGCAGTCAAGACACAGGTGTTTGCTCATGTAACACATGGACGGACTGTATTTCACTCCTTAATCCTTTCATGGAAAAAGGACATGATACTGAAGTGGAGCTGGCTGTAGGTAAAATTATTCAGTAACCAGTTCATATTTTATCTAACTCACAGATCCACAGAAGAGCAAGAGCCTTGAAGAAACTGGCAAAACAACTAATGGAAGGCAAAATCATGCTGTGTTCTAAATCTCTTCAGAATTACATCATGCCTTATGCCATGAGATCAATTTTTGATGAGAAAATGCTCAAGGTAGGGCAGTAGATCTAGAAACCAGTAAACCTCTTCTCATACCATGACACTTTCCAAAGTGCAGATGGGGCGTTCATGTTGGTAATGTCACCATAATTAGAGACTTAGAATAGTTCTAAAGCCCTTAGAATTGTGCATGGCACATAGTGAATGCTCTATAAATGGTGGCTATATTTTCATTTTTGCTATTATTAGCTCATAAAAGACTAAACACAGAATATTTTCCCTCTTTTTAAAAAAATTTTTTTTTCTTTATCCTCACCCGAGGACATATTTCCATTTTATTGTTCAGATAGAATGGGAGGGAGGGAGAGAGAGAGAGAGAGAGAGAGAAAAACATCGACGTGAAAGGGACACATCGAGTGGCTGCCACCCGCACGACCAACCAGGGTCGGGGACAAACTGCAACCGAGGTACATGCCCTTAGCGGAACCGAACCCGGGTCTCTCTGGACCACAGGCTGATGCTCTAAGCGCTGAGCCAAACTGACCAGGGCAGAATATTTTCCCTTTTAGAAATGATCACATAACTAAGATGGCATCCTTTTATTTTTGTATCATAGGAATTAAACCTCCACTAATGAGCAGAGCAGTTATCTTCCCAAATGGATCATACGAAATGAAACAAAACAATAGCTGCCTTTTCCTTAGCCCTATACTAGATACAGGCACTATTGTAAGTACTTAAATACATAGTAGTACTGCTTCCTCACCACAGCTCAGCCCTGTGTGGTAGAGACTGTTACCACTGTTTTACAGGACAGGAAACTGAGAATAAGTGAGGTTACATAACTTTCTCAAAGACATGCGTTTCAGAACCAGTATTTAAACTTGGGACTGTCTTCACCATTAAGCTACATAGTGCCTAGAACAGTGCCTGGTACATGGTGACGACTTGATAAAAGTTTATTGATTAAATAGATTAATGAAAGACATTACTGAGAAATTTAAGTCTTAATTGCGGTAATATCAGGATTTGTGAATTTATATTGTATTGATTACATGGTCTTATGAAAGGATAGATTTGCTCTATTGTTTCAAGGTATTAAAATTTTTTTAAAGAATTACCTAAGTAGAAAAAGAGCACTACTTTAAGCTCCAGTGTAAAGAGCCAGTAAGCACAATCAGCTCAGAGTCTGATGGCAATAAAATAGGAAAGTGGTATAGATGGAAAAATAAACTATATTCAGGTTTGGTCAGCATTACCATGGTATATCGTTTTATAGTCTTATTTTTAACCTATTTATGACTTTACATTTAAAGTTGTTTTCTAGTAGCGTAGCTTTTTTATCCAATCTGACAATCTCTACCCCTTTTTTCGAATTTTTTTATTGTTGAGAGTATTACAGATGTCCCTCCTTTTTTCCCCTGTTGACACCCTCCTCCCCAATACCCCAGCACCCTCTTCACCACACTATTGTCTGTGGCATAGATGCATAGAAGTTCTTTGAGTTATCTCTTGCCACCCCCATCCCCCCTCCCTCTGAGGTTTGTCAGTCTGTTCCCTACTTCCGTGTCTCTGGATCTGTTTTGTTCATCAGCTTATTTTGTTCATTATATTCCACAAACAAGTGAGATCATGTGATATTTGTCTTTCTCTAAAGGGCTTATTTTGCTTAGCATAATGGTCTCCAGGTCCCTCCATGTCATTTCAGAGGGTAAGAGATCTTTCGTTCTTACATCTGCACAATATTCCATTGTCTAGATGTACTACAGGTTTTTTTTATCCACTCATTTCCTGTGCCACCCCTGTATTCATAGCAGCACTATTTAAATAGCTAAGATCTGGGAACAGCCCAAGTGTCTGTCTCTGCCTTTAATTGGTTTTAGACTATTTATGTTCAGTATGATTATTTATATGATTGAGTTTAAAGCTATGATCTTATTATTTATTTTTCATTTGTCCTATTTCTTTTTTCTCTTTTTCTCCCTTGTATTGAATTAATTGGATGTTCTTTAATGATTTGATTTTCTTTCTGTTGACATATTGGTTATCATTGTATAGATTTTACCCCTACATTAGATTTAAACCACACACACAATACAGTGTTGTTATTTTTGCTTTAAACAATTATCTTTTAAAGGAATCTGTTAAATAAGGGAAATATCTTTCATATTTGCTTGCATATTTAGATCCAGAAACTCATTTTTGTATCATTTTACTCCTGTAAGGAAGATAGGCGTCCTTTAATTTTTTTGTAGCTCAGTTCTACTGGTGATGAATTCTTTGAGCTTTTGTTTGTCTTTTCTCGTCTTTGCTTTTGGAAGATAATATTTCAGGGGTTTTCCTCTTAGTAGTTAAGAGGTAATGCTATTTATTGTCTTCTGGTTTATACAATTTCCAACAAGAAGTCATTCTTATCTTTGTTCTTTTTCCTGGCTGCCTTTAATGTTTTCTCTTTATCGCTGGTTTTAAGCCATTTGATTTTGATGTACCTTAGTATAGCTTCCTTCATGTTATTTGTGCTTGGGGTTAATTGAGCTTCTTGGCTCTATGGGTTTGTAATGTTCATACAACTTGGAATTTTGGATCATTATTTTTTTTTCAAAGATTTTTTTGGGGTTCCCTTCTTGCCTTGGGAGACCCCAGTGTGTATTAAACCCCTCTAAGTTGTCCCATAACTCACTGAGGTTCTTTTTTTTTTTTTTAATGGTTTTCATTTTGCTTTATTTTCCTATTGCTCTGTCTTCAAGTACACTAATCTTGCCTTCTGCAGTACCTTATCTACTTTTAATTCTATCTGGAATGTTATTCCTCTCAGAATTGTCTTTTCCATTTCCATAAATTGCCTTTTACCTTACATGTCTCTCCTTAACATACTCATGCTTTTCTCTCCATTGATCATGTGGAGTAAAATTGTATGAATTGTTTTACTGTCTTTGTCTACTAAGTCTATCATCCATGTCATTTCTGGGTCTGTTTCTGTTGGTTGGTTTTTCTTCTCTTTAGAGATATTTTTCTGCTGCTTTGTATGCCTTTGCAGCTCTCTTCTTTGTGTAGCTCTCTCCTCTCTGGGGCTCAGGCCTGTGGACTCTGACTGCTAAACCTCAACTCTGCCTTCTTAACTCAGGAGCGGGCCTTTCGGGGTTCCCCTTCTGTGCTGTGACCTGACCATCCTCTCTGCATGGTGATTATATATAGTGCACTTCGTTTGTTTCCTTTCTGTCAGGGAGCACTGTCCTATACGGTTTGATGTCTAAAGTCTGAAAACTGTTGTTCCATTTATTTTAGTCTTAATTTTCTAGGTTAAGGGATGAGGGTAAATCCAGTTCCTGTTCTCCGTCATGGTATAAAAGGGAGATCTTTGAGGCATCGTACTTTTGAATGTTGAGCAGTGCAACATATAGTTAACTTTGACATTTGACAGGTTTTATACATTTAATTTACTTCATTCGTAGTCTGTAGGCTTGAACCTATCGGGAAGGTCTGAGTGGAAAGAGTCCACGATGTGTTCGTGTCTTTCCATCGAAGGAAGATTTCATTCTTTCATTGGCAGCCTCTTTTCCTGGGGTGGAAGTGGAGTGTCGTTTGGCATTCCTTCTTTCCTGCCTCTGCTGGCCACCTGCTGCCTAAGGTTTCCATGCAGCACATGAGCTCTGTATCTTATCTGCAAGTGCTTTATGTTGATGTTCTCGGTTTTTTTACAGCATGAAAATATAACCATTGCTGCCACAGAGATTATTGGGGCTATTTGCAGACATCTCTCTTGGCCAGCATATTTATATTACTTGAAACATTTCATTCACGTCTTACAGACAGGACAGATCAATCAAAAGTTGGGTGTCAGGTATAGTCAACCTTCCTATTTTTAAAATCAAGTTTTGGATTATTCACTGAAATTGTCTCTTTAATCATAAAATGATATTATTAAACAAATATTTCTTTGTACCTTCTTTTAACAGCTTGTTAGTAATAGTGTTGGAAGCATTCCACTTTGACCACAAAACTCTTGAAGAACAAATGAGAAAAATTCAGAATGAAGAAAGTAAGTTTTTAAAACTTTTTAAAACTAGATTTCCATCCTGTTTTTGGATAATTTATGACAGTTAATTAAAGATGACAAAGTTCAACTTACTCCCTTTTTTTTTTTTGCTCTTGTAGCAGTGACCAGTGAATGAATCAGGAGGAAGTTAAATTGAATACTTTTGAGTATACTTGTAAAAACTTATTTAACAAGTAAAGGCAAGTCTAAATTATATAGGTGGAAATATCTGAGCTGTAGATTATTTATATAGAAATCCAATATTATTGCCTTCACATTTGGAAAGAGCATTAAGTAATGAATGCTAAGAAAATATAAGTAAATGATTAAAAATTAGAGTTAATGAAATGTAAATTAGATACAGTAAGGAAGGATTATTAAACTAAAAATAGGTATTTCACAAGGTTATAAATTGACAAACCTCTGACATGATTGATCAGTGAAAATAGAAGTCATAATAAACAACATTTGGAATTATAAAAGGTCACAATTAAATGAAAAGGTGAAATAATATTATGGTCTTTGTATTTATAAATTTGAGTACATGGCTGAAATGTACAAAATCTAAGAAAAGTAAAATACAAAAACTGACCTTAGAAGAAACAGAAAATCTGAATGGACCTGTGACCACTAAAGACATTATTAAATCTGTAGTTAAAAACCTCATGATGAAAATGCCAGCCTCAGACTGTTTCATAGGCAAGTTCTATAAACATTTAAGAAATGGATAATTTCAACCTTAATACCAGCTATTTCAGGTGATTGAAAAATAAGACACCCCCACTAACTCATGCAGTTGCTATAACTGGTTAATGGAATTTAATACATTAGCGTACAAAAAATATTGATCATCTGAATAGACATAAGAGAAACATTTGATTAAATTCAATTTCTGTGCATGATAAAAGCGATTATCAAGCAAGGAATAAATAGAAATTTCTTTAACCTGTTAAAAAATGCCTTTTAAGCCCTGGCCAGTTTTGCGCAGCAGTGAGAGCATCGGCCCAAGGACCAAAGAGTCACGGGTTCAATTCCAGTCAAGGGCACATACCTCAGTTTGGTCCCCATTCCTGGTTGGGGTCGTATGGGAGGTGACCAGTCGATATTCTTTCTGTCTCTCTCTCTCCCTCCCACTCTATTTGAAGATAAATGGAAAAATATCCCTGGGTGAGGATTTTTTTTTTAAAGCCTTTTAAAAACCTAATGCAACATCATAGTCAGTAATAAAGGATTGAAAGTCTTTTCTTTAAAACCAGAATGAGGCAAGGATACCTACTAATATTGTTTATGCCGCATATCAAACCAGAAGTTTTAGCCAGCACAGAAATGTACGGAGAAGAATGAACCCTCAAATTGGCCAAGGTATCTGTCCTAATTGGTTTGACTAAAGACATTTAAATATTCTAGCCCTCAGTTTGCATTCCTCCAACATTTTTACTCAAAATTTTCTAATTCTTTGACTCATGGTAAAATCATTCTAGAAACACATTAATGAATAAAAAAGATGGGTTTGAATGTGTAGGAACCATTTGTGTTTTAAACAATTAATGTACGAAAGCCCTTTATTTTTTTATTTTTTTCCTTTTATTGATTTTAGGGAGAGGGAGAGAGAGATAGAAAAGTCAATGAGAGAGAACATCGATCGCTGCCTCCTGTGTGACCCCACTGGGGACGTGGCCCACGACCTGGGCATGTGCCCTGACCAGGAGTCAAACCAGCGACCGTGGGTCGATGCTCAGCCACTGAGCCACACCCGCTGGACCGTATTAAAGCCCTTGAACAGTTTATCTTTAGCCAGTTGAATCTGCATTTTGAAATTTTGCATAAATAGAAACATTAAAAATTTTAAGTACTGAATTTACTTAACTCTTTTCTTCTTATATAAGACTGAAGTTTATAACATATTTTGATCACCTTCTATGAGCTGGGATTATAGACACTATGTTATTTATCCTCCTAAGAACCTTAGTTATTAGTTACCCAGTATTTTTGATAAGAGAAATTAAGGTTCAGGAATATAAAGTAACTTTTTGAAAGCTACTCAGCCAGTAAACAAAACAAAGACTAGTAACTGCCATTTTCTGAACGTCCGTGAAGTGTCAGAAACATATTTTAGTTGCATTTAGACTTGATCTCATTTAATCCTCACAGTAGCCTTGCAAGGTGCTGTCTTCATTTTACTAGTGAAGAATCCAGAGCCCACTAGGGTTAAGTTAACTGACTGTGGTCACATGGCTGGTTAACAGAGCCACGGCTGGACCTGACCCACAATAATATGCTGCCTAGTTTTCCTTAATAAACAGAACCCTATAGCAAGGGAATTTCTGCATGAGAACTGATGACTGCCATTACGATTTTCCTGGTCGTCAGTGTAGGTTTTTGCTTTTAGAAACTTCTAACCACAGTACTTTGGAAGCTTGCTTTTGTTTAAGATCCTCCCAAAGTTCACACACTCCTTTATTTATTTATTTTTTAATATTTTTCATTGGTTTAGAGAGAGAAGAAGGTAGAGAGAGATAGAAATATCAATGTGAGCGAGAAACATTGATCATCTGCCTCCTGCACGCCCCCTAGTGGGAATGGAGCCTGCAACCCGGGCACGTACCATGACCGGGAATCAAACCAGGACCTCTCAGTCCATGGGAGGACACTCAATTCACTGAGCCACACTGGCCGGGCGACACACTCTTTTATAATGGTCAGTGTACTTGTCTCTGTTCTTCATTAGACTCTCAACTGTGAGGGAAAAAACATCGTCACCCCATAACCCTCATTTACTGTGGTTTCCTCAGCACTTACCTTGCCTGCCTGCAGTTGGTGACTAGATATTTTTTATTGGAGGTTGGTAGAGAAGACTCTGTTTTATTCAATTTAAGATGCCTTTTGTCATTGCTAAACATAGACACAGCAGAAGCGATCGAGTTGCCAGAGCCTGAAGCCGTGGAACTAGAGCCCATGGGTGAGGAAAACGTGGAAAGTGGGAGTGACGGAGAACTGGGAAACCCCGCCCCAGCCGACGGTGAGGGAGCAGCAGCTAAGGAAACCGAGTGTGTCTCCCAGGCCTTCTCTTCCCTTCCTCGGAACAAGGAAGAACTGGAGAAGACAATTAAAAATATCCAAGGAGCCATAACTGGGGATATCCTACCCCGGCTACATAAATGCCTGGCATCTACGGTAATCATTCTCTTCGGGGCCAGCAGGTCTGTGTGAGTTGGGCTGTTTGTGGGGCCCTGTCGGCCTGAGGCTCCTCACTGTTACTGATTGACTTCAGTTTGGGGATGTTCTTTTATCTCAACACTGCACAATTCCCGTCTCCCCCGTCCCTTTGGGTTCATCTCCTGCCGCAGCTGGGCAGCAGTGTGCCCTCGTCCCGGTTTTCCTGTGCTGGATGGAGCTTGTCTAGGTCTGAAGTAGATAGTAAGGTGGCTTCCATTTCGAAAACAGGTTATTGAAAATTAGAGTCTGTTTCCCCTTTTTACTTCTTGGCCACTTCAACTGCTGTTCGAAATGATCTTCCAGCTGGTTGACAGGGATAACCTTCAGCAGTGGACTTGCATGAAGCCAGAGCCCTTCCGACTCAGTACAGAGCATGGGCTGGCACACTGGCTGTGGCTGACTCTAGCCTGCGGCTGTTTCAGTGAGTAAAGTGTTAGTGGAGCACAGTTATTCACAGTTTATTTACATATGTTCAAATTCTGGTTTGTATTACCATAGCAGAGCTGAGGGGTTTCAACAGAGACAAACCAGAAATATTGGCCATCTGGCCCTCTACAGAAAAACTTCTGCCAGCCCCTGGTGTAAAACACTGACTTGGTCGTTTTATATCTTAGTAAATAACCTTATTTGTGGCGGTGTATTTCTTATGGACAATGTCACTCAAACACTTGAAAGTCCAAGTTGATGCAAATTTATATAGTTCATAGCAATCTTAACCCACATCAGTGAAAACTTGGCTTTGTTTTTTTTCTGGTTGCTCTTTTGAAACAACATTTATATCCCTATTATTTTTACAATTTTTAGAGGGTTAGTCTCAAATTGCGTAATTTAGTTTGTTTTCTAAGGCAGTACACTCAGAAATGGGCATAAGCTGTATCAACGGAGCTTGTCATTCAAATGAAAGGTTGCAGTGTTGGTAGGTCCCAGGTCTATTGGTCTTCATTTTAATTTAATGTAAATTTTTCTTACAGACGAAAAGGGAAGAAGAACACAAGCTCATAAAATCCAAGGTTGTGAATGATGAGGAGGTGGTTCGAGTTCCTTTAGCTTTTGCCATGGTTAAGCTAATGCAGTCCCTCCCGTCGGACGTCATGGAAGCTAACCTGCCGGGGTATGTTGACAATCGGAAGAGTTCCGTGAAAATCAAAAATTGGTTCTTTCTTCCTGACTTGAATCTCTTTTATCAGGAATAAGAGAAGTGCTGTCACCATTTGCTGTGGTTTACAATCCTAATTGGGAAATCTGGTTTATGGGCAATTGAGAGAGAGAAGGATGTTCATATTTATTATTTGCTGTTTCTTTTATTTTTTTGATTAGTCATTTTTTAATTTCTCATTTTGTAGTATTTTGCTGAAAGTGTGTGCCCTCCTCAAGAATAGAGCACAAGAAGTCAGGGACATTGCACGTAGCACTCTTGCAAAAATAATAGAAGACCTGGGTGTGCGCTACCTACAATACATTTTAAAAGAATTGCAGACTACCCTTGTGCGTGGATATCAGGTAAGCTGCATCATGTGCTTTGTTTTCAGGTTGGGTTGGAGTTTACGTATTTGCAGTTTGAACACTGAAAGTCATGCTTCTGTGGGTCTGTCTTCAGTATAGTTGATCCACTGAGATAGCAGTCAAGAATAGTCAAAAATGTCCAGCTGGTGTGGCTCAGTGGTTGAGCATTGACCCCATGCACCAGGAGGTCGCCACTTTGATTCCCGATCAGGGCTCATGCCCAGGTTGTGGGCCAGATCCCTGATGGGGGGCATGCAGGAGGTGGCCAGTCGATGTTCTCTCTCATCGATGTTTCTCTCTCTCCCTCTCACTTCCTCTCTCTAAAATCAATAAAGCAAAAGAGAAAAAAAAGTAGTCAAAAGTTTCTAATCAGTATTTCTAGAAGTTTCTATAATTGATTTTTTAAAAATCCTTACAGGTTTAGGTTACATAACCTATCATTTTCTCTTAAATCACTTCATATCAAATTCTGCATTCTCTGGGTTCATGTATTGCCACAAATGTGAAAGAAAGAGAACATACACATTGGTGTAAGAGCTGAAACATACAATATAAGTGATAAAAATAGTAAGATCTCGGGCTGGAATACAAAGCTCCCTGAGTAGGGCCCTGGCTGGCTGCTCCTCGGCACTCCCAGTGGGCCCGGACCAGCGCCCCCAGCGGCACCTGGGAGCTTGCAAGAAGTGGTGGTCTCCAGCTGAAGGGCCTCTGTAGCTTGTTCTTTTCCAGTCCAGCCACGACTCCTGGTCGTGAGCTTTACCTTCCACGTACTGATTTGTGCATAGGTCAGGTTCCTGTTCGACACGTTATAAGGCTAGCACACTGAAAATATCAGTGTTCATTTTGACCATCTCTCTTGGTATAGTTTGTTAGTGGCTGCTCTAGGGATTGCCGTGTTCACACTTAATTTTAATGATCTACTGAGAGTCATTATTTTACCACTTCAAGTGGAACATGAATACCAAATAGGTCCCTTCACCCTCTCTTTTTGCTTTATAGATGTGTATGTATTACATTGCCATATATTGAAAACACCAGGTAGTGTTAAAGTTTTTGCTTCTAATCATCAAACATTTTAAAGAATTCGAGAAGAGTTGTCTCTTATTTTGTCCAGATATTGATTATTTCTACTGCTCTTCCTTCATTTCTGAATTTCTAAGCTGCTTTGTGGTATCGTTTCCCTTCGGACTGAAGAACTTCCTGTAGGATCTTGTAGAGCAAGGTGCTGGCAGCAGATTACCTTTAGTCTTCCCTCATCTGCGCATGTCTTCATCTCACCTTCACCCACAGGATACTGTCACTGCACATGTGATTCTGCATTGACGGTTCTTTCAGCACTTGAAAACTCTCATACCACTTCCTTCTAGCCCTTCCCTGAGCAATGCCCAACAGTCAGTCATGGTTTACCTCTAAGTAATGCATTTGCTCTGGCTGCTTTGAAGACTTCTTCTTTCACTTCACTTTTCAGCAGTTTATGATGGGTCAGTGTGGGTTTCTTTCCATTTACCCTCTTTGAGGTTTGCTGAGCTTCTCACCAGAGTTGAGTCTTCAGTCACTGTTTCGTCTCATACTTTTTCTGCACTGCACTCTCTCCTCTCCTGGGACGCCCATGAAATGACTATTAGACTTCTTGTTTTTATCCCACTTGTCACTGAGGCTCTGTTTAGATGTATTTTTTCGTCTCCTTCCTCTCTGTTGTTTACATTGAATACTTTCTATAAGTCTGTTTGCAAGTTCACTGACTCCTTATTCCTCTCCACCCTGCTATTGGGCCTCTCCAGTGAGTTTCTTATTCTGGGTTTTTCAGTTCTGAAATTTCCGTTTACTACTTTACCTCTTCTGTGTCTTTGCTAACACTTGATTTTCTGTATGTTTCAGTTCTCTGGCTAGAAAGCTGGGGCTTTGTCTCCCATGTTGCCATATACTTCCTGCAGCTGCACCCTTGTCGGGGCCAAGTGCTCGCAAGACAGGGAGAAAAGCAACCAGCGCTGGCCCACCCTCAGAACGGCAGGGCCACTGAAGGAAGGGGGTGCCCCTCCCACGGATTTGTGCCTCCTGCCAGTCCTCACTTCCAGGCCATTGCCACGACCCTCACCATGGGTGCTGAGGGGCTGCGTGTCGGAGAATGGAGACTAGAAAGAGGGGGTGGGTTTCCTCACTCTTGGAGCATGATGAGTCCCCTCTTCTACTGTTCAAGGGGCTTCTAGGCTTCTCTGCATCCTGGCACCCACTCCCATGTAGGCTGAGGGATGCCGGGTACAGTACAGTGGTAAACTCATGGGATGTTCGGTCTACTTGCGTGCAGGTGTTTGTCCCCAGTAGGTGCTCTATGCATCCTGCCAGGTTTACAGCTGTGTTCTGTGTCCCTTGTGACAGGGTGGAGTGCTTCCTCCGTCTTCCCTGGGGGGGGAGTGCTTCCTCCGTCTCCCCTGGGGGAGTGGGAGTGCTCCGTCTTCCCTGGGGGGGGGAGTGCTTCCTCCGTCTCCCCTGGGGGGGGAGTGCTTTCTCCGTCTCCCCTGGGGGCGGGAGTGCTTTCTCCGTCTTCCCTGGGGGGGAGTGCTTCCTCCGTCTTCCCTGGGGGGGAGTGCTTCCTCCGTCTTCCCTGGGTGGGGAGTGCTTTCTCCGTCTTCCCTGGGGGGGAGTGCTTCCTCCGTCTTCCCTGGGGGGGAGTGCTTCCTCCGTCTTCCCTGGGGGGGGAGTGCTTCCTCCGTCTTCCCTGGGGGGGAGTGCTTCCTCCGTCTTCCCTGGGGGGGAGTGCTTCCTCCGTCTTCCCTGGGGGGGAGTGCTTCCTCCGTCTTCCCTGAGGGGGGGGAGTGCTTCCTCCGTCTTCCCTGGGTGGGGAGTGCTTTCTCCGTCTTCCCTGGGGGGGAGTGCTTCCTCCGTCTTCCCTGGGGGGGAGTGCTTCCTCCGTCTTCCCTGGGGGGGAGTGCTTCCTCCGTCTCCCCTGGGTGGGGAGTGCTTTCTCCGTCTTCCCTGGGGGGGGGAGTGCTTCCTCCGTCTTCCCTGGGTGGGGGGAGTGCTTCCTCCGTCTTCCCTGGGTGGGGGGAGTGCTTCCTCCGTCTTCCCTGGGGGGGGGAGTGCTTCCTCCGTCTCCCTTGGGGGGGGGAGTGCTTCCTCCGTCTCCCCTGGGGGGGGGAGTGCTTCCTCCGTCTCCCTTGGGGGGGGAGTGCTTCCTCCGTCTTCCCTGAGGGGGGGGAGTGCTTTCTACGTCTTCCCTGGGTGGGGAGTGCTTTCTCCGTCTCCCCTGGGGGGGAGTGCTTCCTCCGTCTTCCCTGGGTGGGGGGAGTGCTTCCTCCGTCTTCCCTGGGGCGGGGGGAGTGCTTTCTCCGTCTTCCCTGGGGGGGTGGGGAGTGCTTCCTCCGCCTCCCCTGGGGGGGGGGAGTGCTTCCTCCGCCTCCCCTGGGGGGGGGAGTGCTTCCTCCGTCTCCCCTGGGGGGGTGGGGAGTGCTTCCTCCGCCTCCCCTGGGGGGGGGGAGTGCTTCCTCCGCCTCCCCTGGGGGGGGGAGTGCTTCCTCCGTCTCCCCTGGGGGGGGGAGTGCTTCCTCCGTCTTCCCTGGGTGGGGGGAGTGCTTTCTCCGTCTTCCCTGGGTGGGGAGTGCTTCCTCCGTCTCCCCTGGGGGGGAGTGCTTCCTCCGTCTCCCCTGGGGGGGAGTGCTTTCTCCGTCTTCCCTGGGGGGGTAGCGCTTTCTCCGTCTTACCAGTCCCTGCCGGTTTTGATTTTCATTCTGTTCTTCCAACCAGCATTTATTTGTCAGCATTTTGTGTGAGAGACTGTTAGGCACTGAGCATACAAAGATAAAGTACAGCTCTGTCTTGGAGGATTTACTCAAAATATAATGGAGCACCTACGGTATTTAAATGAGTAGCCCTTCTTTAACCAAACTGTTTTTCCTTCCTTTTTTTTTTTTTTGAAAATATGTTTTCACTGATTTTTTTTTTAGAGAGAGAGAAGGTAGGAAAGAGATAGAAACATCTATGTGAGAAACACTGATTGACTGACTCCTGCACACCCTCTACTGGGGATCAATCCCACAACCCAGGCATGTGCCCTGACTGGGAATCGAACCGGGGCCTCTCAGTCCGTGGGATGACGCTCAGTCCACTGAGCCACACTGGCTGGGCTAACCAGCCTGTTTTTCAAGCTTACCCTATTACTTATTAAAAGAATTCGAATAGGGAGAGGCAGTAAAGGATAAAGGGGTCAAGTCCATGGTGGTGGACGGAGATTTGACTTGGGGTGGTGAGCACACAATGCAGTGTACAGACCATGTACTAAAGAATTGTACACCTGGAACTTATATGATCTTATTAACCAACGTCACCCCAGTAAACTTAATAAAAATAATAATAATTAAAATGGAGGACAACTGGTTTGGGCTCGAGTGTTGATCATGTAGACGCTCCCAAAATTGTACCCTTCAGGTGTCATTCCTCGTCCTTCCAAAAGGACTTTCTACAACCATGTAAAGCCTTAGCAAACGTCGTAAATATGTGAAAGTGCTGAAAGGTCCCAAGTGGATACATCTGAAACCATGTCTTTAAAATCCAGTCTGCGTGTTGACAGCCAAGTGTGTGTCCCTGACGTGTGGTCATTAGGTGGTGGTCCCTGTGGTGGTCTGGCAGCGCCGGAAGCAGTAGGGACTCGGAAAGCTTGTGGTGCACAGCACGGTGACGCAGGGCTGGGCTCTGGGGCCAGCCATCTCTTCCGCATCCTGACTCCGCCACTTCCTACCCAGTCACCCCGGGCAAGTCACTTGACCTGTCTGCCTCAGCTTTCTCTTCTACAAAATGCCCGTAACGTAGCGCCCACATCATAGCTGGAAGGGGTGAGGAGCGAATGAGTCAGGGCCTGTGAGGTATCACTGTGTGCCTAGCCTGTGGTAGGCTCTCGGGATTGTTAGCTGTGCTCACTCTTGAGAGCAGAAACTTACCTGTGTCTCTCTCAACACTTTACGTACCAGCTTTGATTGCATTCAACATTTGTGAACTCCTTAATTCACAGGTTAATTATAAAGTTTAAGGCCCTTGCACCTTTATAAATCCCTGGCCTGGTTTAGTCACTGTAATCCTAAGCATGATCGTGTGTTTCTGAGCATTTCTTTTACAAAGTGACCGTTTGGTTGAAGGATTTCAGATGACAGTATGATATGTATCACTTGTCAGAGCTGCTCCCTGCAGCGGTGACAGAGACACACCCCGAGTGCTCCTTTGCAGCCGTTCTCAGCTCTTACTCTTTCTAATGTGGGATTCTTAGCACTCACTGTTCTTCCACATTTCTCTCCAGGTCCACGTGCTGACTTTCACTGTTTACATGTTGCTGCATGGCCTCACCTGTAAGCTGCAAGTCGGAGATTTGGACTCTTGTCTAGATATAATGATTGAGGTAAGGTTTAGAGAAAGGAATTCCAAAGTTTTGGTTTTTTTTAGTGGGCAAAAGGCACCAAAAAAAATCAATTTACAAACTAATAAGAATTATAGCCTACGAAAATGAAATCAGTGCCTGTCTCACGTCTCAGATTAGCGGGTTTAGAAAGCTGAGATCCAGGTGAAGTGAGCTGGGCACGCTGCCGCTGCCGCAGGTTATGCGTTGGTATAACCTTTCCTGAAAGGAAATTGTCATTGAGCAAAATTTCAACCACTTCCAAAAATCTGTTTGTTTTTTTTAAGGTAAAGTTTCCATTTCTTTCTCTTTTTTTTTAATTTATTTATTTTTGTAACAGATATTTCTCCTTTTTCCCCCACTGATACCCCCCTCCCCGCCCTGTCCCCAGCTTTGTTGTCCATGTCCATTGTTCATGCACACATGCATATAAGTTCTGTGGTTTACCCCTACCCCCTCCAAAAATCTGTTTTAAAAGAATAATCAGAGATGAGATCTGGGTTTATATAAAAGTGTATTTAGCAGAGCTTTATAATAGTGAAAAATGAATAACAATCAACTTTTAAAATTGAATAATTTGATAATTTGGGGGTAGGATTAAGAAGAGATTAAATTTGCCACACAATGTTTTGTTCATTTAAAACTGCAGATACTAACATTTTGAATTAAATGCATTAATGTTGATAACTCAGTTGCAAATGTCATGAAGATTCTTAAAGCAAAATAACCCACTCTTTGGTAATAGCTAAGACTTGTCTGTGTGTCACACAGTTATACGTATACATCCTGTAGTGCAGCAGGTCCTTGAACAATGCCCTTTCATGGACATTGATGGGATGTTGATACTGGTTAGTCTGTGGTAGAATTGGGTTTGTTGTGTGTCATTTTGCTTAAGGTTGCAGGACCTAACGACATTGAAAACTTACTGCATTCCTCTTTGTTTCCCATTAGTATAAACCTTCTGGTGTTTCTGTGTTTGTTTTTTTGTAATTGGTCTCTAAACTACATGGAAAAAAGTGAAATCTAATAAAAATTCCTCCCATCTCATTTCAGTCCAGTCCAGCTTGCTTTCCTAGACCTGAGCGTGCCAATGCGCTTTTCAGAGACTGCTTATGTTGGCGTGTCTCACTGTGGCTTTTTTCTTTTAAAGATATTTAACCATGAGTTGTTTGGTGCCATTGCCGAAGAGAAGGAAGTAAAGCAGATCCTGTCCAAAGTCATGGAGGCCCGAAGAAGCAAGAGTTACGAATCTTATGAAATCCTGGGCAAGTTTGTAGGAAAAGATCAGGTTACGAAACTTATCATTCCGCTGAAAGAGGTGAGGACGAGGACTCGCGTGCAGTGCAGGAGCCTCCCGGGGCAAACCTGGCTGCACTTGACTGCTTTCCCTGGTGCAAGGACACCACTACCATATGGCCACTAGATGGCAGCCCTGAGGCAAGCGTGCTCATCCAGGAATCAGATTCCCTGATGTGAACCATGCGATGCAGAAGGAAAGGCAGCGAGAATCAGAGAGCAGGTGAATAGTCCAGCTGAGTCCAGTCAGCAACTAAGAACAGAGCCTTTGGAGTCAGACTGTTCTCCCAGAATGCCAAGAGGAGGAAGACTGGCATTTGTTGAACATATATTATGTCCTAAACATTACGCTTCACTGTCTGTTCTAATCTGCACAACCAACCTGTGAAGTCGATGGTACTTGATCTTAGAGAGAGAAATTCAGGCTCAGGAAGGTAGAAGGGAACATGGTTAAGGAGGAAAGTCGAGATTTAGTTCCAGGTCTTTCCAATCGAAAGCCCACATTTTTCCGCTGTTTCTTTCTGTCCTGTTGGGCAGCAACGTAATTTACCTCCCTTCATAGAGTTCTCTGTGCCTGTTGCAGGGTGGACATTCAATAAACATTTCCATTCTTTTTATCACAGTTTTATGAATTAAAACTAGAGCAAGCCCTGGCCAGTTTGGCTCAGCGGTTAGAGCGTCGGCCTGCGGTCCGGAGAGACCCGGGTTCGGTTCCCGCTAAGGGCACGTACTTCGGTTGCAGTTTGTCCCCGGCCCTGGATGGTCGTGCGGGTGGCAGCCACTCGATGTGTCCCTTCACGTCGATGTTTCTCTCTCTCTCCCTTCCTCTCTCTCCCTCCCACTCTATCTGTACAAAAAATGGAAAAATGTCCTCGGGTGAGGATAAAAAAAAAAAAAAATATTTAAAACTAGAGCAAAAAGACTATCTAGTGGCAGGAGTTCACTATAATTCCAGATGTTTTGGTGCTGGATTAACTCCATAACTGTTGCCAGAAAGCATTTAGCCTGAAAAAGAGTCAACAGAGCACGTGTGTTTTCCGTGTATATCATCCCTCCAAAGTAATGAGAGTTGTTAGTACCAGACCCTGTACAAGGAAACAGCTTTAATGCACCTGGAGGGTCAGCATCTTACCAGCGTCATGTCACACCTACGGCCGCGTGCCCTCGGCCTCACCAGCAGCAGAGCGGGGTGCGGGACATCCAGGTCAGCCACACTGCTGGCCCTGGTTTTCTCGGGTTGAGGTGACGATTTGACTTGATATGTTATATCTCTTTGAAATTGTATTAAGAATTTTTTTTTTTAATCCTCACCCGAGGATATTTTTCCATTTATTTTCAGACAGAGTGGGAGGGAGAGATAGAGAGAGGGAAGGAGAGAAAAACGGACATGAGAGAGACACATTGACTGGCTGCCTCCCGCATGACCCAACTAGGGCCAGGGACCAAACTGCAATCCAGGTTCGTGCCCTTGACCGGAATCGAACCCATGACTCTTTGGTCCGTGGGCCGACACTCTAACCGCTGAGCCAAACCAGCCAGGGCAAGATGTTTCTTTTTTCAATTAGAAAAAAAAATATTAAAAAGCAAATATATGTATATTTTAAAAAGCTACTATCACAACAAATGCAAATGCGATTGTTACCGCATGACATCTGTGTTTGCCTTTAGATCTTACAAAACACCACGAGTTTAAAACTGGCCCGGAAAGTTCACGAGACTTTACGCCGAATCATTGCAGGATTAATTATCAACGAGGAAATGACAGCAGAATCCATTCTGTTGCTCAGTTATGGTTTGGTCAGTGAAAATCTCCCCCTGTTAACAGAAAAAGAAAAGTAAGTTTGAAAAAAAAAAAACAACAAACAACTTTCATTTTGGTGCTTTTTTTCTGATAAGCCATTCAGTTTTAAGTGGATTAACTTAATAGTTTGCTGTAGTGTAAAAAAAAAACACCTTAATATTTATGAGTTATAAGATGGTTCTACTCTGTGTTGTTTGGGCTGAGGTCCTTCCAAGTGACACATCTCCACGTGAGATCATGTTTCTGATGATGAGGTAGCTGTGACAGCAGCTGACTTGGGGGCGTTTGTCTGACACCATTTCTGTTTGGGATACTGATTGACTCAGAGTAGAGTTTAAATACATACCTCTTGTTCTGATCAAATAGAGATTTAGACTTTAAAAGATTTTAAAATAATGTTTTTGTAAACTTCCTTTAGATTTTGCTTCTGTGTTTTAAAAGAGACTCCTCGGCATTTGTTTTCAGAAATCAAAGAAAGGGAATGTCCCTTTGCTATTCACCTGAGTTTCGGAGTAGTTCCTCTGTGTCTCACATGGTTAAGGGAGAAAAAAGCCCAGAGCAAATAGCACATTATTTAGTACTCAGCTCTCATCCCCAGAGAGTGCCGCTGCAGCTAATGGGAATGCAACTCTTGTTTTCTCTTCTGCTGTGATTGGCAGAAACGCAGCAGTCCCTGCCCCGGATCCACGTCTGCCACCCCAGAGCTGTCTTCTGCTTCCCCCAACCCCAGTTCGTGGCGGGCAGAGAGCAGTTGTGAGCAGGAAGACGAACATGCACATCTTCATCGAGTCTGGGCTCCGGGTAAGAAGTACCCTAGGTGGGACTCACTGCCCAGTGGTCTGTGCCTTTCACTACTTTGCTCAATCTCTCCTGTTGCTTGTTTCCACTGTACATGCCTCACTGTAAATAAATTATGGAATTTTTTTTTAAAGGTGCATTGGTCCAGCCCTGGCCAGTTTGGCTCAGCGGTTAGAGCGTCGGCCCGTGGACCGGAAAGTCCCGGGTTCGGTTTCCGCTAAGGGCACGTACCTCGGTTGCAGCTTGTCCCCGGCCCCCATTGGGCTCCTGTGGGTGGCAGCCACTCTGTGTCTCTCTCACATCGATGTTTCTCTCTCTCTCTCTCCCTTACTCCCTCCCACTCTATCTGAAGATGAATGTACAAGTGTCCTTGGGTGAGGATTTAAAAAAAAGGTACATTGGTCCATTTACTATTTATCTCTTCCAGTATTTACTTCGATACTGTAACTCTTTCAAAATTAATGATTCCGACTTAATATTTATTATGGTTTTGTTATTGCTTTGCCCATGACTGCACCTCTGAACTACTTTGAATTTTTTTAAAAAGTGGTGAGCTTTTAAAAACACAAATCTGATCATTTCATTTCCTTTTAAAACCCTTCATTGGTTTTTATTTTTCCTAGAGGAGCTAGTTCTTCGTGTGGGCTGCAAGGGCCTAGCCTCACACTACATTCCAGCACACTCCAGCCACACATGGCTTTCCCTTGGTTCTTAAAGGCTCCCCTGTTCCTGCCCTAGTACCTCATCCCCCTCTGCCCAGACCCCCATACAACCCTGCATTTACAGTTAATTATTTCCGAGAGTCTGTCACCCTGGCTGAGATCTTCCAGTGCAGGGACGTGTCCGTCTTGGTCACTGCAGCAATCCTGCAGGCTGAGCCCGTGCCGGGAGTCAGAGGGGATGCTCGGTAACCATGTGGTAAATGGACTTAGAATCTCAGCTGCACAGTCATCTCCCACTTCTTCACTTACTGAGACTCGCCCAGGCAGTTTCCTGTTTTTTTCAAAATTTTTATATATCAAGTGGAAGCATCTAAACATTCCAGGTTGTCTCTTAAAATCATTTCACCTTCACCTTACTCATTTGGTCTTATGGGCACTTGCTGTGAAATATCTTTTTAAATCTTTAGCTGCTGCATCTGAGTCTGAAGACTTCCAAGATCAAGTCTTCAAGTGAGCACATTCTGGAAATGTTGGATCCTTTTGTGTCTCTGCTCATAGACTGCCTGGATTCCATGGATGTGAAGGTGAGCAGCTGGTCCTTCACAGAGCTGGGTCGTGCAGAATGCCGAGACTTAACTTCTAGGCTCAGCACCACAGATAACGGGGCTCTTAAAGGGATTTATGACGTTATAAACCACCTCTATCCCTGTATTAGCTCCCCAGTTTAGTAATCCCATATGTTTGGATAGCCTTTTACAAGATTTAAAGCCCTTCTAACTACAATAATTACTTCATCTGATCCTTGTAGCAACTTCATGAGGGTGAGTGGTGATGTCCCCGTGTCAGTAATCGTCACCTCATCATCATTGTCGCCCCTACCCAGTGCTATGGATCCTCAGAACAATCCACGGGGCACTTATTATTATTGTTTCTGTTCTATAGATGAGAAAACTAGGCCTTAGACTAAGTGACTGCCCCAGATAATAGCTTTAGGATGTGGTCTCAGACTCCAAAGCCTACACCCTCCCACTTCCTCAGGTTGTCTGTTTTGCGGCAAAGGTTTCGAGAGGTGAATGAGTGACAGCTCTGTAGTCCAATAGGTAAAAGCTGCAGAGCTGGGATTTATGCCCCCTTCTTTCTGACTCTGGAGCTTTTCCCTCTGTGTCTTCATAATCCAGCCCAGGAAGTCCATCCCAGCAGCCAGAGCAGTAGGACTCTACTGGGTAGAGCTGAACTAGGGACAGCGGATCTAGGCGCTCCTGAAGGTTTGGCCTGGAAGTGCAGGGAGTCTCGTGTAAATCAGTCGGCCCCAGCACACTTTTTATCCCTTTGCACAGGAGTTAACTGTATTAAATTACACTTCGTTGTGTCCCATGCTTTATTTCTGAGCCAGCTATCTGCTCCATAAAGAGGGGATGGCGTCCTTTTTATCTTTGTGTTTGTAATACTCATTGGAGTGTCTTGTGTACTAATACAAGCTTAGTAAGAATTCCATTGAAGTGCCATTTTAGAAAATCAAAAATTCATGCCCTGACCAGTTTGGCTCAGCAGTTAGAACGTTGGCCTCGGGACTGAAGGGTCTCGGGTTCGATTCCCGGTCAAAGGCACATAACTGGGTTGAAGGTTGGGATCGTGTGGGAGGCAGCTATGTGTCTCTCTCACATCGGTGTCTCTCTCTCTCTCCCTGCCCTCCACTCTATCAAAAAAATCAATGGAAAAATGTCCTTGGGTGAGGATTAACAAAAAAAGAAGAAAGGATATAGACAGCCCAGCTGGGGTGGCTTAACGGATTGAGCGTTGTCTCATGGACTGAGAGGTCCCAGTTAGATTCCGAGTCAGGGCACGTGCCCAGTTTGCGGCTCGATCCCCAGTAGGGGGCGTGCAGGAGGCAGCCAAGCAGCGTTTCTCTCTCTCCCTTCCTCTCTTTCTAAAAAATCAATAGAAACATATTAAACAAGATAAACAAACCAAAAAAAAAAAACACCCAATTGAGAACACTCTTTTAAAAAAAAAAACAAAATAGGAAATTCATTTATAATGTGTTTATTTGATTTGTTAAGATTGGCCAGTCTGTGCCATCATTTACCCATGTGGGTAAGTGACCTTGTGGGTCATCCTCCCTTGCCTTGCAGAGCAGTGAGTTCTTCTGCAGCGGGGACGGGAACGTCCCTGTCTGCTCACACTCTGGCTCAGCTCTTCAGAGGCCTGGGCAGAGCTTTTATCCCTTCAGCATGGCTGGGTGGAGAGTGCACAGCCTTGGCTGCAGGGTTGCTGAGCGTGGTCACTTCATAAGTTGATTGGTGTGGTTTGGTTTGCTTTTCAGGTGATCACGGGCGCTTTGCAGTGCCTGATCTGGGTCTTGAGGTTCTCTCTGCCTTCCATAGAAACAAAAGCGGAGCAGCTGACCAAACAGCTCTTCCTTCTGCTGAAGGACTACGCAAAACTTGGGGCTGCCAAGGGTCAGAACTTCCACCTGGTGGTAAATTGTTTCAAGGTGAGAGTTTTCACTTCCACTTAGAAAAAACCAGGCCCAGGATTAACATCAAAGTTAGTTTCCACATCGTCCTTTGTGGTCTTGGTCAAAATGTTTTCCAGATTAATTTGCTAAGACCAGAAGCTTGGTTTCTTGTGTGAAAAGCCTTGATGTTGTATCCAGTCCTCGTGATTTCACTGGGTCCTGATGTGTTACATCCTGGCTGTTAACCTCACTGTTGAACTTGCAGTGTGTGACCATACTTGTGAAGAAAGTGAAGTCTTACCAGATAACCGAAAAGCAGCTCCAGGTTCTACTAGCGTATGCTGAGGAGGACATTTATGATACATCAAGACAAGCCACTGCGTTTGGTCTCCTTAAGGTACGGGGCCGTCAGAATGTGGGACTTGACCGTTTATGAGCCTCGTGTCAGATATTTAAAACGTGGAACACAGTGTTGTGACTAGTGGTTGACTTTCAAATTTAAGTAATTTAAAGATGATTTTGGTGGTTATTAAAAGGTTTGAATGTGAGCTCTGTTAATACTTCCAGGGAATTCTGTACAAATACAGGTATGCACCTGTATTTCTCATTTTGGACATTGTTTTCCTTTTTTAATTGTGATAGAGTATACATAACATAAAATTGCCCGTTTTAGGCCCTGGCCAGTTTGGCTCCGCGGTTAGAGCATTGGCCCATGGACCAAAGAGTCGGGTTCGATTCCAGTCAAGGGCATGTACCTTGTTTGCGGTCGTCCCTGGTCCTGGCCCTGGTCGGGTTGTGCAGGAGGCAGCCAGTCGATGTGTCTCTCTCATGTCGATGTTTCTCACTCTTGCTCTCTCTCTCTTCCTCCCTTCTTCCCTCCCGCTCTCTCTGAAGATAAATGAAAATATCCTTGGGTGAGGATTTGAAAAACAAATTGCCTGTTTTAATGTTTTTTAAGTACATACTATTTTTCTTCTGGAGGTACTTTCATTATGTTTGAGAATTGCCTGTGACCACTTTGACATCAGGGCGGCTTATGCCCATGTGCAATAAAACATGCAGACTATGTCTTTTCCTTCTGTGTTTTAGGCCATTTTATCAAGAAAGTTGCTGGTCCCAGAAATCGATGATGTGATGCGGAAAGTATCCAAGTTGGCCATTTCCGGGCAGAGCGAGCCTGTCCGAGTCCAGTGCAGACAGGTGTGTAGAGAGCTTACTCCCACAGCAAGGGCTGAGCCCTGCCTTAGATAGAGAGGTGTCAACACTGCGTTCCAAAGACGGCTTTGTCATACTGATACTGTAACCTGTGACTCAGGAACCCGTTACACTCCAGGTGCAGGAGGGTCTCAGCCTTGGCATAGGGCATTTTTCAGTTAACGAGGAGCATTTTGAGGATAGCCCGCCATCTGGCATGTTCAGTCAGATGTAGCAAGCTAGCCCGTGCAGGGATGTCCACCCAGGGGTCCAGCCATCGACTGCTTAGGCATGTCCCTGTGTGTCGGGCGCTGCTGGAAGAGCAGTCAACGAAATTCTTACAGCAGACAGGCGCAGGACAAAATTCCACAAATAATTACATAATTACAGACATCATAAGTGCCAGGAAGAAAGAGTGTTACCATATTTTATCACAGGACACTGTCATTTACATGTCTCAGAACAAAACACTGACACAAGGGTAAGATGCCATCGATAGTAAGACACATCCCTATTTCAGATGTTACAATGGGGAAAACGATGCTGCTGAGCATCGACGAACTGGAAGAGCGTACGATCGGGTGGAGAGCCACCCGAGTCTGAGTCGGGCAGGCTTTCCCAAGCACTGCACGTGAGCAGGGTTTGAAGGGAGGTGCAGGGAGTGACAGATGCCAGAGGAAGGTAAACCTTGAGGTGAGTAAGAGCTGAGCTGTTGGGGAGCTAAATGAAGGTAAGAGGAGGGAGCCAGGTCAGGCGAGACCCTGTGGTCTCATTAAAGATTTAGAGCTTTGTTCCGAGAATAGCAAAAAAAACACTGTTGAAAGCAACAGGCAGGGGGGTGACATGAGCATATTTGTGTTCGTGCATTTGTCCGCCCTGATCCTGGAGCGCCTGCAGCCCCAGAGGCGGAAGGGTCTGAACTGGAAATAGGGAGTTCGCGTGTAAGGAGGGTTTGGGCTGCTCAGGAGGCCAGAGGAAAGGAAAGAAGCTTGTCTTAAGAGGAAATTTTCTTAACTCCTGTTAAGAAGGAGGGCGGCTGCTATTTATTAAGCACTAACTGTGTGCCCAGCACTTCACATACACAGCATGACTTCTGTTTGTAACTGTCTTTCAAAAGAAACAGTACCCATTGTATGGCTGGGGAAAAGCAGGCCTGGAAAGTTAACGATGTGCCTGATTCTCACAGTTAATTATAAAAGAGGCTTAGTAGTGTGTAGCAGAGCCTTTGGATACAGACAGACTAGGCACTGCCACCGGAGCAGATTGCTTTTCTGCCAAACTCATTCTCTTCATCAGTAAAGTGGGGCAGCATCACCTGCTTCCCAAGGAAGGAATGAAAATGAACTGGGAAATAACCCAGGGCTGGGCACATAGAAGGTGTCTAGTAAATGCAATAGTTAGCAGTGTTAATGTTATTCGTGCTGAAGGGGAATCCAGGGCTGAACCACATCCATGTTCAGTCCACACACCACACCACCTCTCGGGAGTTTCCAACGGGTGAGCTTGGACTGGAGCCCTGAACAGCTGTGCAGGGTTAGGCCAGGACTGGACTGGTAGGCGTGTCGGGCAGGACCTAGGTAAGTGAAGTGGTAGCAGAGGAAGAGGCACAGTTGTCAGCAGGAGGCCAACTTCACCTAACCGATCACTCTTCTAAAAGGTCTTTTTAAACTACCACTGTGTCCCAGAAAGCAGCTTAGGAGACAGGAATCCTGAAGAGAGAGGGTCCCAATAACCTGTGTGACTTCTGTTCCTAGGTTTTCCTCAGATATATTCTTGACTATCCCCTTGGTGATAAATTGAGACCAAACTTGGAATTCATACTCGCTCAACTGACGTAAGTTTAAGCTGCAAATTACACAGAGGTGGTGGGGTAGTTTCTTCTCTCCTCTCAGTGGGCGGCTGTCTTAAAGAGAACACACCTCAGCATAATGGCCCATTCTCTGGGGATGACCTATAAGTCATTGACTCAACTGGCAAACCTTCATGGCTTCATGTAGCAGTTCTGTGAGTCGCTTTCAGTCTGACCATTCATTGTCATTGAGTCCACTTAGGAGAATGGTAAAGATCTAACAAAATCACATGTAAAACGTCACAGTAGCATGATACATACAAGCATTAAAATTGGGAAAATAGCCTGGCCAGCATGGCTCAGTGTTTGAGCGTCGACCCATGCACCAAGAGGTCTCCGGTTCGATTCCCGGTCAGGGCACATGCCCAGGTTGTGGGACCAATCCCCAGTGGGGGGCATGTAGGAGGCGGCCAGTTGATGTTCACTCTCATCGATAGTTCTGTCTCTCTCCTTCTCCCTTTCTCTCTCTAAAATCCATAAACAAAAAAAAAAAAATTCTTTTTAATTGGGAAAATGGCGTTTTCCCCACTTTTTAAGAAATAGACTGGCATCTGGAGACAGTGTTTTAAGTTCTTAAAAATCATTGTTGGTACATTTAAAAGATGACTAACAAGTCCTAATTGTTTTGCCCTAGTTACGAACATGAGACTGGGAGAGGGTCCGCCTTGGAAATGATTGCTTATCTCTTCGACACGTTCCCTCAGGTACCGTATAGCACAGACAGACTGATAGCCGTGTTCCCTTCGAGCCGGGGCGCCCCCGGTCCGCCCTGTAGGGGCCTCCGTGGGGCGCAGTCTGGGTGCTCAGCGAGCCCGTCTCCTTCCAGGGACTGCTCCATGAGAACTGCGCCATGTTCTTTATTCCTCTGTGCCTGATGATGGTGAATGACGACTCTGCCACGTGTAAGAAGATGGCATCCGTGGCGATCAAATCCTTACTCAGCAAAATCAGCCTCGAGAAGAAAGATTGGCTTTTCAGTTTGGTTACCACCTGGTTTGGAGCAGAGAAGGTTAGGGTTGCTTTAAGTCATATTTCAATGGAAAGTCTTAGTTTGGTGTTTGTACTTCAAATAAAAATACATACACATTGTTGAATTAATTTTTCCAAAATAGCTTTATTGTTTTTATTTGATTATGTTAATAATATATTCTTATAGTAAAATTTCAGTAAAGGTAACCAGTTATAGCGGGAACATAAGAATCACCCGCGTTCCCACCGTCCAGTTCATGCCAGCCGGTCGCTCCACTGCATGGACTTGCGTCGTTTACTTAACCAGCCCCCGACGAGGGAGGACCTGTTTCCGTTCTCGCCCTCTCGGTCGAAGGGGTGGAGTTTGTGTCAGCACTTGTGTACGCTTGCGGCCTCGCCCACCATCTCCCGGCCCATCTTCTGTGGAACAGAAACACATGTCGTGTCTTAGTCATGGTTTAAGCATGAAAGTCAGAATTGGAGGAGAAGGGGTGAAACTTCTTTCGATTTTTTTAAAATGTGAAATGAGAAAAAAATGTATTATTCAGTGGATAATGATGAATATCACTTTTTTAAAATGTTGTTCTTAGATATGAAGATTTCTCTGTATTCTTCTTGTTAGTCACCAGTGATCCATTTTCCATTAGTTCGGGTTTTGTAAAGAACTGTTGAGAACAGAGTCATGCCCACCTTCATGTTACAGTTGGGAAACAGCCTCCCAGGCTGTGTTGACGTTGTCTTGTGCTTTGTTTTTGGTAGCGCTTAAGCAGACAGCTGGCCGCCCTGGTCTGTGGCTTGTTTGTGGAAAGTGAAGGAGTCACTTTTGAAAGAAGACTTAGAACTGTTCTCCCTGTGATTGAAAAGGAAATTGATCCTGAAAACTTTGAAGATGTAAGTTATTTGCTAGTAAATAAAAGTTTTGCAATTTTTATAGTTTTGCTTAAGGTGGTATAGCTAATAGATTGAATAATGTGTTCAAAAATGCTTTTTATTAATATAAGCAAGGATTCAATGTAGTTGGATCTTCTTGTTTTAAATGAGGTTAAAGTAAGTTATCCTCCCATAGTATAGGGCAGTCAGAGGTTCTCAAGCAGAGTGATTTTTGTCCCCCAGGGGACATTTAGCAATGTCCTACTGGCATCTAATGGGTAGAAACCAGGGACACTGCTAAACATCCGATGGGACACCGGGCACCCTCCCACAGCAACAGAGTATCCTGTCCAAATGTCAGTGTTGAGGTTGAGACACCCTGATGTAGATTTACACGCTGGAATGCAGGTGTCCATCAGATGCTTTGAATTGTCTTCATTTGTATCTTTCTGTTCTTAGATCATAGAAGAGACTGAAGAAAAAGCTGCGGATCGCCTTCTGTTCAGTTTTCTTACACTGATAAGTAAACTCATCAAGGAGTGTAACATTGTTCAGTTTAACAAGCCCGCCCAGACTTTGAGTAAAATCTGGAGTAAGTATTGTCTTTTTATTTAAATCTAAAAAGAAACATTTGTTGTGATAGAATTATTGAAAACAGGTTTGGGGAAATTAGACTATGAATACTTTTTTTTATTTTTAAGAATCTTTATTCAGCTTTATTTATAGGAGATATTCATCATGTTTATTTTTATGTCTTTTTAATTGGTTTTTTAGAGAGAGAGTGGAAAGGAGAGATAGAAACACCAGTGAGAAAGAAACATTGATCGGCTGCCTCCTGCATGCCCCCTACTGGGGATCGAGTCTGCAACCTGGGCATGTGCCCTGACCGGGAATCAAACCCTCTTAGTCCATGAACTGATGCAATCCACTGAAGCCACACTGGCTGGGCAGAATAAGGAATACTAAAGAAAGTGTATGTCAGGGGAAAAGTCAATAAGAAAAAGATTTGAAGGGTCCTTTCATAATGATTACAGTGAAAATGTGTGTGTGTGTGTGTGTGTGTGTGTGTGTACATATATACATGACTTCATAAGTAACACATTTCATTTATAAAAGAAAGAATATTCAATCTTTTGGAGGGTGCTGTTTTGAGGTTGCATAATTCCATGTAAACTTTTATATCCTGTTTGTACTAGTAGCTATCCCTTTAAATAGCTGTAAATAGTCCATCATATAAATATGCCATAATTTACTAAACCATGTCATTTCCATGAGATATTTAAGTTGTATATCATTCTTAAATGAAAAACACTTAATTTTTAATATAATATATTGAATTTTGTTTAGTCGGTAGGAAATAGATATTGGAATGAATGCTTTAAGTACCCGTCTATTTTAAAAGAACTCATGATCCTGTGAGATATAATACCTACTAAATTACTATGCGGCCTACCCCGGTCTGGCTCCCCGGAGACATGTCTAGATTATTACACAGGTTCATGTAGAACCGAAGTAAAACCATGTGCATGAAATACAACAGCGACTAAAACTCAGATAAGACATGAGTCGTCCAGAATTGTAATTCTGCTTCCCACCACCACAAGGCTTTCCACTGTTTTCCACGTGCGGCAGATGGAGAGCAGCCGTGCGCTCGAGTGTGACCTTTGAGGAGGCCTGTTTAAGAGTATGAGCTGTGGGCCACATGGAGCTGGGCCTGGGCTTGGTTCTGCCTGTTATGCTTGACATGTCACGTAGCCCCTCTGAAAGTCCCTTTCCTCGTCTGGAACGTAAAGTGAAATGACAGTGCCAAGCTCGCAGAGCTGCTGTGAAGTCTGAGCCCTCTGCCCGCACAGAGAGAGCACCGATGGACAGTGCCTCCCCATCCGCTGCTTGGAGCCGCCCATTTCTTTTTTTTTAATCCTCACCCGAGGACATTTTTCCATTTTTTGTTCAGGTAGAGTGGGAGGGAGAGAGAGGAAGAGAGAGAGAGAGAAACATCGATGCGAAAGGAACACATCGAGTGGCTGCCACCCGCACGACCCAACCAGGGCCGGGGACAAACTGCAACCGAGGTACGTGCCCTTAGCGGGAACCGAACTGGGTCTCTCAGGACCGCAGGCCGACGCTCTAACCGCTGAGCCAAACCGGCCAGGGCGGAGCCACCCATTTCATTAGTGACGAGAAGCGCGTTTGTTGTATATGTGAAAGTATACATACACACGTAATTTAGATGTAGGGACTGTAAACGTCGGCGCCACCGTCTCTCCCGAGTTCGGAACCGCTCCTGTGGCGCCGGAAGTCCAGGTGCACCTCTGGGCGGGCCATGCGAGGGCTCCGTTTGCTCCCTAGCCACCTGACAGCATCCGGAGAGCAGGGCCTGTTTTGTTCACGTCCACTTCCCAAATCTAAGCACATAGTAGGCACTGAGAAATGCCCAGTCAGTCCTCTGCCAGCAGTCCGGAAGGCTGTGACACCTGAGAACGTGTTTTGGTTCCCCAGGTCACGTGTACTCTCACCTGAGACATCCGCACAACTGGGTGTGGCTCACGGCGGCCCAGATCTTTGGATTGCTCTTTGCCTCTTGCCAACCAGAGGAGCTTATTAGAAAACGAAATGTTAAGAAAACAAAAAAGAAACTCTCACCACCTGTAGCAATCAGGTTCCTAACAAGGGACCTTGACCAAAAGGTAAAGTTCTCTAAAACCTTTCTTCCTCGTGACCCGTGGGACGCTCTGGTTCATGGAGCTGTTGGGGTTGGCCCCTGGGAGAACGTCCAGCCCACCACGAGCGCGTGGAGTCTCTGGCAGGGACGCTAGGAACCCGAGAGGCGGTCACCCTCAAGGCCCATTTTTTCGAAGATAATTTTTAGACGGTCAGTTCAGTCAGACTTCTGCTTTGCTTATTTAGCTCATTCATCATACATGTTTAAGTTCTCGTCATTGAAAAATAAGATACTGTCTGTCCTGCCTCCTTCGTAACCTTATAGGTAACTAAATGCAGTCATGTTCATGAAAATGTTAGGTAGGGACTGTGTCATGTCCGTCCCTGGTTTCCTAGTGCCTCGCACACCGGCTCACAGTGGGAACTCTGAAGATTGATGAATGAGGACAGAAGGAAAGAACAGAGGAAGGGAAAACTATTGGAACGTTGCCAAGTTCTCTTCTAATGAGTTCAGGGATCATATCTAGATCTCCCCAGAGCTTGAAAGTGTCCCGTTTCCTTCAGCTTCCAAGCTTGTGGCAGGCAGGAGGGAACCATCATACAATTTTGGTCATGAACCTTCCCTCTCCAGATCTATACAAGCGGGCAAAACAAAATCAAGTAGCTCAGTTGTATTATTATGGTTAGTTACTCAGAAGTACCTTGCATCGTGTCTGCCAGTGTCCATTTTTGATTCTTTACACAGATGAAAAGTATCGCCCTCGCCTCTTGCCATCAGTTGCATTCCAAGTTCTTGGATCAGTCTCAAGGAGACCAGGTAAGTGTACTAATCCTGTCCAGTTCAGTAGAAGAGACCTGTTCTACCAGCAGTCTAGGAATAGGTTCACATTTGCTGTTTGCTTTTTGTTTTGTTTTTCCTAGTTTAATGCTTGGAGGTAAATGAAATATAAACAAATATTCAAATACATGTTCAGTTATGCACATATATCTAATTGACTCTGGAGTCCATCTGGGACTACTCTTGGCTGCATTTAAAATTCCCAATAAGGACAATGAAGTGGGAAGCTATTTATTTCATCTCTTCATCTTTAGTCTTGTCTACTCCCCATTGTGACTGGAGCTTTAAAGGGCACTGATTGATTGTTTTTATATTAAATTATAATATTGAATTCCTTTTCTTAGAATTCGAAAACATTTATGCTGCAGTGTGTCTGAGAATTTTCTTAGCAGAAGACAGATAAAAAACTATCACTAAAAAGCTTCATGTGTTTTCATTATAAAATTTAATATGCAAAATTAAATATTAAGAAGGCATTTATAAATATACAGTAAATGTAAATTGCTTTTGAATAGTTGGTCTGCTGCTCCCTTTTATGTTCTCCTCTTGACAGAGCAGTGGGCTGGGGTGCTAAGGGACACACGTGTGCTTCAGGGACATGAGCAAGGCCCTGGCGTCTCTCGTGAGTCGTCGTGGACCAGACCGAGCAGTAGAGGTTAAGGGGCGGGGCACGGGGAACTAGGTGAAGGCGGTATCTGGACTGATCTCAGCTGGCATGCCAACACTTTTCTTTTTTTTCTTTTAGATTATTAAGAATTTGTTGTTTGTAGCCAAAGTCTTATATTTACTGGAACTCGATGCTGGGGGAAAGCAAGGTGAGGTAAAAGAAGTCAGGGGGGAACAAGAAGCTGTGGGAGGTGCTGTGGCCAGAGAGGAAGAACACGAGGCCTGTGCAGCTGGGAAGGCAGCAGGTGACAAAGGAGAGAGTGAGCAGGACAAAGAGCACAGCAAGCCAGCCACGCTGCTGTGGCTGATTCAGAAGTTGTCTCGGATTGCAAAGCTGGAAGCTGCTTACTCGCCTAGAAACCCCTTAAAGGTGAGGTAAATGTACAGTGACTGAAAGTAGTCTTTTCTTTAAGTATTTTAGTGGTGTTAGTGATCCTCCCAAGTCCCTAGGAACTTTTGCACTGAAAACTGAGCAATAATATCTGCCCCAAAATAGACCTTGTTTTCTACATTTTTGTATGGCCGCAAGTATGAGAGACACTTCTAACGAAAACGACGTGTACTTTCAGAGAACGTGCATCTATAAGTTTCTCGGAGCTGTGGCAGTGGATCTTGGAGTAGACCGGGTGAAGCCGTACCTCCCAGCGATCATAGCTCCTTTGTTCCGAGAACTGCACAGCACCTATTCGGACCAGGGTAACCGGCCTCCCCTGAATGCTTGCACCTCCCTCCCGAATGCTTCCTTCTCCCTCTGTCCTCCCTCCCTGCCAGAGGTTAAGAAAGAAAAGTTGCTAGGCATCAAGACAATTAACAGCAAACACATACGGCGTGTTTGTATTATATTTAACTGCCTTCTTTCTATATGCTTTCTCATGTCAAAGAGTAAATGTTTCCTAAAAGATGTTTTACTCCTAGGCATAAATATTCAAAGAAAACTATAAATTGGGGTGGTTCTGAACCTCATAGTGCTATGGACAGTAATGAACAATGAAATGTCATATTCTCAAGAATTACAAGGCAGACCCTGGCCAGTTTGACTCAGCAGTTAGAGCATCAGCCTGCAGACCAATGAATCGCGGGTTCGATTCCAGTCAAAGGCACGTGCCTTGGTTGCGGTTCATCCCTGGCCCTGGTTGTGGTCGTGTGGGAGGCAACCAATCGATGTGTCCCTCTCACATCGAGGTTTCTCTCTCACTCCCCCCCCCTTCCATTCTATCTGAAGATAAATAGAAAAATATCCTCAGGTGAGGATTTTAAAAAAATTGCCCAGATGGTGTGGCTCACTGGTCGAGGTCGCCGGTTCAATTCCTGGTCAGGGCACGTGCCCAGGTTGTGGGCCAAATCCCCAGTGAGGGGCGTGCAGGAGGTGGGCCAGTCCATGTTCTCTCTCATCGATGTTTCTATCTCTCTCTCCCTCTCTCTCTAAAATCAATAAAAAGAAAAAATATTTAAAAAAATATGCTATGGCCCTGGCCTGTTTGGTTCAGCGGTTAGAGCGTCGGCCTGCGGTCCAGAGAGACCCGGGTTCGGTTCCCGCTAAGGGCATGTACCTCGGTTGCAGTTTGTCCCCGGCCCTGGTGGGTTGTGCGGGTGGCAGCCACTCGATGTGTCCCTTTCACATCGATGTTTCCCTCTCTCTCTCTTCCTCTCTCTCCCTCCCACTCTGTCTGTACAAAAAATGGAAAAATGTCCTCGGATGAGGATTAAAAAAAAAAAAAACTCAATGTAAAAAAATATGCTATGTTTAAAACAAAAAAAAGAATTACAAGGCAGAAGTATGAAATAGTAAATATTTCACTTTTTCCTATTTTTTTTTCTTGTCTGGTACATAGCCTCACTTGATCCTAAAAGGTCTGTTTTGGTAATAGGAAAAGAGGGAATTGGGGGTTGGAAAAAGAAAGTAAAGTGGATGTTAAAGAGCCTTGAAATAAGACAAATGAAGTAAATGTCAAAGCAGGACCTGTCGTGGTCCTACAACCTTGAGAGTTTCTTTCCTCTTGAAGAGGACAAGCAATGTCGAAGGTCAAGTCTGCTTTGGTTCTCATCAGCCAACATTTACTGAGCACCTAATATTTGACGGGTCCTGGGGGTTCAACAGTGGAGAAAAGGCCTAGTCTCTATTTTCAAGAAACTTGAACAGGTATACTGAACCCTCCTGAAACGAGGCAGAAACCTGTGGGTTATTTGCCTTTGGGAAAGGGTCAGGGAAGATGGGAGAGCATAGCTTTTCATTAGCTTCACAGAGGAGTCTTTAATCCACACAAATAAATAAGTAAATAAAGGTTATGGCCAGAGGTAAGCCTGTGACCTACGAATTAGAGAGGGCCTGGAGAAACATACTTACCTTTCCCCCATCTGCAGAGCTGAGCAGGTTAGTAAAGGGAACCCAAAACATGCGGTCTTCTGAGCCAGGGATTCTGCTAGGAAGTGGACTTCATGGTCTCTGGCCTCTTGCTGAATCCTGGATGCAGTGGGGGCTGGGACCTGTGTCCAGTGCTTCTGCTCATTTTTTCATCTCAGAAATGTAGGGGTTAGTTTCAGACTGGCATATAAGGTTGAAGTAATAAAAGTGATAATGCCACAGAGTTTAAATTTCGCCTGCTGTTCATTTTGTATATATTCAAATGTATCTTTTCCTACGTAATTGTCTCTGATTATTGCTCTGTGTGTGAATAGATCCTTTGCTGAAGAATCTATCCCAGGAAATCATAGAATTACTCAAAAAGCTGGTTGGGCTGGAGAGCTTCTCATTAGCCTTCGCCTCTGTACAAAAACAGGCTCATGAGAAAAGGGCACTCCGGAAAAAGAGGAAGGCTTTGGAGGTAAATGTGCTGTTTGAAAATACAACACGGCGTGTTTGTCAGGCTTAATATTTTTACCCAGGGGTGTGCGTGCGTGTGTCACGCTGACCCAGGGAGGAAAGAGGAACTGGCTGTTTGACAAGTGCCAACTTTATAGCTGGGGCTCCAGGTTTTCTTTAATGGGTGTGTAAACATTTCTGATGTTTAAAGATGAATAAATGGTCCATATGTACATTTTTTATTAGTTTAACATTTACTTTAAAAGTAATCGAAATTTCTATTCTTTTTTCAAGTTTGTAACTAATCCTGATATTGCTGCCAAGAAGAAGCTGAAGAAACACAAAAATAAAAGTGAAGCAAAGAAAAGAAAGATAGAGTTCCTGCGTCCGGGCTATAAGGCCAAGAGACAAAAGAGCCACAGCCTGAAAGACCTGGCGATGGTGGAGTAGAGCGCCCGCTGCGCGGACAGTCTCATGAACTCGCCAGGGTATCTGCGAGTCAGAAGTCACGGGTTTTATTATAAAAGCTAAACTTTGGCAGAGATTGTATATTATATAGTTTAATACAACCGTGCTTGTACATTTTAAATTAAAACATTTTGTAATACTGTATCTTCACTGTCTAAAAAGCATGTGATGCTAGCAACGGAGTTGAAAAAAGTGTTTTAAGCTGGTGTGACTCAGCGGTTGAGCATCAGCCCATGCACCAAAAGGTCACTGGTTCGATTCCCGGTCAGGGCACATGCCCACGTTGTGGGCCCGATCCCCAGTTGGGGACATGCAGGAGGTGGCCAATCCATGTTCTCTCTCATCGATGTTTCTATCTCTTTCTCCCTAAAAATCAATAAAGAAAAAATTGTTTTAAGATACACTTTAAAATAGCAAGACAAAATGTAGAAGTTAAGAATACATCAAAATGATTTGTAATATCCTTCTGTAGAAAATTATACTTCATCAAAAGACATTAAGAGCCCTGGCCAGTTTGGCTCAGCGGTTAGAGAGTCCCAGGTTCGGTTCCCGCTAAGGGCACATGCCTCAGTTGCAGTTTGTCCCTGGCCCCGGATGGGGTAGTGTGGGTGGCAACCACTGGATGTGTCTCTCACGATGTTTCTCTCTCTCTTTTCCTTCCACTCTCCCTCCCAGGGATAAATGCAAAAAAAAAATTAAAAATCAGCACAGCCCAGCTGGTGTGGAGTATCAACCCATGCACCAAGAGGTTGCCAGTTCTATTCCCCGTTGGGCACATGCCAGGTTGTCAGCCCAGTCCCCAGGGGGGACATGCAGGAGGTGGCCCATCCATGTTCTCTCTCATCGATGTCTCTCTCTCTCTCTTTTCCTTCCTCTCTAAAATCAATAAAGAAAAGAAGAAAATTTTTTAAGAAATATCTGCACAAATAGAGAAATATAACTGTTCATGGATAGGAAGATTCAGTATTGCAAGATGCCAGTTCTTCCCAAGCTGGATCATTGGTTAAATGCATATCTGAGCAGAATCCCCAGAGTTCTTCATATTATCCTAACAATCTGATTCTAAAATTTATACAGGTGGTAAGCTGAGACAGCCATGATGCTCTGAAGAGAGAAACAGGGTGAGGGGCTTTTCCTGTGAGATATCAAAAATGAGACACACGAAGTGCTATCTGTGGGAGGAACACGTAAATTCTGTTCCACTAAAATTAAGAACTGCTTAGGGAAAGAGAAGTGGGATGTGATATGTACTGATAAAGGGTTATAATGAATCCCTGTGAATCAACAAGATAATCCAATAAAAAGTGGCATCGCACAGAAGAAATATAAATGATCCTAAATTTTTAACATTGAGCCAATATGTTCTATATTGTTAAATACCAAAGTACTTACATGCTGGTCGGTAAATAGTCACTACTGTGAGACCCCACAAGGGCTACCTTGGTTGCTTGAATCCCTAGACTCCATGTCCCCCATACCAGAAAGTCAAGGATCAATACCTGGACTAGTAGGGGGTCTTCCTGCACCAGCTATGTCTAGTTGTTAAATGCTTTTAATCACTCCTGTATTCAACCTCATTGATAATCAGGAAAATGCAAATTCCATTTTGAAACCTTCAGATTGAAAAAGACAGTACCAATGTCAGCGAGCACAGTAGAGCAGAGAACTTTGTAAACCACTTTGGGAAACAATCTGGCATTATCTTGTTCAGACTATGGTGTCTTTGCCTCACTCACTTGAAGTGGAAGCAGTATTCTTCAGGGCCCAATGCAACGGGAAGGGAGTGGGGAGGAAGATCATCCTGTGTGCCAGGCACTTTGCATACATTTTGTTTAATCCTCACAGTATTCCTAAGAGTTTCCTAAAATTGGTTATTTTATAGATGAGGAAACTGAGACTCAGATTAAATAATTTACCTATATAGGAAGCACAATCAAGATTCAAATCCAGGCCTGAAAGAAAGCCCATGCTCCTCATAATTTATAATTATGGGGTTAGAATTTTATAGTATATGGCACAGGAATCAAACGGTTAAGCATTCATAACTTCAGCATCTGGATTTCAGTGTAGTTTGTCTCAATCAGGAGTTCTCACACTTCCAAGGAGTTTGTAATGAGCCAAAAGGATAAATGTGGGGCATCATGGAAGGCCGATTTCCATTAATTCTAAGTGATTTAAAGTGCATGTATTGCTTTTATAAAAATTGTAAGAATCAAAAATAGAAGTTAACACTTTGAGCACAGCTTTGCTTTAATTAGTATTTATTGAGTACCTACTATGTGACAGGTACACCACACTAGATGCAAGGGATGCTAACAGTAAATAAAGTCCCTGCTTACATTTCCAAGTACTCTGCTGTAAGAATTCCACCACTCTCAGTTTCTTAATTTTCAGTGAAATGGCATCATATAGCACACCTACTAACCAGTTATAAAACAAAATTTTAATGCTAAAACAAACCTTTGATATTATTTGTCCAAGTCTCTTGTTTTACTGGGCGGGGACTGAAGGAGTAGCTACATGTGCCGAGAACTCATGGGTTATTTTTTAGATTTTTACAAGTATCAACATTTAAACTCCTGTAACATACCTACACAGTTGTTTCCTGCTAGACCAAGACCTTAAAATTTCATGCCATATTAAAATAAGTGTATGCTTTTACTCCCATCTTATTCTTTGTAATAAATCAGAGGAACCAGGATCGTCCAAGTGCTGACCTTGGCTACAGCTTCAGGGGCCCTCAGAATTCAAGACGGTGAGGGTCATGTACCGGACAGCAGCTGCTTGTCAGGGCCTCACTTCCCCCTGCTTCTGCTCTCACGGTGATCCTGAACGTCTCCACTTGACACAGAGACCACTTTAGGAATGGGTACTGGGGAACAAGTAAGAATAACAGTCCCATAGGCGAAAAGAGAAAGCCACATTCACTTGAGCTGAGAGAATGACCAAAGTGTTAAGGAAAGAGACCAGAGGCCAATATCTGGTAAGACAGTGTCAGGGACAGGATATGCACCCCTAGGGCTTCTGAAACATGAGGGGCACACTGGTATTAGGCTCTAATATTTTAAATGTTGGTTGTCCAGCCTGGCCAGTGTGGCTCAGTGGTTGAGTGTCGACTTGTGCTTGGTCGCTGGTTCGATTCCCAGTCGGGGCACATGTCCAAGTTGTGGGCCCAATCCCCAGTGGGGGCATGTGGGAGACAGCCAGTCAATGTTCTATCTCACTGATGTTTCTATCTTTCCCTCTCCCTCTCTCTCTAAAATCAATAAAGAAAAAATATTTAAAAAATAAAAATAAATGCTGCTTGTCCAACCTGAAAAAATTTCTCCCCAATTTTAGTAATTACTGAGGACTATTCATTTATACTTCTGTCACACTGCAGCCAATTCTGTGGTAGACTGGGTAGTTTAAAAAGTTCTCTGAACATAGCTGTTTTTCATAGCCTAAGCAGTAAACCTAATTTTTAAAACCAAGAATGCTTAATTTTTCCCTGTAGAACCAATAAGATTTTGACACCAATCAAATGTTTACGTCCAATTACACATAAATAAAAGGAATGAAAGACAGTAAAGACATCTTTTACAATGCTTCTTAAAATATAGATCTTTGTTTCTTCAATATGAATGTTTTTCTTGGATGTGTTGTGAATTCATCAAATATAACCATATAGGATTGTTTTTACTGCCTCTACTAGTGTGGACAGATAAACTTGGAGGCATTATTTTGAAGTGGAGTCTATTTCAGTTAGCATGGTTTTATTTAAGGAGTCATGTCATCCGTGTTGCACAGTTGGCATTTCAGGAACTTATGATTAGTTCTTGGGACAAGTTTCTGACTCTGAAGTCTCATTCTGAGTCCTGTTCCCAGGTAACTAGCAGTTGGGCAAGCCAGCCTATCAGCCCAAGGTTCCACATGTCCATAAAACAAAGACATTACATTACAGTCTGTCCTACCTACATCACAGGGTTCTTTTACAAATGGACTAGGTCAACATACATAAAATTTTCCCAATAATTATAAAGTTCTATAAAATGACAGTTACAGATACATCAGTGAGGTTAACCACCAAAATAATTATTTCAACTTCATGCCTATAACCAAAAGCTTTGAAATAAAACAGCTTAAATAAAGTGGTCACTAAACAAATGAAAACTATATTACACACACTATGTTCCTAGACTATTCTATTGAGTCTAATTTTTGGAAAAACGTAATTCATTTTAGAGGGAAAAAACTCTGAGCTAAGATATTTATTAGTGTTTATACAAACAATCTGCAACCACTCATTCAAAAATAGGATTTTCCCTCAATAAGAGTGCATTCTTTAATAGGACTATATTTGAATAAGAATTCCACACAAATAGAATATATATCTTAATACAAAAAAGCAAGGAAGGAATATTTTACATTACACAGACCGGTCAGTTGGTTCAATCACGATGAGTTACCCTTCCAACCAAATACTTATTTTTTATATTTATTACAAATGTAGTCAGTCAGTTCTGCACGTGTCAATCATACACGGTTCTAACATTTAGTAGTGCGAAGCACACTTAACTGTTTCCAAGGGATATGTGATGTGGTCTTCATTTCTGCAGAGCAGAAGTGATTACATTACTGTCTGCTCTTCAATGCTTCAACTAACCTGTGAAGAGAAAATGAATGGTTTCAAAAATTTAACTTCACTTTCAGGAATAAAATATGATCATTTATAAACTTGACACTGGAGATGGATTCCAGAGCACTTCAAATGATAAGGCTAAGATAGTTATATTAGAAGCAGGAGGTATGGGCTCGATTTTGAACAGGGTCTTTCAGCTTTCACTTGGTCTATGCTTTGAATGAATAATAAAAAGACAACAACAACAAAATAACTGTCTAGGCTGCTACTTCTACAGCTGGGCCAGATGTGGATAATTCAGAGGTGAAAACTAGTCTCACTCAAGGAGCTGATAATCTAATAAGAGGATGTAAAAACCAATTACAAGACAGCACAACAAGTACTGTATCACATGTGACAAGGACATCCGTGTGTGGTGAGGCAGTGGGCAAGGAGGTATGTCAGGGAAGACTCTAGGGAAGAAGAAAGGCTTAAGGGTAAGAAACTGAAGGGTGAAGTGAGGCAAGAAACAGAAAAATGGCAGAAAGCTGGCTTGTCTAACTATAATCAGGTAGTTATGGTTGAAACAAAAGCAAAAGCACATTAAGGCAAGTGAGAGAGAAGGTTGGAGAAACATAATATGATAGCCACTAAGTAATCTGAATCTCATCAGACAAAAGGGAAGTTACACGTATGTATACAGCGGCACATACACACAGACGGCTTCTGGAGACATGATGCTTACCATTCCATTGCCTCATCAAGGCCAGTGCCTTTAGTTGCTGAAGTTTTGAATATTTGCCATTTTCGGTCCTTCAAGGCAGGTAACCCAAGGGAATTTGCCATCTCCGAGGGAGTCATGGCCTGTTCCATGTCCTGCTTATTTGCAAACACCACCAAAATGGCTTTTCTCAGCTCTTCTTCCTAAATAAAACCAAAGATATTTAATTTCCTTTAATCAATGTGCTTCCGAGTTTAGGAAGACTTGCCAAAAATACATTATTTTAAAAGTACATTTCTTAGTTATTGATATATTATCAATTATTTGAAATTATAGAGAAGTATAAAGAAAAGAAGCTTCACCCCTAATCCTACCTCCCAAACATGATCCCTGTTAACATTTTAGGTATTTTCTACAACTTTGTAATTCAGATATTTAGTTTATTTAGTAAATAAATTTATATATTTAAAATCACATTTACACATAGTTCCATATCCTGCTTTAAAACTTAACTTTAAATCATGGATGATTTTCCACACAATAAAAATTTTCTCACACACACAAAAAAGGTGAAATGCACTGTAAAGTAACTTTATGATTACATGCACCATAAACTGTATGACTGCTTTCCAGTATTCAACCCTTTAGATTCTTTTCACTTACTATTAGAGAAACCCAAGTGACAGAATCATTATGTAGGATCTTTGTGTGATCTCTATTTCCGTAACATAATTTTAAAGAAATGAAATTAAAGTATGAAATTTTTTCAGGCTCTTGTTACATAGATTAATAAACTGCCTTCCAGAAAAGCTGTAACAATTTCAACCCACCAACAGTGCATATGACAGTGCCTATTTTCTTTCTTTTAATTTTTTTTTTCCTTTATTGATTCTGGAGAGGAAAGGAGAGGGAGGGAGAGAGAAATATTGATGTGAGACACATCAATTGGTTGCCACCAACCAGGGCAGGGGATGAACCACAACTGAGGTACATACTTTGGCAGAAATCGAACCCGGGACTCTCTGGTCCGCGGGCAACACTCTTACCACAGGGCCATATTGGCCAGGGCAATGTAATGAGTTCTTAATGAAGTACATGCACTGTTCCACACACAATGGATATTAAGGCAAATTCAAAGAATCTTACATTTTAGGATGGGAGATATACATAAGTACACAAAATATATCTAAAATAATGGAAAGGAATTATAAATGGTACAGAGAATAAGGGGTTAGAAAATAACAGGCTCCTCTCTGGAGAAGAGACATGAAGATGAAACAAATCAAGAAGGTAGTCATGCAAAGATCTGGGGTAGAGCATTCCAAGCAGGATGAGCAAATGCAGAAGACCAGGTGTCAGGTGTGAAGCTGGGTGTGTTCAAAGAACGGAAAGGTCAGCGGGGCTGAGGTACAGGAAGAGTAAAGAATGATAAAGCTGGCAGAGGTAAGCAGGGGCCATAACTGTGCCAGAAACCCAGAAATAGATATTTCTCTGAACTTGAATAAATCTGTAACAAACATGCTTTCTTATTATTTACACCTGCATGTGCTTCCATAGCTAATTTACACAACCAGAAATACATTTTTCTAAAAAAAAAATCACTTCATACAAGTCACAGAATAGTTCAGTTTAGAACAAATTCAATTTTGAACTTCCTGGAAATCAAGGATTTTCATTTAAAGAAAGGCTGGATTTTTTTGTCTGCAACCATTTATGCAACAATATTTGTGGAATAGGAAGTAATATGCATAAAAGAAAATGATAATAAAGGCATAGGGAGAGAAAAATCCCTGCTCTCCTTGTAATTATTCCTGCATGTAATATTAAACAATGAAAACAGCAAGCAAATGTAAATGATTTCCCCACATTTTAATAAGATTTTCTTACCTCCAACATGGCAACTAACTCTGATTTGGAAATGCCAATTCGGTCTCGGTCACAACTGTCTACTACATAAATGACTGCATCTGTGTTTGAATAATAACATCTCCAGTATGGCCTACAGAAAATTGAGAAAGAAAGAATATATTATTATTGGAAAAAAGATAAACCTGATATATTAATTTATATGCTAAGACTTGGCAATGCTGGTGGTGGTTACATACCAATCCAATCCCACCCATGTTAGAATCAATGCCATAATGATGCACTGTTCTAACTGCTATGTATCTTATCACTCAGACGTGAAGGTGGAAAGAATTTAATAAACATTAACTCACAGGACCAAGGAGTTTAGACTTTAGGTTGAGAGAATATATTTATAATCTATAAAATCACTAAATGTACTGACAAAGAATGTACACAGACCTGACTGTTAAATCTTATAACTCTTTAACCAGAAACTCTTTAAGAGGCATGCGTCCCTAAAAAAAATTTTTTTAAGAACATTATAAAATAGGCATTAAATTATTCACTAAAGACACCAAGTAGTAGAATGGCTAAAGTTAGAAACAGACTCAAAAGTGGTTCAAGAAATAAAACAAGTTAAAAGGAAGCAGGACATCTGGAGAACACACTACTGGTCTTTGAAGATGGTACTATAGTGAGCAACCAGTGACAGTCACCAAACACTCACAGCTGCCATGTCACACAGAGAAGGCTGAGCAGGAGACCTGAGTTTCCGGGGACATCTATGTTCACATTAGCCCTAAGCAGTGGACCTGAAAGGTATTTTTAGGAAATCTGAAGTAGCTGTCTGACAGAGGAAGGGGCTGACAAGAACTAAATGGAGGGCCCTTTTAGTAGAAAACTAATTAAATCCTGTGATTCTCATAAAAACATTTTTCATTTAAGTGGTATCTGAAAAACTGGTTTTCTTATATTTTAATCCAATTGAGAGAACAGGCAGTTTTACCTCATTTTAAATTAGGTGGCTACTCAGCCATAAGAAAAAATGAAATACTGCCATTTGCAACAACATGGATGAACCTTGAGAATACGCTAAGTAAAATAAGTCAATCAGAAAAAGCTAAGAACCAGATGATTTCACTCATGTGTGGGATATAAAACTGTAATCACAGCCCAGGCTGGTTTGGTTCAATGGTTGGAGGGTTGGCCCAAGGACCAAAGGGTTGTGGATTCCCGGCTCAAGGGCACATATCTGGGTTGTAGGTTTGATTCCCAACCCTGGTTGGGGTCGCGTGGGAGGCAACCAATCGATGTGTCCCTCCCTCCCTCCCTTCTACTTTATCTAAAAATCAATGGAATATATCCTCAGGTGAGGATTAACAACAACAAAAAACTGTAACTCACAGACAAAGACAACAGTATTCTGGTTACCAGAGAGGAAGGGGGTGTGGGGGAGTATTAAAGGGTAAAGGGGGCCAAATACACGGTGATGGAAGATGATTTGACTATGGGTGGTGGGCACACAGTGCAATATACAGATCATGTATCACAGAAATGTACACTTGAAGCCTATATAATTCTATTAACTAATGCATCCTAATAAATTTTATTTTGTTTTTTAGTTTTTGTTAGTCCTCACCCGAGAACATTCTTCCATTGATTTTTTTTAGATAGAGTGGAAGGGAGGGAGGGAGGAAAAGGGACAGAGAGAGAGAGAGAAACATCACTATGGAGAGAGAGATCAATTTGTTGCTTCCCACATGACCCCGACTGGGTCAGGGATCAAAACTACAACCCAGGTACATGCCCTTGACTGGGAATCTAACCCAAGATCCTTCAGTCTGCAGGCCAACGCTCTAACCACTGAGCCAAACTAGTCAGGGCTAAATTTAATTTTAAAAAATAAAAGTCATTTTTCAAAAAAACAAAACAAAACTAGGTGGCGTCCATTTAAATTACAAAAGAAGGTATCTTTTGGTTTACTGCTGTAAATCCCACAAGACCCAATAAATGTTAAATGCCACAAAACAATCTGGTCTTTGTACCATACCTGATACTGGTCTGTCCTCCTAAATCCCAGACTTGGAATTTAAGGTTCTTGTATGTTACTGTTTCAACATTAAATCCAATGGCTGGAAGATAAATCAGAAGCTTATGCAGACATTAATGCATTCTGCCTTCAAAGTATACAATCTAACTGAGTTTCTAAGACAAATGGTAAATACTGAATTACATTATTGGTTGAGCTATTATTCCATTTTAAGACAAGACACTATGCTGTGCTACACACACACACACACACACACACACATACACACACATACACACAATTAGCAAGATCAGCACCACCTTCAGATTATGTAAGAATCCCCAGTCACCTCTACAAACATAATTTTCAGCTCAGTGGAAATCCTATTATGTTAAACTCCTCTCATAACACAATGCTAACCTACAAAAGTGTTCAGAAAGTTATATGTAAAAGGACAGTTGTAGATGTATTATAAAAAAAAAATCTAAATTTTGGTAGGTAGCAAATAAACAGGGAACAAAACTAAGAAAAGCCAGATTCTACGTTTCAGTGGGTGAGGCACAGCAATGGTTTACTGCTTTATGGAAGACGGGCTCTCCAAGGCTGGCAATCTCACAGGCCCTCTGCAGGCTTCCTCAGCACTCATTTGTCATAAGGTCATAGCTGCGGGACCAAAGGGGAGATGTCCCATCCGTGCCATCCCTCTTAGGTGGAGCCCTGACACCACAGAGGTAAGGCAGGAGACCACTATTTTCATTGCAAGGAATCTAAGGAAAGGTGCAGAGGATGCTACAAAGAATTAGGAGTTATATACACAAACTTTACTATGATTTCACAACCTTTAAAAAAAAAATCACAGCCCTGGCTGGTTTGGCTCAGCAGTTAGAGTGTCAGCCTGCGGTCCAGAGAGACCAGGGTTCGGTTCCCGCTAGGGGCATGTGCCTCGGTTGCAGTTTGTCCCCGGCCCTGGTTGTGTCATGTGGGTGGCAGCCACTCAATGTGTGCCTTTCACATCGATGTTTCTCTCTCTCTCTCTCTCTCTCTTCTCTCTCCTTTCACTCTATCTGAACAAAAAAACGGAAAAATGTCCTCAGGTGAGGATTAAAAAATAAATAAATAAATAAATAATCACAGTAAAAACTGACTGACAGCTGTAACTGAACAATTAATTTTTTTAGACTTAAGTTTGTATTGGTAAATAATTCATATGAGTGTATGGCAAGTATGTCTATTATAACCAAAAAATATCTAGACTGCCTGGCTGGTGTGGCTCAGTGGTTGAGCTTTGACCCATGTACCAAGAGGTCGCCGGTTCGATTCTCAGTCAAGACACATGCCCAGGTTGTGGGCCCGATCCCCAGGAGGCAGCCAATCGATGTTCTCGCTCATCAATGTTTCTATCTCTCCCTCTCCCTTCCTCTCTCTCTAAAAATTAATAAAAAAATAATAAATAACTATACTGTAACAAACTAGAGTGAATAACTAAACAGTAAGTTCATAATGTCTCCCTTAGAATTAGGGAGGAGTGTGATCACCATCTTCACCACGATTAGGAAGTTTATATGCAAGGGGCAAGAGTGTGGTGTAAACCAGCATTCACTAAAATGCAATCCACTGGGCTGTGTACACTGCAGGAACAACTACCAAGTGACGGGAAATTTTAAGAAGCAAAACACAAGGGAACTTAAATTCAATGAAGTTGGCAAAAAGAAATAAAAGATGCCACAGAGTTTTAAAAGTTCTTTCATAAAAGCTAGCCTTCTTTTTGTAATTCAGAAATTTAAATACTACTAAACATAGAAATACCATGAATGACAGAGTAACTTTAGAGGCATAATTTAAATACTCTTAAACTCTATGAACACTTAAATTTGGTTTAATTGTATTAGTCTCTAAGTAAAGTCAGGTCAACAAATGATGAAAAGTATAAATAACAAATAAGTATATACTAGTAATAAGTAATAACAGATGAGTATTCTTATCTAGTCAAACAGGACTATTTGAGAATATTTTTCTAAGATATAAACAATTGATTTCAAGTTGAGGTGTTCTTCTCTTGGTATTTTTAGGTCCCAGATTAATTCAACATTCAATCTCTTCAACTCAGATCTTTACAACTAATTAACAGAATTACTTAGGAGAAACTAATATTAATTAAAATACATAGTAACAAATATGGGGGAAAAAACCATAGGTAATATCACTTAACATTTATATAATTCTTTAAAGAGGTTTACAGCCCTGCTGATGTGGCTCAGTGGTTGAGCATCAACCTATGCACCTAGAGGTCACGGGTTTGATTCCCGGTCAGGACACATGCCTGGGTCTCAGGCTCAAGCCCCAGGATGCGGCATGCAGGAGGCAGCCAATCAATGTTGATACTTCTCTCATTGATGTTTCTCTCTCTCCCTCTCCCTTCCTCTCTCTAAAAAATCAATAAAAATATTTTTTAAAAAAGAAAGTAGTTTACAAAGTATTTTATACACTTCACTCATTCCCCCCTCAAAGCCAGTGGACATTTGTTATCTTCATTTTGTCAATAAATGGCTCTCAATGAGATTAAGTGGCTGAACTCAAGCAATTTTTTTTTAAATTATCTCAGAGAAAGGGAGGGAGAGAGAAAAACATTTATGTGAGAGAGAAACATTGATTGGTTGCTTTCCGCATGCTCCCCACCTGGGATCAAAATCAAAACTTGGGTCTTGTGCCCTGACCAGGAATCAAACCCACTACCTTTTGGTGTACAGGACAAGGCTCCAACCAACTGAGCCACACTGGTCAGGTCTTAAGCAATTTTTAAAACCTCTCTAAAGAGCAAAACCCAGCCATGCACAAGGGTCCATACATTATACCAAATTGCTTCTCAGTTTATGGGGAAAAAATGTTATCAATAATATGCTCATACTAGATGTTTACAATCCTTATCAATTACATTACTATATGAATTATTAATTCAAAAATAAAGTCACATTAGATGGAAAACAGAAAGCTCTTATAGTTTACCGTACCAACACTTACTAGGAATAGTAGTAACGACCTCTCCAACCTGTAATCTGTACAAAATTGTAGTTTTTCCTGCTCCATCTAATCCTAAAATTAAAATCCTCATTTCCCGGGTTCCAAACAGACTAGAAAATATACTTGAGAAAAAGCCACCTAAAAACAAACAAAAAAAATGTATTAAATATCATTTTGTGAACTAGGTCCACAAAACATTTAATCTTGCCCTTTGAGAGCTATACCAAATTAAGTATTATATTATTTTCCTAGATTCATACATGCATATTTTTGCCCCCACTGAAATACATTATTCAACATCAAACAAGTAATTACTGATTGTTATCATGTCCTAGATAATGTATCAGGCAAGCACAAATGATACACTAAAAATAAGAGAAACATGACCACTGCCCTCATGGAGCTCACTTTCTGATCAAGAGAATATGGGCACCTTAGCATGATCTCCCCACTAACCCTAAAAATCAAAGGGCAAATGTGAATGACAATGGTTCAATGAGATCCTTGCACACAAAACACTGTTATTGCTGTACAGCAGCAATACCATCATAACTACCTTCAATCACTAAGACATCTATTAATCAATAAACTAGCACAAGAGATTGAGACAGAAGCCCAAAATAAAAACTATTCTTGATAGAAAATTCATTTAAAAAAATAATAAAGCGCCCTGGCCAGTTTGGCTCAGCGGTTAAAGCGTTGGCCTGCGGTCCGGAGAGACCCGGGTTCGGTTCCCGCTAAGGGCACGTACTTCGGTTGCAGTTTGTCCCCAGCCCTGGTTGGTTGTGCGGGTGGCAGCCACTCGATGTGTCCCTTCACGTCGATGTTTCTCTCTCTCTCTCCCTTCCTCTCTCTCCCTCCCAGTCTATCTGTACAAAAAATGGAAAAATATCCTCGGGTGAGGATAAAAAATAATAATAATAATAATAAAGCTACATTCAATGTATCATGAAATATTTCCAGAAAGCTTCCTATATAGGTAGGTGTAATATAAAAGCACTGGTAAACAGAGAGTAGAATTGCAGTTACTGGATGTGGAGGAGTTGGGGAAAGAGAAAGATGTTCAAACTTTTGTTATAAAATGAATAGTTCTGGAGATCTAATGTACAGCATGGTGACTATAGTTAACACTAATGCAGTGCACACTTGACATTTACTAAGATCTCCAGAGGTTCTCACCACCCAGATGCACAAAAAGATAACTATGGGAAGTGATGGATGTGTTAATTAGCTTGATTGTGGTCATTATTTCACAAGGTATACATACATCAAAATATTATGTTGTACAACTGAAAAGTATACAATTTTGATTTGTCAGTCATACGGCAATAAAGCTGGGAAAAAATTAAAATTAAAAAGTTATTCTTTGTCTCAGCAGGGCCTTCTAGAAATGGACTGTTTAAGTAAAACAATCCGTAAGAGTAAGGAAAGTGGAAATTTAGAGTCTTTATTATTCTTTTTTTACAACAAAAGAACAATTTTTTTTCTTATTTTATGATTACAAAACAAAAAGCATCCTTGGCTTGACTCTTTCCCACCAAAAGACATTAGGTCGAAAGGGCGTTACATTAAAACAATATAAAAAGGTTGACAACATAAGTGATGCCATTCAAAAATACGTGGCTGTTTGACAAAAAAAAAATGACATAATTAAGAGCTACGAGTCTGGAAAAATGAACACACGGGCTAGGGAACCTTGGCAAAGTGTAATAAAAGGGGGTGGGACTTAACAAAGTTCTTTCCACCTTGAACAAGTTATGAAAAAAAAAAAAAAAGGAGGAAGAGCAGAACTGAAGACGTTCCGGGAAGGACAGAGAAGTGCCTGCGCAAAGTTCCCGAGCAGGAAGTAAACCCCCAGAGAACCGTGGAGGGCTCTTCATAAGCCAGACTTTCCACCCCCACTCACATTGCAAACCAAAGAACGCGTGCCCTGCTCTCGGGCTCCTGCGTGCGATGACGATGCCCTTCCCTCCACCAGCCTCGAGACTGGAGACGAGAAGTCCATTCGCTCACCTGTCCCCCTTCCCTTCTCTCCCTAACTCTGTCCTCTACACGAAAAGCCAAGTTGGCTGTAAAACAAAATCGCGAGCGACCCGTTTGGATGTTTTACACATCATGACGCAGTCCCGGCGACCAGGGAGGGACAGTCGAGCTTCCACTATGGGGTCAGACCTCGTCTTCTCCCCAAGAAGCCTCGGCGACCTGGGACGGACCAAGCTGTGCAAGACCAACTCTGCCCGGCTAGTCCAGCTGGGTCCGAGGAGGGAGGGGAAAGTTCACGGCCAGAAGGGCCCGGGCGCCCACCGCGACCCCGCGGGAGGACGGCGACACGGCGGGGCGGCCGCTCCAGGCAGGGCCCACCCCACCGGGGAGCGAAGTCTTCGGCCCCCGCCCCGGGAGAAGCCGGCTCCTCTGGGCTCCCGGGGCGACCCCTCGCCTCCCCCCGACCCAGCCCTCGGCCGCGGCGCCCTCCTCAGCTCCCTCACCCATGATGAACCGCCTGTCCGACCCCGCTGATGGTCAGAAACAGGCCCCGGCCTCGGCAGCGTCTCCTACTCGAGCCTGGGTGCCGCCACCGCCGCTCGTCTTCGCCTCCGGCTCCGGCTCGGAGGCGGTTTCCTTGGAAGCCCAGTCAGCCAGCAACTTCCACGTCGGCCACCCGGCGTGGGCGGGAGCGCGCGGCGGCCTGTGCGTCCGCGTCGTCGCTTTCGACGCGAGTTCGCCGCGGGCGCGCCGGGTGGTCGGCACTGTGAAAGCCAGGAGAGAAAAATAGTCAGGGACCCCGAACCGCTCCGGCTTCCGTCCTCTTGGACGGGAAGGGCTTCCGAAACGGAGAAGTTGGAATTTTCATTTTAAATTCTGACACCCCAGAGTGGCGAATCTGCTAACCGGGAATGCGAGTCGGGCTTCGATAAGCGGCCCGACTGGACGCGGGCGCAGGTTGCGACGTCGCAAGAGTTGCTGGTCCTGCAGCGCCCTGCGGAGGCGACCCAACTGGGCCTGGGAGCTTTCTCCCAGAAAGCAGTAATAGGACTACGTAATGATGCCAGGGAGCACCCCTCTGCAGACGATGTGCAACAGCCTTACACCCGAGGCCGCTAGCTGCGGAGCTGGTGTCGCAGTGGCCCGCGGGGTCAGCGTCAGAGGCCCGCCCCGCTGCCTCCACCTGACGGTGCACCTGACCCCCTTCCCTTGATTGGCAGTGGGGACCAGCCGGTCCAGGCCCTGGGGCCTTGGGTTGCCGACCTTGGGTTGGGGCTAATGCAGGTCTTGACAGTGAAGTGTGGGAGGAAGGCAGCGACACTGGAGGATGGGAAAAGGGATTCTCCTAGACTTTTTTTTTAAAGGTTGGGCATGTGTTTTAAAAGTTTACACAGAAAACTAAACCTATCCCTAGCCCCTCATCCTGCAGGTCTCCCTAGAAGTAATCGTTGTTAACACTTTCTTGGGTCTTCTTCCAAATCTTTACATATATTATGTATTTATTTATAATAGAGATTTCATCCATTAAAAAGTTTATGGACTGCCTGTGTTGTTTTTTATTTCCAATTTTCAGACCTCGCCAGCCACCTAAACATTGGACTAGATTTGTTGATTGCTCTGGATTCCCCCTCCCGCTCCCAAATCATAAATTCGGAGAAATTCTCGCAAGGAAAAGTTTGGGGGTGGGGTGTTTTGTTTTAGATTGTTGTTTGAAAAAGGGAGAGTTGAGTGACGCTTCACCTAAACACCTGGACCTTTTCAAGGCTGTGACTTGTAAGCATTGCGTTGTTCAACTACATTGTGTTGTTCAGTCAGATCTATGATTCCACTGACCTTTCTCACCTATTTTTCGTCCACCTCCAGTCTCTTTGCCAGATTAGCTGCTGCCAGTTGGCACATGTTGGCCACTGCTCCTTCACATTTATATCCATGTCAGATTTGTTTCCAGTGCAGTGTTCCCTGAAAATGGGTTCTCCTTGAAGGACTAAAGGGAAAGATACTGTAAAGTTTATCTTTACCCTGTGTATTCTGAACCAAATAAGCAAATGAGATAGATGCAGGGTGGGACAACAGTAGGTTTTCAGTTGTTTGTATGGAAAACAATACAATAATGAATAAATAATAATACAAGAATAAACTGTGTTTTCTGTACTCACAGCCGTAAACCTGTTTGGACACACCCTGTATATGTGAGAATGCTGAAGTCCTATATACAAATTAGAAAGTGTTAGTACTGCCCTGGCTGGTGTGGCTCAGTTGGTTGGAGTGTCGTCCTGATACCATTGTAATAACCTGGTTATTAATTAACAGGAAAGGAGCAAGGGAGACTAGATAACATAGGCACGCCATTTATACAGCTTTGCCAGGAAGTTGCTGTTTAATACTCTCCAGGTCTGTTCCCTGAAGATCGATGGGGGAAGGGACTGGGCAAAGGTTGTTTAGACATATGCCCAGTAAAGCCTGGTTGAGGTGGGATGCTTACCTGTCAGTCACACGTGGCAACAAGTCTGTTCAGAAGATTTGATATTTAAACCCATAAACAAAGGGAGTTCCCTCTCTTGCTTGCCCTCACTCCTGGCTCTCTTGTTGCAGAGGGAGCATTCCCCTGCATTTGCCCATGTGGTCCACAGCCTGTGGACTCCACACAGTGGACTGATGGACTGTGACTAGCCTGATGCCTGATGCTAACCCAGACCCAGCTCACCATGGAATGGAAACTCTGGACACTGGCTCTGCTTCTAGTCTGCTGAATCCCCAACTACCTGTCTTCTAGGACTGAACTAAGGGAAACGGGACTTTGCAGACCAAGGAATATAACTCTATGCAAATAAAAATCACCCATTTTCCTTTGTGAGTCTTAGAAAATTCTTTTACACCCCCCCCCCAATTTTTATTAATTTATTTTTGTTATAGATGTTTCTCCTTTTTTCCCCCTAGACACCCTCCTCCCCATCCCGCCCCACAGCATTGTATGTGTCCCTTGGTTACGCTTACATGCATGTAAGTTCTCCGGTTTATCTCATCCATCCCACCCGCCCCCCTCCTCTGAGGTTTGTCAGTCTGAACCATACTCCTTTCTATGTCTCTGGGTCTATTTTGTTCATCAGATTATTTTGTTCATTATATTCCACAAATGAGATCATGTGAATTTGTCTTTCTCTGATTGGCTTATTTTGCTTAGCATAATGTTCTCCAGGTCCCTCCATGTCATCTCAAAGGATAAGAGATCTTTCTTTCTTACAGCTGCGTAGTATTCCATTGTGTATATGTACCACTGCTTTTTTATCCATTCATCTACTGATGGACACTTGGGCTGTTTCCAGATCTTAGCTATTGTAAATAGTGCTGCTATGAACATAGGGGTACATATATTCTTTCTGATTGGTGATTCAGGCTTTTTAGGATATATTCTTAGAAGTGGGATCACTGGGTCAAATGGCAGAGCAATTTTTAATTTTTTGAGGAAACACCATATTGTTTTCCATAGTGGCTGCACCAGTCTGCATTCCCACCAGCAGTGTACTAGAGTCCCCTTTTCTCCACACCCTTGCCAACACTTGTTTGATATTTGTTGATGGCAGCCATTCTGGTAGGTGTGATGTTATACCTCATAGTTATTTTAATTTGCATCTCTCTGATGATTAGTGACGTTGAGCATTTTTTCTATTTTTTTTATTTATTTATTTATTTAATTTTTTATCCTCACCCGAGGAGGATATTTTTCCATTTTTTGTACAGAGAGAGGAAGGGAGAGAGAGAGAGAAACATCGATGTGAAGGGACACATCGAGTGGCCGCCACCCGCACGACCAACCAGGGCCGGGGACAAACTGCAACCGAGGTACGTGCCCTTAGCGGGAACCGAACCCGGGTCTCTCCGGACCGCAGGTCGACGCTCTAACCGCTGGGCCAAACTGGCCAGGGCGAGCATTTTTTCATCTCTCTCTTGGCCATTTGTATGTCCTGTTTGGAGAGGTGTCTATTTAGGTCCTCTGACCATTTTTTTTTTTTTTATCCTTACTCGAGGATATTTCTCCATTTGTTGTTTAGATAGAGTAGGAGGGAGAGAGGAGTAGAGAAACATCTACATGAATGGGACATATCAAGTGTCTGCCACCCACACAACCCAACCAGGGCCGGGGACAAACTGCAACCAAGGTACGTGCCCTTAGTGGGAACTGTACCCGGGTCTCTCTGGACCGCAGGCTGATGCTCTAACTGCTGAGCCAAACCGGCCAGGGGTTCTGACCATTTTTTAATTGAAAGAAGATTCTTTTTCTCAAAATATTGCAAGAACCCCATTCCCACTAGCACCAGAGAAATTTCACTCGTGTAATTCTCTGGTAATAGTCCCATATACTGAAAGGTTTCCCGTTCAATTCCCAGTCAGGACACATACCTAGGTTGTGGGTTAGGTCCCTGGTTGGGGCACGTATGAGAGGCAACCAATCGACATTACTCTGTCACATCGATGTTTTCCCTCTCTCTCTCCCTCCTTCTCTCTAAGATCAATTAAAAATAAAATTACCCATTTAATTTTTTGTGAAGATCTGATCGTTTTTCCTGGATACATCAAAAACAAAACAAAAACCTCTTCTCCATTCACTGAAAGCTTTGGTCTAAAGACAAATTCCAAAATATTAAGATAAGGGTTCCTCTTTACATTTTAAAGTAGGTTTTGGACAAATAACTTCTGACCATTTACTGTGTCTACAACCTTAGGCTACACCTATGAAATATTCTAAAATAATCTCTACTTTCAGAATTTGTAACTTTAGAGGCACTCTTTTTTTTTTTAATTTTATTTTTTTTATGAATTTTTATTTATTTTTTTGTTACAGATATTTTAACTTTTTACCCCATTGGCACCCCCCACACCACCCCACCTCCGCCCCGTCCCCGGCTTAGTTGTCCATGTCCATTGGTCATGCATACATGCATATAAGTTCTGTGGTTTATCTCTTCCCACCCCCCCACCCCCTCTTCTGAGGGATGTCAGTCTGTGCCCTACTTCCATGTGTCTGGGTCTACTGTATTCCTCAGACTGTTATGTTCATTATATTCCATATATAAGTGAGATCATGTGGTATTTGTCTTTTTCTGCTTGGCTTCTTTCACTTAGGATAATACTTTCCAGGTCCCTCCATGTCATCTCAAAGGATAAGGGATCTTTCTTACCGCTGCATAGTACTCCATTGTGTATATGTACCACAGTTTTTTTATCCATTCGTCTACTGGTGGACACTTGGGCTGTTTCCAGATCTTAGCTATTGTAAATAGTGCTGCTATGAACATGGGGGTACATATATTCTTCCTGATTGGTGTTTCAGGCTTCTTAGGGTATATTCCCAGCAGTGGGATCACTGGGTCAAATGGAAGTTCAATTTTTAATTTTTTGAGGTAGCACCATATTGTTTTCCACAGTGGCTGCACCAGTCTGCATTCCCACCAGCAGTGTACTAGAGTCCCCTTTTCTCCACACCCTCGCCAACACTTGTTGTTTGATGATTTGTTGATGGCGGCCACTCTGACAGGTGTGAGGTGATACCTCATTGTTGTTTTAATTTGCATCTTAGAGGCACTCTTTAAACCAAGGGTGTTTAAGACAGAAACTTCAAATGTTTTCAAAAAGTGTTGAGACAGATTTATAAATAACAAAGCCATAAACAGAGTCTAGAGAAGTTTAGCTA